CAAGATGGTATGGTCACCATGCTCATGCATACACGTGCGTGTACATGCACTGCAATCTGATTGGCTTAAACTTTAAACAGCTATAACTCCCTTGGTTTTCAACCAAACGGGGTGGGATTTAGAACATAGATAGATGTAATGGACCTCTACAAGATGGTATGGTCACCATGCTCATGTATGCACGTGCGTGTACGTGCGCTGCAATCTGATTGGCTTAAACTTTAAACAGCTATAACTCCCTTGGTTTTCAACCAAACGGGGTGGGATTTAGAACATAGATAGATGTAATGGACCTCTACAAGAAGGCATGGTCACCATGCTCATGTATGCACGTGCGTGCACGTGAAATGAGTAAAATCAAAAATACACTTGAATGAGTGTATTTTTTAATACTTTTGGATTAAATACTTTAATATTGTGTAGACAAGATTATATACTCATTACGCACATGCATTCACATGCGCACACGTGCAATGCTCAAATTTGAATGAACTTGGTACACTTTTGGGTAAACGTTTTAAAGTCTCAAATGCATAGAGTTTGTCTTATTTAATGAAGCTTACAGGGAATATGGCACCAAAAGGATGTTGGGGAGCATTTGGGGAACATCTGTAACGGTCCCCGTTACAATTAGCACTAGTTTTCCCCTGAAAATCTTTTCGCTCTGTAAAATTTTAAAGTTTTCCTTTTACATGTTCATTGAAATATTTCAGCTCTTTTATTCCTTAAGATCTTGGAAATGGGGCACCAATTTATAGATACACAATGAAAGTTTTAATTGCGTGAACCCGAATGTAGCCCCAAACTACCTGCCCTTGGGGTTTTAGATTTGCATAAAGTTGTATCTTAACAAACAACAGTTTGCATATTACAATGTAAATTGCAAATTTACACGTGGCCTATAATTACTTGAACTCTTCAATGTTTTTTTTTACTCTTTGTTTTTCTATCACATGCAAAGTGTTATTGTGACATGCGTCCTTCGAACAATCTTTTAGAAACTGAAATTTCAAGCATTTTTGCAACCTGTATATGCACGCATATTCAATTTCAGTATAGGCACACATGTTCAATTTAATCGTATTAAATTATGGAAGAGAAGAAAAAAATGATTGAATTTTCTCTCCTCATTAACGGTTATGATACATCTGTCTCACACGGTTTGGGTATGTTTTTAGTTAACTGAGCCCGATCCGTATATTGAGACAATTCTTTTTGTCAATTAGACTATCCTTGCAATCAGGTTTGTCCTTGATCTAGAAGAGTCGGAAATATAAATGTTATGTCTTTATTAGCGCAATCGTAGAATGGAGTCGAATGCTGTGAATATCATTGTTTTCATCAGGAAGCAGCAATAACTGGGAGTCGAAATCAATCTTTGCCTTGTGTTGATTTAAGAAATCCACTCCAAGAATGAAAGGATAATGAAGATCTTGTATGATATGGACGGGATGTGAAAATTTGACACCACTAATAGATATAGGAATTGTTAACACACCAAGAACGTTGAGTCTAGCACCTGTAACACCTTTGATGATTGGATGCGTAGCAGGTTCAAATGAAGCACCAGCTAGACTTGTTTTATTAATGAAAGAAGCACTAGCTACTGTGATACTGGCACCGGTATCCAACAATGCATTAGTACGTTTTGTCTTGACGGAAATTTCAACTTTGTTTTGTTTTAAGGTTGTAGCCAAATTTATGGAAGCAGGTTCCTTAGCATGTTGTGATGAAGTCTTTTTCTGGTGCCTATCCTTAGATTTTACTCCAAGAACAGGCGCGAGTCCCTAGCGTGAGCAGTTTAAATCGCGAAGATATTTCGTTACACAAAATTTTTCAAAATGATTGTATCTGCCACATTCAGTACAGTAATGCCCTCTGGCTGGACAATGTAGTTTAGAAAAACATGTAGCACTTGCACATCCATGACAGTAATGTTCAGGAACTGGATTGGAACTGGTTGAAGCGGGGAAGTTATCTCGTGGTCTTTGATGATAAAATTGTCGTGGACCTTGCATGTAGTGTTGTTGCTGTGTACGTTGGTATTGAGGTGGCTTATTGTTGTATTTAGGTCGAGGTCCAGAGGGGTAATGACTTGGTGGAGGAACACTGTATTGGCTTGGATGATCCTGTGAATTGCTGTTAGTCGATCGAGTAGTAGTATCCCAGCTGGTGTTGTTTGGTACGTTAGAATGCATAGCTGCAATTGTTTGTTGAAGCTGGTTAGTGACATTACACACTGCAGACATGGCGTTGATAACACTATTTTCATCATTGTTTGTAAGTGTTTGAGAATCCATTTTGATTGTCATTTCTGCAATAGAAGCTGAATTCCGCAAGTTTTCTATAGTTTGTGGGAATTGTGGCATCACTATTTTTCGAATTGGGGCATGCAATCCTTTCATGATCATCGTAGTAAGACAGTCTTCCGGCATGGTGGAGTCAGTGGCTAACTTTTGAATTCTTAAAATATACTGGTCGACTGACTCTGAACTCTGTTGTTTTATATCGAATAATCCAAGACTGAAAGGAACTTGTGGTTTAAAACGGGTCAGGAAAGCAGCTTTCAGATGGTCCAGAGATGTCCGAATTTCTGGAGCAAGTTGAAAGAACCAGTCTCTTGCTGCGTCTTTTAAATAGAAGGAGAAGAAATCGTGAGCAACTTCGATCGGTATGTTCATTAGTGTTATGTAGGTCATAAACTGTGTCCAGAATTGGGCCGCGGAGGTCTTTCCATCATAATGGTCAAGGCTAATATTTGCGCGCGGGTAAGGCACAAATGTTGATGTTGGTACTGTGTGCGGAACAGCCGTACTACTCTGTGTAGGTGGAGGTGGTGCATAGACAGCTGGTGTTGTGGGTATCGCTGTGTTGTGCGTTATGTCTGTAGTAAGTTGATCGTTCTGAGAATGGTACAGGGCAGCTCTAGATGGTGTTGATGGCAAGTTGTTTTCAACACATTGGGATATATCTGTCTCCTGGTGAAGTTGAGGTGGAGGTGGGGGAGGATCTTTTGGTGGTGCCAATGAAGATGCAGATGTTATCCCTGAATAGGGATAGTTGTCAGCCGCAGTTGCGACTGTTGCTTCCATCTCGGGATTGTTCATAGAAGTCGCTTGTTTTTGATAATTTAGTGGGACATTTGGTTTGTATCCCAAGCGGCGGAAAAGAGAACTACTGGACGATTGGAGTCTAGTTGTAGGTCCAGGCATAATGTAGATAAATCACGTGAAGAATGCTTTGATGGTGCTGACTTCGTTGAAAGAGATGGTATAGTTGTAGTAACTGTGGGGAATTTGTTGAGTTTGGGGAATTTCTCTGGTAGAGCACGTCAGCTTGGCAATGAGAGGTTGGGGTCGAATGGATCTCCGCCACTTTGTCTTACACGGTTTGGGTATGTTTTTAGTTAACTGAGCCCGATCCGTATATTGAGACAATTCTTTTTGTCAATTAGACTATCCTTGCAATCAGGTTTGTCCTTGATCTAGAAATAGAGGCGAAGAGTCGGAAATATAAATGTTATGTCTTTATTAGCGCAATCGTAGAATGGATTTTAAATTAAAGTAAAACGGTCAAGTTGAAATAAATGTCACAGAATATATACATAAAAACATGTATGAAAACATGATGACCGGATGTGACACAAGAACATAGCAACTTTCACAATAAAACAATATACAAATTATTTGACATAGTAGACATATAAAAAATTAAGTATTAATTAATTCAGCTACGAATAGAGAGATGATTATTTACATACCGCTACCAAATTTTGAACTCTTACAAAGTTTTAAGAATAGAATTTTTGCTCGTCATTATCCACTTCTCAAAACGATTTACATATTTAAGAATTACAAAAATTCTTTCTCCCTACATAGAAGAGTTGTACTTGTTGATATGTCTTATTTCTCTTTAGCTATTTATATTTAATAATTGTCAAAATAATTAAACAAGATATAAATGCAATAAGCGTATTTACAAAAACCGTAATTAATTTTTTTCAGTGTACTAATTTAAATCTTAATACATTCCAAAATACATTAAATTTATATAAAAGAAAAATAGAAGTAAATAATTAAAATACAAGTACATACCTAGAAATAGAGGCGAAGAGTCGGAAATATAAATGTTATGTCTTTATTAGCGCAATCGTAGAATGGATGCGCATTTCCCAACTCTTGCCCAATTTAAAGAAATAGGTTTTGAAAATTGACCAATCAAAAATTAAACTCAAGATTTTAAGATAACAATAAGTGAACAGGCAATTAACGAGTAATGATAATTAAATGACAGTTATAAACAATTTGAAACGAAAACAACTCAACATGAGAAAACAAGGTACTCGCTTAATTATGACATCTTGGAACTGAACAATTAATTGGTTAACATCTGTCTGATAGTGAGAAAAAATAATTACACTTACATAAAAAAAAAATAATAATCATATACAATTTGACTCAGATGTCACAATAAAATAATAAGATTGAACCATGAAGTAAACAAAATATTAGCATTCATACAACAAATAGAAAAAAGTGAATAAAGGAAAATACGTGACACATATCTTAAAATGTAAAATATAATTATTTAATAACCAAATTAACGCTTTGATACAGGCTTTATATGCGACTGAATGAATTTATACAAAAATGTAAAAACAGTAAAAATCTAAGTGTGACACATCTCTACGCTTACCGTATCATTTTAGTATTTTAGATATAAAGTAAAAACTAAAGCTGTTTTTGAGATTGGAACATTTCTACCTTCTATAGATACGGAGGGACATTTGGAAGCAATTGGTCCTCTACACTATCTAAGAATTGACTACAAAGTAAAGCTGCAAAAGGAGTAAAAAATTACATGTAGTAGACATCGGTCTCCAGCTTGGACCGAGGACTGAAGTGTGTTTCGTAAGATACATGTAGGAGTATTGTCAAAGACGGCTACTAGGTTACGAAAGACATGTAAACATAAATTGTTTTGAATAAAGAAGCAAAGAGGAAGTATTAAAAATTTATTAGTTATACTGTTGAGTGTAAGACTTGTTTCCACTCTTTTGAAAAGTAATCACTCGCCCAGTTCTGTGGAAGAAATGTCTGAAAGTCTATCTGCTGGAAATATTCAAGTCTGTGACTGAAAAAAAGGGAAATAATTCTAGAATCTGAATTAGAGCGCATTCTATTTCATAAAATAACTGAAATTTCTTCTTACAAGTCGGGATCGGTGTGTTTGTCTTTAGGAGCAGGATACAGCGCTTCGTAGGTTCTTGTAGACCCTGATCCGTGTATTGCGTACGCGTTAAATTTGGAGACTTTGGGAGGAAAGTAAGACATAGGTATTAAAGCTGTTCCCTCCCATGTGTCGCCTTTAATGGCTGAAGTATATTTCATTGGCAGCAAGTCCTGTGAACGGAAAATATACAGATTGTACATGGATTTGTGCATCAAAACAATTTAGAGAGTATAATTACTGAGTACATTGTATAATTTGGCTGACTTTCTAATGATATAGTACATTTTTCAACTCACCGCAAAACAATCCCTGCATCCTTTTAACAATAATACAATGTGTTGACCATGCCTAGAAAGCAAAATAATATTTAAAACAGTGTTAATAAAGCAAGGTGCAATCAAATAGAGAGAGAGGAGGGGGACGTATATTGCAGCAGAGATAAGGCAAACCGCTCTCATAAGAAATTAATGTCACCTGTTTTATTGTCGGTTAAAACTCACAAATAAACAAAGGCAGGCACATTCCTTTTATACGAGGGGTGATCAAAAAGTTCGCAAACCAATTGAATAACTTCCATACAAGAAACAATATTTGGTTTTAATGTTGATTATATTTTAAATTGATCCTCCCCGATTTTAATGCACATCAACCACCGTTCTGCGCATGCGCGAATCACGTGATATTGGCGGTCACGTGACCCCCCTCCGTAGCGTTCTGTCTCAAAAGTTGAAAGATTTTTCCGAGTTTTATATTTCTTTCCATGTGAGTTAATTTTTATGACAAGAACAGTTCATTTGTCAGAAATGGTCATATCTCGGTAACAGAATGGGTGGATAATAACATCCTTTCCAAAAATAAGAATGGCGACCATTAAAACACAAATCTTCTGTCTCAGGAGAGACCTTTATTCAAGGTGGATAGAGAATGGGTGCATCCTTTTATCATGTCTAAAATGTTTAAAATCTAAAGTAAACGATACCTTAGATATTTAATACTTATATCATTGTTCAAATATTCAACTATTTTTCAAAGTGCTAATTGGAGGTCTTTGATAGCAAATTGCTTAATTAAAAATACATATCTTTTCAAACTGTTGCTTTCACTGCGCAAGATGACAAGTATATTTTTAACCATCAGCCTTCCTTCACTAAAACGATTAATCCAATCATTAATTGAATTTATAGGAACTCATTTATCTCTATAAACTGTGTACAAATTATTATATGATACTGCAGAGGGATTTCTAAGATATTACAATAAATTGTACAGTCGTTTGTTGAACGAGTTCGACTGAGACAACCATTTTTCGTCACAAGTGACCGAAATAGTGACGTCATTTTCACATTGTGACGTCACAAACAAGGAGAGAAACTTTATTCAGAATATGCTATTTATAGACCTTGTGTATGGCTATGTGTGTACCGAATTTCATTCTAATCTGAATTGTGGTTTTGTAGATATAGTCTAGGTGTAATATCTTTACAACTGGAAGATATTCAGGTGTAAATATTAGTCCATGTTGTGCGATTAAAAAAATCCCACCGGATGACATAAATTTTTTCTATGTATCTTTGGAAAAGTGGTTGGCGAAAGTCCGGACAAATGTCGTGTCCGGAGTTAAATGTCGCACTGTTTAGAGATAGTTTGCGAACTTTTTGATCACCCCTCGTATTTACATCTTTACCTCCAAGTTAATTTACACTTGTCTATAATGGTGTATTCTGTCGCACCTTTGAATATTGAGTCAGTTACGCAACAACACGATGGAAGCTGCGATAAATGGCGCAATGACCATGATTCGATAACGAACAAACATCACCAATGGACCTTCCTTCCTTATCGTTCCAAAGCCATCGCATTATTGTGCCATCGATTCGTATCTTCGTTATTGCAGCAACGCGTCTTAATCTTACCAACGTGCATTGCGCTATAGACCCAAACATCGATGTTACGATGATTGGTACCATCATGAACTATGTGGCCCTACCTTTACAGGGGCGTAGTATCAGGGGGGGCCAGGGGGGGGCCAGGCCCCCCCACTTTTTCTCCCGACATTACCTTTACTATAGAAAATGTTTACTGAAAGGAAGGTTGGCCCCCCACATTTCAGCAAAGGGTAGTGTTATAAGGAAATTAACCCCAAAAAGTTTGAATTGAAAGATAGTTGGTCTTGAAAAAAGTTAGCCACTATATATAAAAATATTATGATGCTGTGATTATGATATTCCTTTTAAAACCTGTAACTTTATAGCATTTTTTTTTGTGGTCAAAATAGAATATTTTGTTTTATACTCACGGGCAAAGTTCAACCTCTAAATACTGGTTTTCATCGTTCAAGAAAAACGCCTCCACCACTGTAAAAAAATAACACAAGTTTACATATGATGTAGATGTAGTTGTATTTATGATCACGAAATAGGAAAATAACGAACAGTGACCGTGTTCAACAGTTCATTTTAACAATACAAATCGTAGGTACAGACAACATGGAATTTTAAAAACAGAGGTGGGACTGAAAAGTATAAACTTCCCATGCCGAAGGGTGACATTCATCGTGTGGTCCTTGTTCTGGTAACCAAAAAAATGCAGAGAAACTGAGACAGCGTGAAAATTTTTGGCCTTGGACAATTTGAAATGTCGACAGCCAACTTTGGCCGTACTACAACAGACTTTATTTTGCAAAGAACTTCCGTCATTGTATCAACCAAGAAATTTGAGAAAAGCTTACTTTCATCGAGATCGTCGATATCCTTGCACAAACAATTTATTTGTCAATAGCCTGTATCGTTTTAGAAATTGTCAATAAAGAGAGTTCATGCTCTCGTGGTTCTTGCGATATTGTCTGAACTCCAAATGAGAGTATTAATCTCGTGCGTCCTCTGTCTTTGTGTCTGACGCTAAGAAGGCCTAGTATGCATGTAAATCTCGTGCTGCTGTCTTTGTGCATGATGTCAGTGGGTGGGGACTATCGATCGTTGATGCCCTGGCATACTCTACTAACTAGTCAGTGATTCCTTAAATAAACAACGGTTATACTTTTACGCCCTGAATCAGAAAATGATTTAAATTATATAATATAATGGTATTAAATAACAGCTACCTTCATAGTCCCATAAATTTGGAAATGGTTTTCCGGGTTCTCCTCCAGGATTCCCGGGGTCGTTGAAAAAAGGGGCGGTAACCCTCAACTCAACCCCATCCTTAACAGCTTGGAGAGTTAGCTGTACAGATGGGTGGTCCATCTCCGATCCATTCCAGGTGTTTGTTATCTTGTAATTCATTTTAATCTGTAAATTAACAGCATTTCTGGTTATAAAATGGTGAAGTTTTTGGTTCATTTTGAAAGAGAAGGGGGAGATTGATTTATTATTGATTGCATGTTGTTTAACGTCCCTCTCGCGAATTTTTCACTCATATGAAGACGCAACCACTTGCCGGTGAAGAGCTGCAAATATACCCGGCGGTTAGTGCCACTGAGCAGGGAGGGATCTTTTACGTGCCAGCACCTACTGCGACACGGGACCGCGGTTAAATTTATTTGCGATCTCATCCGAGGGACCGGTCTCCACGTCCCACAGAGGGATTCGAACCCGCGACTTCGCGATTCTAGAGCAGAGGCTCTGACCACTGCGCCACGCGGGCGACAAGGGGGAGAGGGTAATTAAAACGAGCAAATAATTTTTCAATGATATTAAATTTCTAAAATACTGATTTTTAGATCTTTTATTAAACAGGAATCGACTGTTATATAGGATTATCAGATTATACAGTGGATTCACAGGCGCTTGTTTCATACAGTACGCTAGCTTTCTACTATATAAATACTCCAAATCTGAATTTGTCAAATACCTAACACGGCATAATATGGGAGGTGTCTGTGAGTATTATCATATATTTTATTTCCGTATATCCCTCCCCCCTCCCAACCTATGGGTTAATGTGTAAAGAAGGATAACTCCACTTCTTTATTTTGGTTTTTTTTTTTTTTGCAGTGCACGTTTGACATGCAGTTACTCTATCGACATATCATGACAATATGTTAGTCATGTAAAAAAATATATAACAGGAAAATAAAATACATAAAACGTTTTCTTTAATCCCCTGTAAGACTTTAATTAGGCCTATACATTACCTTCACGGTTTGGGTGCCGAGTTTCAGAATTTATCCAGACACCGCCTACAAGTGCCCCTTTAAAATCACGTGACACCCACGAAAAAATCGCCATTTTTGTTGTGGTTCACCAGAAAACAATAACTTGTGCATGATTTGGTGGGACATGATGGATTAATCATGAAGTCTCATGACCATTGGTGACTGTGAGTATTAGATTGATTGACTTTGTAATTGACCGCTACTTTCGGTTTTAACATTCTCCACCTGTCCCCTGACAACTACACACCTGTCACTGACATTGTGTAAATCGTACACACACCTGTTACACTAACCGAGACACCAGGCGTACCCGGGGATTAAATTTCATATCATATTTCTCAAGATGATTTTTTTTACCAGTTTTAGTGATTTTTGTTGATTATGAAACAACCTGACAGTTTGATTTTAAACAGCCTTTAGTCTAATTAAGACTAAGAGTGTTGGCTATACTGAAACATGTCCAAAGAGTGTCTGAAAATAATGAAATGTTTAGCTCATAATATTTTTTGTTTCCACGTAGCAGTAGCTTTGAGTATATGTATTGACAACGCAATAAGTAAATAAAAACTCGTAATACATTATATAACAAAGTCATGTCAAACTGATCAACATTTCCATAGAGAAAATTGTAGACCTAAATAGAAGTTTAATTAAACATATCCAATTTAGTCCATTTCCATCTTTCCCATTGCAGTTGCTGCATGGTTGTTTTAAGACACATGCATTGCATTCATGAACTAAAATTCTAATATACATGCATGTACAATTCTGTGTTTATTCTGTACATTCTGAGTTCTCAATGCCAACCAGTTATCAAGTATGTGAAGATTAGGTTAATAAAATTCTTCCTCCTGAAGATAAACTCACTGTATTGTTTACCGGAAAGTGTAACTAATTGATTTTAAAACAATGTTTGAAATGTTTTATACCAGTACTTATTTATAAACTGTGTTGAAAAAAATCAATTTACTAACAAGAATCATAACTTCATTATTGCAGTTTCTAATTTTATAGGGGGGGGGGGCTGTTGACATATACTTTTAAGCACTTGAATGAGATTTGTTCTTTAATGTCTCCTTTGAGAATTTTTCACTCATAATGAGATGCCACCACTTGCTGGATGAGGGCTACATATTATTAGACCTATTCTGAGTATTCCCAGACAACACTCTGGGCCATGGATTAGTGAGAGATCTTTTTCATATCAGCATCCACTGCAGCACTACTGGACCTTTCTTTATATAATAATATCATCTGAAGGACTGGTCTCCACATCCCACTGTGGGATTCGAACCCAGTACATTATAAGAATCAATTCCTTACTGTGTGACTTAATTTAGATTAGAGGAAACACTCTCCACTGCCCCAAGTGACTGACAGTTTAGCTTAATACACATTGTACATAAACATGATAAAGCCAATGGGTTTCAATGATGAAATAAAATTATGAAACATGTGGCTTTGCAAATAATCATCAGTGGTATTTGTAGAATATTTCCATATGTCACATCAGAACAAAAAAGACTTGCGGATATGTATGGTGTATCATTCTGCTAAAGGGAATGATAAACCTGAACACAGATGGCCAGGCTGTGCCTCTAGTATTGATTGGTATAGATGGAGTATAGTCCCTCCCGCTATAGAACTGTGTGAATGTATTGAACATCTTGACAAAGCTTGCATCTCTTTGTTTTCCTTTGTACATTATTGATGAAGTGACTAACAAATCCCAGAATGATGCTATATTTTCATAAGTTTATTAGTAGCTAGTAGGAGTAAACAATATTTTGATAATTACTGTAGATCACTAAATTTTTGCGACACCTCTTTTTTTGGGAGATAGTCATTGACTCTTTAATATGACAAAATTTTCACAAATTGTGGTCACTGCTCTATAAGGAAGACTATTATTTGTGTGACTGAAATATTTGTGAGCACATTGTCTTGTATAATTACACAAAAATAAATTTTTTGTGAAAAAAAAAGTGATTAACAGTATAAAAATGATTCCACGTATGCAAGCCAAAAAATGTTACCATAATTAAATTTTAAGAGATGCTCACACGTACTGATACTTTGAAGAAATCATAGGTCTTATGTTACAAACAAATTGAATTTCGATGACTTAAATTTGATCGGTTTATCCATAATTCATAATGCATGTCATCTTGAACAATGATTGTTGCCATTATAAAAAAAAAATTGTTTACTATTTCTGTTCTCCCATATTGTACCATATGTCATGTCCCAAACAATCTGAAGTTTGATGGATTTTTCCTTGGCAAGTTAATGGAAATTTATCAAATCCTGAAAAGATTTTCAATCCACCATGTTCAAAAAATAAATGTCTGGCATTCAACCAAAATGATTCTTTATATAAAATCCAAATGTTTAGCCAAATATTGTTCAATAATATGTCCATAGTGGTAATTTGATTCCAATATTCTCAAAGGCAAGGTATGATCTTAATAACCTAAATTTAAGGGGAGGAATTTTACCAATGCCCTGAAGCCTTTTGATGTATTTGTAATTTTCTTGAGAGCTGTTAAATGCCTGCCAGGTATAAATGCCTGAGGTTGCACCACCCCATTTAAAAGTCATGCTTTTTGCCACAATATTTCAAAAAAGGTTTGACAAGTTCAACGATTTGTCATTGATACTGTAATGGATGTGATTAACAAGAGAACACAGAAAAGTAAGTTCTCTGTCCTTGTCATGTTCCTAGATAGTGAAGACATATTTTAGTCCCACGTCTAGTACTGTACAATAATTTAGATTCAGAAATTTAGAAATGTCAGAAATTTAAAATTATGAATTTTTAACATGTGTTTAATGGTCTTTACCCAACTGTTTGCACGTTACTAAGTTGTTAACCATAATAATTCACTTTTAATCATTCCATTGTAAATATACATGTATGTTAACTGTATTCACTCACGGTAGGTTCACTGACATGTTTATCATGTTTATCATGTTTATAGTGTATAAATGTTAAACCAGTTGTGCCAAAAAGCAAAATTTCTTCATTTCTGAGAAAAAAGACTTTTAATCATACCATTGAGATGTAATTTAATTTCATTAGATTTTAGCATATACATGGCGTTCTGTTCAGTTGTTGATCTACCTATTGTCAAGTGTTAAAAGAATTTAAATAGTACCTTTCATGTAATGTAAAGACTAATAAGGAAGTACATAATCTTCAAAATGATCTGAGTTAAAAAAAAAAAAGAAAAGAAAAAGAAAAAGACCACACCCTTCTTAAATATATAGTCAGAAAATTTTAAGAATAAGAATGAACAAATGTTTTGATAAACTGCTTTGTCATAGTTTATGTAACATGGTACCAGGTAGGGTATGCTATTTTACTGACTTTGGTCAGGAGGACCATAACAGAGATTAGAAACTAGTGTCAATATTTATGATTTCTTGAGAGCCCTATGCTTGTGAGAAAAAGCAATTTGTGTGTTGAGTAAATTAAGTGACAAAGGTATAAAATACACACCAGATTACCTTGTTAACTTAATACTTGGTGACTTTCTGCCCTGACAAAAAGTTAACATCATATGCCATATTTTCTGACTTCAAGCTATAATCAATGATATTTTTTTATGATCTATTTGAATCATGTTATGTGCTGTTTATACATTGCACACCTTGTGATGTGTAGCATCACTAGCATGGGAAAATGCAGAGTCACAACATAAACAATTTTTTTTAGAGTTAAAGTGATGCATATATTTCTGTACAACATGCAGTACAAGTTGTGGCCTTTAATATTACCCCAAGTTTTTTCTTGCTTTATGTTCAATGTTTTGCAGAAACCATGTAAAGAAGAAGAACCTGTGTGTGTATGTGTGTGTTGTGGATGAATTTTATAAGTCAAGGAGGATTACAAGAATGTAGCCAGCATTAATCAGTGATAAAACTCAGCATTTAACCAAAAGTATGGCATCAAGTTCTGAGGACATTGCCGCTGCTTCTACCTCACAGACAGAAGATGGTAAGGCTTAGGAAAGGATCAGAGGAAACATTGCAGGGGAAGAATTATATGAGTTGTTATACAATTAATTACCCCTTGTGAGGTCAACATGGTGAAATAAAAGACCTGGCCCAAAGGTGACCTATACCTGACCGAGGCTGCGTAGTGGCCGAGGTCAGGGCAGGTCATCGAGTGGGCCAGGTAAAACGGGGGAAAATATTTCACCATTTTTTTGAACTCACTTGAAAAGGGGTAATTAATTGTTTTATTATACCGATATATTGAAAAGTATGAATCTCGAACCGTTATCAATTCTTTCTTTAATCGGGATAACGGGATCTCTTATCTACTGACCGGATAGTGAAGTTGTTTACATTGACGTCTGCAAGTCGTGTAAGTTTTTGCATAATGATTTACTGATTAAAACAATATTTGGTTGATAGCGACATACATTGTTATAACTAACGATTACTTTTCCTCTACACAGTCAAATCTAACACAGAATTTAACTCTTTAAAGAGCCGCCTCTACATTCTAACATTATTGAACTGAATTGTAACGATATATTGAAACGATATATTGTAACGATAAAATTTTACCGTATTCTGTATGTAATGCAAAACAGACCATGCACAATTTTAACAGTTTTTTTTTTTCAAATAATTATTATTTTATGCATTAACTTCACTCAAAAACGAATTTTTGATTAAGTGGTCATTTTTAGCGGTCATTTAAAATAATAATGCTGTAAACAGTACCATTTGGAGTCATTGTTGTGTTTTAAGGTTTTCTTACCAGCCAATCAAATTCGAGTATTATCAATAGAGGTATAATAAATATATATACTGTATACAGGGAAATAAGGGAGTTATAGCCCCCGTTTTAGTTTCGCCCAGATTTCGCCCTTACATCGTTTGGGCGAATTTAAAAAGGGGCGAATTCAAAATATACAATATATTTTCTTAAACAAAACGGTGACTGGGCGAATTGAAAACGGGGCAAAATTGGTTGCAAGTGTGAAAGGGCGAAAATAAAACGGGGCAAAAATAACCCTGTATACAGTATTTTTTTATACCCTCACTTGAAAACTGGGAGGGTATATACTATATAGTGATCAGGATGTCCATCATTCTGTAGGTCATTGACGATTCTGTCCATCTGTCTGTACATCTGTCTGTTATATTGTCTTGGGATAACCCATCTCTTATCTGCAACTCCTCTTATACCACTGAATGAAATTTAACAAAACTTTCACAAAATCTTTTTTACATAGCGCCATTGTGCACCTCCTTATTTTATGTTTTTGATCGGACAAATGTTCTGGGCTTCTCATAGCAAGAAATGGACACTGCCATTCATTAGCCCGATAAAAAAATCAGTTATTATCAATTTCCCAGGTATCGCTATTTGGTAATAAAATCTTCATTGCATTTTCACATTTTGTTTAACCTAAAATGCTTTACAATAAGAATTACGTGATTTATGTGTGTAAAGTGTAGGCGGTTGGGAATCAAAAGTTAAGCATGCAGAGATCTTTTTAGCAATTTACCGTTAATGTTAAAGAAATTGGCATTTAAGCATGTTAACATTTATGTTCAGAACTACGAATGTCTAATTAGGGTGATTATATCATATTAGAGTTTTTTCTGATGATGATCAGGTAATTATTCCTACCTAATCTCCTCATGTTTTACTGCTTTTTTTCTCCATCTTTGACTTGGTAATTAAATTCATACCTTGCTAGTTTGAGCTTGAGATTTATAATTACAGCTGTAATGATTATTCTTTGGCTATAAAGGAATCTTTATGTTGTGACTTAATTCATTTATCAACTGATTTCTAGCTCCCACTTGCCAGAGTTTCTCTTTGGTCATGTATTATATGTTTCTTCAGCTGATCGTAAACATTAGGAGATTATGAGAATGACTGAAACTGATGAAACATACCTACTCATGATAAAATGAGGGAACCCTACTAAAATCATAGTGTTCATCTATCTGTCCTTAAACTTTTGTTCTGACAGTCCAAACTGGTAATTAGAGCAGCTTCTCACTGTACCAGTTTCATATTTAATTTATATGGAGTTATTGAATAATATAAAGAGTCTGAATAAAAACATTATATTTGGGCAAACCAGTCTGTATGTACATCATGACAGGATAACCCAAACAGAATGTTTAACAATATTAAGAGAAAACAAATCACAATATATTCGAGGGTAAAAGTAGTTGGGACTACCAAATCACTTCAACATATCCATGGTATTCGAGATATCGGTGTTTGAGATACCGAAGTTTAACTGTATATACCTCATGGACAAACTACACAGATACATGTACAGTAAAACGTGCTTATAATCATGATAATGAAGTACACATGTATGTGCTTTAATTAATGAAAGTATGTGATCTTTTAAGTCCTCATGATTGATTTCGATGATACATTACAGATATCAATTGATTTCAGAGCATAAAGAGAAGAAGAAAAAGTCTAATCCTCTGGGTAGAATGTGGAAAAAAATCACTGGCTCAAGGAAGTCAACAAAGTCTAAAGAGTCTGTGAAGGCCAAATCCACAGGAGCCCTACATCAAGGCCCAGGGCTGACAGAGGATGACGATGAAGGAGGGTAAGGCCTGGCCCCTGGGGCCATAAAACTTAGACAAACTCAACTTTTTATTTCAGTCTCACTTTTACAAAAGGAATATATAGTGAAAAAATGAGGCTGAGATCAAACGTGAGCATGTCTTGGTTATATCACCTGTGGACCTGCTGCTGCTCTTACATGTGATGACATCAATGAAAGCCATTAAAAATGAAATAAATGTAAACATGGATACAAGATTCATCATGCAATGTAGATTGAACTCATAGTTATTAGGGATTAATTGAATGCATAATAGAGGTTAAGAATGTAATAAATTTATCTATAGGCAAAATCCTTAATGTACAAAATTAGATGGAAGCTTGGAAATTTTCAAAGTCTTGCCAAAACTGATGGGCAGAATTTTTTGTCATAAAGTTTTTATAGGTGACATCTTCCCATGAAACTTTCCAGAGAAACATGATCTTGGTAGTCTTTACATTGGCATTTTTCATTTTAGATTTGTTTCCAGTAGACTACAGGGAAGCCGCAGTATATCGGAGGATAGTGTCTTTAAACCTGAACAAAAGGAAGGAGGACTGAAGGCATTCCATCAGACAGCCGTCTCCATGGAACAAGTCAACAAATCAGATTTCAGGGTAAGGGTAGCGGAAATCTTAGGTACAGTTGAAACAAATAAACACTAATAAAGTAAATGGTATATTAAACCATATTTCTCCCAGTAAGCAATCTTGGTACATGGGAAATTAAGAGAGGGAACTTATTAGATTTGTCTTGTAATTTACAATGATGTGTCAAATATTAACAAATATGATACCATTTAACCACATTAAAATACACAAAAAATGGAAGATGATGTTCTTGGAATCAGAGATAATTTTACTGCAAGATGAATTGCAACTACTGTAATTACTAGTAGTAAGTGCTAAGGATTTACAGAACTTTATGAGATGAGGTGGAGCTGCTTTCCATAATGAAACTGATAGAGTTGGGCATGTTTGGGGGTCATTATGATAATGTCAGATGATGAATAACAGATATTTAGAGACCACTTAATCTTATTGGCATTTTTACTTTAGTATACATTGGCAATCCTAATATTATGGTGAATTATAAAATGAAATTAAATCACTCAGTCATTTTGACATTATACACATTTGTCATCTTTGGTGGACTTGTTCAACTTCCTCTCCTATCAGGAAAAGAAAATTAAAAGGAGGAAATTAATATGAAGAGGGGGTGGGGTATCAGATATTAGCATCAAATTTCAGTAGGACATCTTATTTCTTGTTTACCTTGCAAAGATACCCTTGTAAAAATCATAACATACCGGGAAATAATATCTGTTTACACTACGTTTAGGTTATACATGTACTTCCCCAATTATAAGACAATTTTACAGATGATTACTTACTTACAGAAATGATATGTAAGAGGAAAGTACATGCAACAATCATGCAACAGTTTGAAAATACAGTTTGATAAAAATCAATAGCTAAGACATTTTGTTATTTATTGGAGTCTTTCTGGCTTAAAAATCATGTTAACTTGCATATAAAAAAAACTATTCTACAATTTATAAAGAACCTGCTTAAAAGTTTTTTGTAGCAATTTTCAGTTTTCAAAACATCAAATGACAAATTGGTTGTTATCTACTTGTTTAATATTAAAACTCAGATTTTACTCTTTGTATGTGTAGAGTTAAGAATGTATAGGCATTGAAGGCCATATACAATCACGCTCTAATATCCTTTTGCAGCTTAAATGTTTCCATAGGAATGATAAAATTCAGGATATTTATTTAATTGAATTTCTTCACCTGGCATCACAATCTTGCAGTCAATTTATGGGATATTTCTTACAATGAATTGATTGTAAATCACAATTTAGGGACCTACTACTCAACTAACCAGATATCTTGAAAATTAGATTCAATAGAGTAAGGATTTTGATAAACAGTATTTCACTTCCTATTTTTACAGTTATTCAAGGGAATGTTTCTCGTGCAATTACACTTGACACAAACTTGTCAAAATGAAAAATTTAATTTTGTTTTCTTTAAATCAGGAGGCTAATAAAAGAAAAGGGTCAGAGTTCTGACATTATCTGAATTCTAAAGACAACCTTGATTCACATTTTAGAAGCACATTCCTTTGAAGGTCTTATTTGATAGAAGAAAAAACATTGGGATGCTATCAGTTTGCTTTTAATGTCATTTAGTTTTAGATGGAAAGGTTTTTTTAAATGAGATTTTAATAGGACTTTTTGCAAGTTGTCATGAATTTTTTTTATGCAATGTAGACTTTTCCCAGTCATAACTTCCTCTGAGTAAGATTGGGAATTCTTAATTTGACTGTGACAGCTAGGTCCTCTACTGCTCCTGAAAATCAGAAATAAACCTTTTAATGCCCCCATGAGTAAACATCTTTTCTATCTATCTTTTATTTGCTTGTCTAAGTACCTTTATTGATTCGAGTTGAGATCATAGATCACATTATAGGCATGGTCATATTATCTGAAATTTCATGTATACTGGATAAGAATTTATGACTTTTGACCAGTTAAAAGGGTATATACAGTGTATAAATAAAATCTGCCAGTATCTTATATGGTTGTAGTCAGTCGTAGGAAGTTGTCATTTGTTGACAATGTTATCTGTAAACAAGAGGCAATGGGAGACCAATCCTGTTGTTTGTCTGCAGTGTATGACAACTAAAATACAAATAAACAGAAGGTTGCATGTTTGATACACTGAATGCATTATTGTTGCATGTCACTGTCTGAAAGAAATGTACTGTATAACATGGATCTAAAAAAGAATGCAAATTATATGCATGTATTGCAAAGCATTACACATTGCGCACAAAATGCAGAATTCAATGTAGCTATTATGATAATTTTCATGTATTAAGTCAAACTTTTACCATTTGTAATTTTATTTGAATTGTATAAGGTGATTGAGACAAAGAAATGTTTTAGTCTGCCTTGTACTGTTCATCTGTACTTGTACATTGTACTGCCTAACTAATATGCTTTGCTTTTGCTGTGCACTTAGTTTATAAAGCTAACCTCCTGTTTACAGAGCGAGTTATTCCATAAGCTTAAGCGGAGAACAATGAGTCAGTCTGATGAAGATGACGGTCTTCCACAGAGTCCAGCACCACATGTCACCACCGCTGACCTCATTCTGGGTGGTGGTCTCAAGGTACTAAACATTGCTTATGTGACAAGATTGTGAAAACACATATGATGCTTGGCTTAACACAAGTTACATATGTATGTATTTATAAATTTAAAATGAGTGTCAGAACTCTCCTGTACTGGAATTTACCACTGACTAGTATCCAGTAATAATAGTACAATTCTCAGTTAACCTTAAACTTTCAGTAAGACAAGGCATTCTGGGCGCCATGTAATTAGCATCTGTCAAATGGCCAATAGATTCTCGTTGGTTAAAAATTAATAACATCAGGAACTTTAAATTGTTGACAACGATGAGACAACTTAACCCGCTAATTATGTGTAACTTGAGAATGCCACGCCTTACTGAAAGTCTAAGGTTAACTGAGAATTGTACTATTTCAAGAAAGTAACACAGCTTCTGATATCATTGTTCTTTAAAACGAGCAAGGTGTGGAAGTATCTCAACAGATATTATTAAAATAAACTAACTTTACATTCTGTGAGCATGGTGAGAAGTGCTTGAAATCACAAATACACAACACATTACTGTCTGTAGTCTTGTGCACACAAAAAAAATACATCCAATAAGCATGTTTCTCAGTGTTCAGAAAATGTCATTTGATGCATGTGATGGTCTTGTATTGCTTAAATAATTTACACTTCATATACCAGTATATTCAAACACATCTACATCAGTTATCTCTAACTTGCACTTCAGATATATTTGTACAATGTTTAGGTACACAATTGTGCAGCTTAAACTAAGCGTCAGTAATCACAGTGTTTAAATTGTCTGGGGCTCACATAAAACTTTAAGTGAAATCTTAACAGTTCTAAAATCTCACCAATAGTCCAACTACAATATATAGCTGTTTATTGTCACAGTGATTTCTTTTTTAATGATTCTAGAAAACATTGAAATTTTTTTTTCATTTAATTAATAGATATTTTGTCTTCCTGAATTGGTGGGATACTTTTGAAGTTTGGTGCGTCATGTCTTTGCAGCATTGATTAGTTGTTAATAAGACTTGGTTTGTCCATTCATTTCTTAAGCTCCTAGTTAACTATGCTTCCTAGGAAGTAGTTACTATCTCTCTGGTATCGCATTCGATTGAAGCCATGCAATTATGCAGGTCATTCTTTTATTCACTTAATTTAATGTCTACAGGTAAGATATTGTGAGTACAGGTAAGATAAAAGTTACTAACATTAGTATGTTTTAGTTGTAAGATTTATAAATAAGATATTTAGGCTATTGCAATCAAAAGTTCAGGAGGGCATATACATATGATTTTCTATCTGTCCTCCAAAACCTTAACCTTAACCTTGCCCATAATATTTTGAACAGTTGTAATAATAGAGCTATCATATTCCTTGTGATAAGGTCTTTCTTTGGGTATCAACATTTTTGATATCATTACTATGACTGAAAAAGTTTAGCTGTACATTTGGAAAACTTTAACCTTCAAGTTGGCCATGAGTTGCCATACAGGGGCATTGGGTTTCATAACTCTCTCTCTCTCTCTCTCTGAGAGAAAAAATATTGATTTTTTAATTGACATTTGGATAAAGCAGAAAAAAAATTGTCACAAGGTAGGATATTTTTTGGGGGGAAAAAGTCAATATAAACTGTTATTATTTTTTTTTTAATCATAGATGTTTAAATATTTAACAAAAAAAAAACATTAAAAAAATTAAGGGACAAAAAGTGTAATGTGACCCCTGTTTGGTTTATATTTAATATATATATGATATAGGAATACACATTGTCATGGTAACAGGTTGGTATACTGTCAGCTTTATTGATTGTGGCTAAGGTATTGGAGACCATCTCCTGCTATCTCTCTGTAGACTTAATGCATTGTCTTGTTTTTTGCATTAAGAAAATATCCATTTTGGTCATCAGATTTCCTTGTGGTGGTCAGTTATAATGTCTAGTGCAGTTGTATTTTCAGGAATTTCTCGATCTGTATTTGAACATGGAGTGTCCTATTAAAATTGTCATTCGATTAAGAATTGTGAATTTCTTATAAAATGGTGAGTAAAATTGTTCATATTTCATATATATTATGTGCCTGGGTGATAAGGTGATTTTGTGGCTAAACTTTCAATGTAAAAACTATCATATTCTATGATAAACTTGCAGTTGGATTCTTTTTAATGTAACAGGTACATATAAATTCTAATGCTTGAAATTTAATAAAGATATAGGCCATATGCTATGATGGTTTCATATTGCACATTATGGTGAAAAAATATGATAATTGTAGTTATACCCCCACAGTGCCACTTATGGAGAAGGAGGAGGGGTCAAAGAGATCAGAATGGCTGTTTATTTTTATCTTTGTATAGTAAAACTTTTTTATTACAAACATGGATATTGCGAATTCAGGGATATAGCAAAGTTATTTTGGATCTCCAGCTATATAAAAACAATTTCCATAATATGGATATAATAAATTACGGATATAGCAAAGTATTTTCACAGGTCCCAGTGACTTCATTATAACTGAGTTTTACTGTAACAGTTAAGGTTAGTTTGTGGTGTGCTATAGGTGGTACAGTAATGTTTTTTGTGGTGCATCAGTCTGTATACAGGTCCGGTGCAGGCTTCTGATGCTGTTCAGTACAATGTAAGACATGTATTTTCAGGTCCATTATTTTAGAAGTATGCTTAAAAGTTCTATTTCACAATAATTTTGAAGATGTTTAAGAATGTGTGTGTCCCTATAAAAATCTTTGATTGATAACAGTATGAAATAAATAATTTCATGAGTTTCCAAGAGAGTTTCCTCTCCATATTTTGCAGTCTGAGGTAGAGGTGACGAGAAACCTGTATGACAATGTGTTTACTTGTTCAGTTCAGAGGAAGATTCCGTCCCTCAAGATCTTATTCCATGTCTGTCACAGGAAACATTAATTAAGTCAATGCAATATTGGCAGGGGGACTTATGTTTGAGAGACTGAGTGAATTTTAGTTTTGTTGTGGATGACTTTTTATAGGGTTTTAGCAATCAGATTTGTTTATAGCAATCAGAATCCCAACAGCTTTCATATTGAAGGGGATGGGGTGGGGGTGGGGTGGGGTGCTCTTTCATTGTAAACAAATGTTTTATATTCTGCTGTATGCATTAAAGCTTTATCACTGAGATTCATACATGAATAGTTTTAAAAAGGCTCAGCATATTTTCACTACTAATTAATATTCATCTTGTCTCCTACTTGTCATGGTCATGGAAGGCTATTCATTGTAAAAAAAATTCTTTTCTCTGTCAATATTAGCTTGATTCAGTTGACCTGGTTTACTGATTATAGGTGATTCTGATAAAAAAAGGCGCATTATTGGAATACCAAGTCCTAAATATTGTGAGCTAGCTTTACATAATTTACATATTATGGCAGCTAAATCTAAAATGTAACAAATAGACTAAGCATGTATGCATAAAAATATATATGACACATCTAATACTTGTATATATTTGAGATGTACCTGAGGGAGCAAGGATATCTTATATGGCAAAAAAAGAACTGCATGTGTAGAATATACCAGTAGGTAAAAGATTTTATTGTCCATAAGGTTATTTTGTTCATGCACTTCTTATTGGGTATGTACATGTGTATCCCATGTATCCTATCATTTCTACATAAAGTCTCCAGGTGCATTAGATGGTTGATGAATATTTTTGGAATTTTGATCCCCTTGGGTAATATATAGTATCAAGTGTTTATATGGTTATTGAAATGTCTCAGTTGAACATTCAAATATTTTGAAATAATCTACATTTAGTTTCTGTAAGTTTCAAAACAAAGAGATTTAAGTTTAATCTAGTCCAAATCAGTGTCAATGTCAGTGACCTTTACCTGTTGATTATCTGACACCTGGAGGGCCAGTCTCAGGTAAGCACAGGTACCATAGGTATACGATAGGTAGACGTAGGTAACAAATGTATCTAGATTGACATTTGATTGAATTGTACGTTCAATGAATCGAAGTATTGGGCTTAGAAGGAGAACCACAACACCCTAGTGATAATTGGATGTAAGATATCTATCGAGATTTCATACAGTGTAAGTTTTACAATTATTTGAATATTGTATTTTTATGTTTTTAACACTTTGCCCAAATTTGTCAGTTGTTTTCCTGACAAGCAAGTAATGGCCTTCTTCTTTATACAGTGAAATGAATACACCATATTTTACATAAAGATAGAGTAATGCAGGTCATTTTTGTTTTCATTGCACATAAATTCAAATGGTATACTTTTAAATTAGCTATCTCTAAATTTTTATTGTTGTAAACAAAACAAAAGCTTGATATAAATCAATGAAAAAATGATATTATTTTATGGGTGTTTCAGTGACACAATCACATATAGGCCCAAAAATGCTATAAAACTTCAAAGTATTTTTTGATGGACTACAAAGAGAGCCTGATGTAAACTTTCTTTGTGTATGTTTATATACTCAGGTTCAATGGTCAAAAAATATTCTGTGATCATTTTTATAGAGGAATCATATTGCACAAAGAAAAAGAATCAATACTGTATTACCTCTGTGGAGATTTAGAGGATAAAGGTAAAGTTTCCTCTGTAAAACGGTTTACACATTCCTTTGTGATGTCATATTCCTTATATATAAGATGCAGAATCCTTTGTGTTCTTATAATAGATGTCAAAGTGGTGAAATAATCTGCTAATTATGAAGAACTTTAATAAACTATGGTTGGTAAGTGAGTCATTATTCTTTCCTTATTTATTCAATTTGAGGCTGACATAGAAAAGATAAAATTTTTGAAATTTTTTACAAAATAGTTAGCAATTAAGGAAATACCTTTAGTGCTTTAGATTGTTATTTTTTACCAAAAAGAAAAACTTTTTTTTTATATCATTAATATAATTTGCAAATTTTTGAGATTCTTGTTGTGTTATGATACAATAGTGAATGTCGGCATTATGTACCAAATAAAGGAAATTTTAGCTCCTGGGGGTATAGCAAGCTGATTTTTTTATACAGATGTAGAATAATTAAGGTTCAGTGGATATATGTTCCCTAAAGGAAAGTACACAGTATGCTGGCTAAGAAACAAGATAATGATCCAAAGAACAAGCTAGATGTGTAAACAGGCTATCACCATTTGTCTAAATGTTGTTACATCATGTAAACACGGTGCTCATTGGTGAAGAGAACCATTCCAGGAAACCTTGGCAACACCAAATTCTGTCCTTATAAGGAAGATAATGTAATTACTATCTGCTGTACTTCTGATCGTCAGCTAATTACCATGTTCAAGAATTAGGTCTTTGTTCTCAGGGATGTTTAAAGAAAGGTTAAGATTTAGTAATGCAGAGCATGTTACCAATGTTATGAAATTGAATGCATTTTTTTTTTTACTATATTTGTCACTAAAACAATGTGAAATTTACAATTTTACATGTAGCCCCTCTCCCCTTTTATAATCTTTTCAAATTAAGATAGTGGTGTTAATGACCATATTTAGACTTTTTAAACATCCTAGAAACAAAGCTCTGTACAGAAATATAGGGATTTGCAGATGGAACATGATTTTTTTTCTATTTTACTTATAATAAGTATTAATATCTTATGACTAGATTAATAAGATATTTCATGTTTCAAGGATCTGGGTAGTTTGTTGATCACCCAGCCTCCTTAGCTATAGTTAAAGCCTAGCTGTTTGTGTATGGATGACCATGCAGGGGTCTTTCTCACCTAGGTAACTTCACCTTTTCCTCAAAACTCATTATCAAAATTGGATTGCCACCAAATGAACATTTGACAGCAAGAAAGCATTAGAACCCTGTGATCTGATTTTTAGGCCTTTCGTTGCCATATTTGTATTCATTGCCAGTATATGTATTTGTGTGTTGCTAATTTTTGTACAAGCAAGAATAAACACGATTAAACACCTTGAGTACTAGATGTACATTTTTCTTGGAGATTACATTGGATTTGAGATATTTGTTTTAGGCATTGGATTAGGAGAGTAAATAAGGTCATGCTGGTTGAACCATCAGGTGACTTTACCTCAGGCCTGAGGGACATTAATCACCTTAATCTATCAGATATACCATTGACAGATACACTCAAAATTAACAGTTTATATCACAGGTTCATTTAACATTAAGGTCATACAACCAATTTGATTTTGACCCTTCATTATCAGGTATATTACTTGCTCGTAAGACCCATCGTAACTGATGAGGTGTTTCTAAAATTCAGACTAAGGTAATCAAATTTTCTTTAATATTTTTAAATTGGTGATATGTACATTGTAAATTCAGCCTGTGAAATATTTGATACAATGGTGAATTCTGGATTCAGGCAGCTTACAAATGTACATTCAATATGAGAGATTTCATATTGTTTAGGTAGCCATAAATAGCTATAGAACTTCAGTATGATGTGTAATGTGAATTGGAGCAGAAATGGTCATATATAGTAGATTAGGACTGCATTTATGAGTTTTGTCTGGTGTGTTCTTGTGTCAATAGTGTCATTAATGTAGACAACATGTAAAGTTCTATCTCTTTTATTTGATCTCTTTAGAGAATAGGTTATTGGGCTTTTTATAGCCTGCATGTACATGTATTTTAAAGCCTGTCCACTTTTAAAAGAGAATTAACCACACATACATGTATCTCTGTGATATGCATTATATTATGAATAAGATTTTGCATACACTTTTTTTTAGGTCACCTGAGTAAACTCAGGTGACATATTGCTATCTGTTTTCGTCCATCGTCGTGCGTTAACATTTGAACATTTTTAGCTTCTTCTCTGAAACCACTAAACCAATATCAATCAAATCTGGCATATAGCATCCATGGGTGAAGGGGAACAAAAATTGTGAATTTCATGGTCCCTGGGGGGTGGGGCAAAAACCACTAAAATTAGTGCAATCTTTAAAAATCTTCATCTTTACTCCTGGACATCTAGCAGTCAAACTGTTGGTATGATTGTAATCAGCATTGAGTCCTCTACCTAAATTGTGAAATTCATGGCCCCAAGGTCAGGGGTTATAGTGCAAGGGTGGGGCTAAACAGGTTATACAGTGAAAATGCATTATTTCTTTGAAATTCTTGTTTTCTATTTGTGGGCATTAAATAAACTAACCAAGTGCATAGGTAAGTTGAAAATGACCGCCTTTTCCAAAATTGTGAATTTTATGGCCCCAGGTCCAGGGTTCTAGTGCTAGGGCTGGGCTATATAGATTATATAGTGATAATGCATAAATTCTTTGAAATTCTTCTTTTCTGTTTGTGGGCATTAAATAAACTAACCAAGTGCATAGTTATGTTGAATAAGACTGCCTCTTCTCAATTGTAAATTTACTGGCCCCAGGGTCAGGGGTTCTAGTGGTAGGATGGGGCTATATAGATTATATAGTGAAAATGCAAAAATTCTTTGGAATTCTTCTTCTCTGTTCATAGGCATTAAATTAACTAACCAAGTGCATAGCTATGTTGAATAAGGCTGCCTCTTCCAAAATTGTGAATTTCATGGCCCCAGGGTCAGGGGTTCTAGTGCTAGGGCAGGGCTATATAAATTATATACCCCGGTAGTAAAAAATGATATTATTTCTTTGAGAATCTTCTTCATTGCTCCTGAGTATTAAATAAACTAACCAAGTACATAGTTATGTTGAATAAGGCTAACTCTTCCAAAATTGTGAATTTCATGGCCCCTGGGATGGGGGTTCTGGTGTTAGGGCAGGGCTTTATTGATTATATAGTGAAAATGCATAAATTCTTTAAAACTCTTCTTTTCTGCACCTGAGTACATGTATTTTACCAAAGAACTATGTACATAGTTATGAGGAGGAAGAATGCCTCCTTGAGATTTTTGAATTTCAAGGCCCCTGGGTCAGGGCTTCTTGTGTTAGGGCGGGGCTTTAATGTTTATATAGTGAAAATGCATGAATTCTTTGAAAATATTTTCCTTTGTTGTTGGATATAATGCCAGTGATCTTAATATATATTTATGACAAAAAAACCTGTCTCTTCCAAAAATGGTTAATTTCCTGGCCCCTGGTACAGATCTTGGTACTTCGGGGTTGGGTGGGGGGGGGGGGGGGTGTAACGTAATCTGAAACAATTCAATGTTTTGAAATCTGCACTTCTGTATTAATCAACAGCATAATGAAATAAAATTTTAAAAAATGTCCAAAACTTTGAAAGATGTGGCCCCAGGGTCAGTGGTTCCTGTGGGATGGGGAGCTCAACTGTGGACCCACCCTAACACAAGAAGCCCTGATCCAGGGGCCCTGAAATTCACTAAAAATGGAAATGCATTTTCTTTTTGTTACTCTGATATACCTCTGGGTATTAAGTAACCAAAATAAGCATGCTGAGTGTATAATTATGATAAGCAATGGTGCCTCTTTCAAAATTGTGAATTTCATGGCCTCTAGTTTAAAACATGAATCAAATTCAATTGTTGGAAAGTTGTCGCATGATACTCAGGTGACCTATAAGGCCCATGGGCCTCTTGTTTTGTATGAAAATTTACTCAAGTTTTGAAAGCCTGAACTACTATAACTAATGTAATTAATTAAACTTAGTAAATGAAAGCACAGGTTTCAAAGCTTATACATGTCATGTGGCTTGTCCATATGTACTTGTGACCAAGTGAACTACAAATTTGCTTGTGATGACTTGCATGCTGAATGAAAATGGGAGAAAAATTTATTAGATGAAAATGTTGGAATTTTTTTTAAATTCATTAATGACGAAAAATTGTTTCTGTGACATGCTAAGAAGCAACAAATTGATGGGAGCTTAAGGTATGAAATGACAAACAATAACACTGCAGCAGTAAAGCACTGGTGGACAGATCTCTTTGGGGACTATAATTGTTCATTATCAACTTATCTGTGTTTCACAGAGACTTAACATTAGTATCAGTTTCCATTCTCTATAAAAGAAAAAAATCAATATGGGCCACCAACTGCATATGCTATCTAAAAATTCCTACTAGCTGTTTTACTGGAGGACTTGGTATATACTGCATATGAATGTCGTCAACATTCATGAGGATATAAATAAACACTAAGAGTGTTTTATACTGATCATTGGTAGGAGTATATTGTTGGTTTATTAGACTAGCCAACATTATGTTGCTTTAACAACCCTGACCTGTCATTCATGATGTTAAAATGAGAAATGCAGTATTTTGTCAGTGTTGGAGAATATGTATGAAAGGTGATGCGTTTACGAGGACAAAATGCTCATTCTGATTTCTTGTTAATTTCAGTCGTCCTCCACGGGGAAATCTACGAGTCGTGAAAGTGACAAGAGTCTCCTCAGTGTAGACGGATCGGAAAACGAAGAAGTAAGTCACTCGTAAATAAACTGGTACCTCGTAGTATACCTTGTAAAGATAAATGAGATCTGTGTCAGGTTCTTTATTTCTCAATATATCAGCTTTCCACAGATTTATTGGAATATTATGACTGATATGGTGGATGTGTTGGTGTGTATAAATTTATAGAAGATCACACTTTTTTCCTTTGGTACACTTAAGCTGATAGCTTAAGTGAGCTTTTCTGATCACCATTTTGTCTGGTGTCCATCTGTCTGTCTTGTCATTATCTGTAAACTTCCCATTTTCAGCTCCTGCAGAATCTCTGAGCCAATTTTTAAAAAACAAAATTTTCAAGGCACAGCCTTACAATGGGTAAAGGTGATTCATTTTTGTACAAATGAAAGGTCATATATTTTAAGAGAAGATTGATTAAACAGTCATTAATATTTTTTGATGTCTTTTAAAAATTTTTTACTCAAGAACCACTGGGCCAGAAAAGTTCAAAAATTATGTAAAACCTTCGTTATTTATAGGGTAGATTCAGGTTTGTTTCAGTCATGATCCCTGTGGGTAGGTTAGGGAAACAATATAGAATCAAAGTTTATTAACATTGTGCTGTAGTACTGTATATGGGAAGAATCAAGTTTTTAAAAAACCTTTTCCCCAAAACAGCATAGCTATTATTAGACAAATTGATATGGAAGCATCCTCAGGTATTGTAAATTCAAGTTGGTTTAAATCTTGGCTGGAAGGGAGGGGGGATGGGGACACATCCTTAAAATCTTTTAGTAAAGAACAGCAAAAATTTTATTGGTCATGTGTTGATCATATGGAAGCATTCAGATAGTTTAGATTCAAGTTTGTTCAAATCATAGAACCTTGGAGTAGGGACAGCAACATCTATGGATCAAACTTTTACATAAAATATTTAGGAGAAAAAATTTCTTGAAGAAGAGAATCATATTGACTCAGGTGAGTATTGTGGCCCATGGGTCTTTTATTAATTTAAAGCTTAAGCTGTTCAGTGTAAAATATGGCTTCACTTTGATATTTACTCATTAAATGCTATCTTATTTTGCAGGATGATTTGTTTGATTCAAACTGGAAATCTTCCATTGCATCTGTAAAGAAGCCACAAGACAACAGCAGTTCAGAAGGTATTTACTGTGAGGAGTATGTTTTCTTCTTTCTGAGTGCATTGGTTTGGTTTGTCTGGGGATGTGTACCTTGATAGCTCAGTCATTAGAGCACCCGGCTGGTTTGTTTCCTGGTCCAGCCTTAGAATTCCTGCTTTCTTTAACATTTGGAACCTTGTTCCTGGGGGAAGAGATAGTAGTTGTTTGGGCTACCCAGTATTTCTTGCAAATGGGTGGGATAGCTCAGTGGTTAGAGCACTTGACTAGAAATACAGGGGTTTGGAGTTTGATTCCCAGTCCAGCTTTAAATTTTCCCCTTTTATGTTTGATCTAATTCAGTTGATCCACCCTGGATTTTCAGGTGAAAATTTAAGGTTGAAGACTATTTAAGGAGGGAGGAATATAGTGCTTTGGGTAAGCTATATGGGATATTAGCTTGTGTAGCTCTGTGGTTAAGAACACCTGACTTGTGATGAAGGTGGCCTGGGCTCCATTCCTCGTCCAGTCATAAATTTCTATGCAAAATCTGGCATTGAGACTAAGAAAAATGAGAGAAAAACATCTACCTGGTAATTATAATTAGTAAAGGAAATGCTTCACTTATTCTAGGTAGCTTGCATCATTCTACTAGAGCTAGTTACGGTAAACACCCCTGTTCTGTCTTATACATGTACATGTACCGTAATTTTTGGATTACAGGTCGATGGGGTATATAGGTCGAAAGGCTTATTTTTAGCCTTAATTTTTGAAAAATCCTTAGATAGGACGAACTTACTATATAGGACGAGGCTTTTTTTTTTTTTTTATCTATTTTCGAAAGAATCTTACGCAGATACAACGTATCAGAACATTAAACCTCTAAAATTACCGGGGTAATTCTGTGACATGAACGTATCAAGAAAATAAACTGGTATTTTAATGAGTACAGCATTTAGATTAAGTTTTATGTAAATGTAGTTAAAACTTCTTTGAATTGTTTTTCTACTGATTTTTCTCCAACTTGCCTGTTCAATGCCTCGGTAGTTTCACACTGTTGTTAAACCGGGGGCATAAATAACACGTAAATACGTTATTATTTTACAGCTATAATTCGGGAAATACCCGAGATCAAAGAATAATAATTCCGATTTCAGAACAACTTGGACACATTCCTAATATATTTTATTCAGACATTATTTACCGGTGGACGACAATTACTTCGATGTCCGCCATTTTTATTTTTCTTCTCTAGGGATTTGCTAAAACACGCAAATGACCATTGACTGGCAACAATTTTTTTCACTCATTTTACATTTAAATAAATATAAGACAGTCACAATAAAACAAAAAATATTTAACATACTATTTCAATTTATTGCTAGTTATAAATGGTAAACACACTTGAGTTGTGATCGTGAAAAATTTTCCTATTTTAAATTTTGATACGGTTGCGATTTAACTTTTAGTACACGATCGCGACTTCCTAACTTCACAAGATGGCTACCGCATGATATTAATAGATAATACGTTGAGGAATTATTTACTAGATACAGCAATGTTTTTTTCCTTTGTCATCAACGAATATTTAATGGAATTTATTTTGTAAGAAAGGTATAGAATAAATATTTTATTGTTTACCAGAGCATTAATTTTTTGCGTAAAATAATAAAAAAAGTTACGAAAGTGGCACAAATTTGCTTTGAAATTGACATAAATTTTACTGATTTGGGGGCATTTTTCTAAACTTGAGCCTTAAACAGGTTGAATTCTGTATATTGGGCGACCCCAGCGGTTCTGAGGAAAAAAGTATCGACCTATATTCCGTAAATTATGGTATATATATGACACTAGGGATAATCAGATATTTGCTGATACCTTAATTGTGATTATTTGCTTATTGTTTAACTGTAAGATTTCAGCATTTTAGCAGATATCAGTGATGGTGAAATGAAATGACAGGAGATATAAAGACAATGTTAAGATATAAATAGACATTGAGAGTGTAAACACAAGTCACAGTTAGTAAACAGAGACATCATGCTTGACCACAACATTGTCAGGAAAAAAATAAACAAGGACAGTTTTGACAATTAATAATGATAACTATACTTAATAGACTTCTATATGAGGCTACATAATATGACTGACTGGCATTATTTATTCCAGAGGCCAACATGGATCTAGATTTCACAGTTGTTAAAAGAGATACGCAAACTCTGACCAGTGATGCAGCAAAACATAGGATCTCTATTAAACCCAAGTCTAGGAAAAGTTCCTTGCAATCTAGGAGAGCAGCTGAGGTAAGTAGGATGATACAGTAAACATGAGCCTTGAATAGGTTTGAAATACAGGCCCTTGATGTTTTTAGCTCTACTGGTCAGAGACCAGAAGAGCTTATGCGATAGTAATGCGTCCGTCGTCCGTCTGTCTAGCTGTCCGTCTGTCTGTCTGTCTGTAAACAATTTTTCAAAATGCTACTCCTCCTACAGTTTTGGTCTGATTTCAATATAACTTGGCACACAAGTAGACTAAACTAAGATACTTAATTCTTTGTTTCGGTTTTTGATTTCGATGAACGATGTTGCCGTGGTTACTAAAAATAGAAATTTCTGTGAAATTCTTTCAAAATGCTACTCCTCCTACAGTTTTGGTCTGATTTCAATATAACTTGGCACACAAGTACACTACACTAAGATACATAATTCTGTATATCGGTTTTTGATTTTGATGAACGATGTTGCCGAGGTTACTAAAAATAGAAATTTCTGTGAAATTCTTTCAAAATGCTACTCCTCCTACAGTTTTGGTCTGATTTCAATATAACTTGGCACACAAGTAGACTACACTAAGATACATAATTCTGTGTATCGGTTTTTGATTTCGATGAACGATGTTGCCGTGGTTACTAAAAATAGAAATTTCTGTGAAATTCTTTCAAAATGCTACTCCTCCTACAGTTTTGGTCTGATTTCAATATAACTTGGCACACAAGTCGACTACACTAAGATACATAATTCTGTTTATCGGTTTTTGATTTCATTGAACGTTGTTGCTGTGGTTACTAAAAATAGAAATTTCTGTGAAATTCTTTCAAAATGCTACTCCTCCTACAGTTTGGGTCTGATTTTTATATAACTTGGCACACAAGTAAACTACACTAAGATACATTATTCTGTATATCAGTTTTTAATTTCATTGAACGGCGTTGCCGTGGTTACTAAAAATAGAAATTTCTGTGAAATTCTTTCAAAATGCTACTCCTCCTACAGTTTTGGTCTGATTTCAATATAACTTGGCACACAAGTAGACTACACTAAGATTCACAATCCTTTTTATCAGTTTTTGACTTTGATGAACATTATTGCTTTGGTTACTAAAAATAGAAATTTCTGTTAAATACTCTCAAAATGCTACTCCAAATACAGTTTGATTATTATAATATAATGTGGCATGCAAGTAGACTACACTAAGAACATAAAGAGACTTAATCAAGGATCATTATTCATTTTATTGCTGTGGTAAAGATTCAATTCACAACTGCTTAAGAACTTTTCTCTTCATTGCTATAAGTACAAACCAGTAGAGCTTCAGTCTCGACAGAGACTTCTGGTTAACCTTTTTTTTCATAAATAAAAAATCCCCCATACTATAATAATACATGTAACAAAAAAAGCTTCCAAAATCACATCCAAGAACTTTCAGTTGTGTTGTAAGTGATATCAGACACTTAATCTTAGTTGCTCTTTTGAACAGAGAACGACATCACCTTTACCCAGAGTGACAGAAGAAACAACAAAACAAGCTGATCTGATCACTGTACAGGACAACAAAACCAGTATTCAAGTCATCAGTAAGCACAATAATACATACTGGTTAATTCATTATACATGTACTTCAGATCACTTTTTAGCTTACTCAAGCCAAGTGAGCTATACTGAGAAAAATATGTTTGTCATCTGTATGTCCCTAAAATCTTCATGTTGTTTGTTCTTCTCGGGGACCATTGGGTCATTAAAAAAAACCTGTCAAATGCTTCATTAGTGAAACGTCAAAAATGTTATGATAGAAAGTTCTTTTGAAACGAGATCTTAAAATTGAAAAAAAAAAATAGGAAAGGAAAGTTTTAAAGATCATGTTTTGAAGAATAACTTGCTCAAAAAAAGGGATCTAGAAGTTTATGATGTAAAGATCTACATAGTATAAAATCATGCCCTCCTATCCTAGGGCATGGAATAAAAAAAGATGTATGTGGGTAGGTAGAAGCAAATCTATTAGAAATCTGTTACAAAACTTAAAGCTGCTATTTTCCATATTTACATGCATCTACCGGTTCACTTGTGTTGATGCAAAAAATGAGGGAATTGTTGATTTCTGAGCACATTTAGAAGTTTTTTTTACTGGTCAAATCAAATTTGAAATAACAAGTTTTGTTTTGTATTTTCATTTGTCAGAATATGGCTTTACTTGGAGAAACTTAATAATTTTTGAGTTTTATGTTCATTCATTTGCTTTAAAAAGTAGAGAAAAAATAAATGTTAAATGTTTTTCTAGTAAGCATTGAATGTAGACTTCCTGCTTTTACTATTTGTGGCAAGGTAGATAACTCTTACAACTTTATTTTATAGAGCCACAAAAGGTGGAGGAATCAGTACCCAAAGAAATCAAAACTGAAGAGAGTAGCGCAGTTAAAGATAGGAAGTCTTTAGTGGTTCCAAGTGAGCCACAGAAAACACAGCCAGAAAAAGATATTTCAGTCAGCAACAAAGAGAAGGCTCGCTGGTCAGACACTCCTGTTTCAAGAAGAGACTCTGAAAAAGAGAAAAAGGATGAATCAGTGAAAGTGGAAAGTTTGAGGAGTGTCAAACCCAGACCTAAGAGTCTTGTGGATCTAGACCATATCAGAGACACAAAGGATGAGTCTAACGAGTTGTCAAAGGCATTCAAGAGGATGTCACTGAAGAAAGAGATTGTCTCCCCTGAAATGCCTGCTAAGGCCAGTAATATTGAACCACTCAAGGAGGTGATTAGTGTCACAAGTGTTAACGAGTTTAAACCACACAGAGCATCAGTTAAAACAGACGAAACAAAGGTAGAGGAGAACAAACCCACTAAATCACCAACCACAAAAGATGCACCAGGGAAAACGACTTACGTTCTGAAAAAAGAACCACTTAGACCTGTGACATCTCCAAAATCACCAGAATATGAAAACTTACAGGACTTAAAACTTAGTAAAAATATTACTTCCCCATCCTCAGATTATGAAAATGTGCCTGTTGGAGGTTTTAAATCTGAGAAATCAGAGTTATCTTCTCCTGAAGCAGATTATGATAATTTATCTCCTATATCTTACCCAGTCTCACCAACAGCAAACAAATTCTTGCCAAGAGACATAGACAATGCTTCCAAGTCGAAAACTTCTACATTGCCTCAAAAATTATCCTCTCCAAAGGAGGAATACAGGTTAAAGAGACAACCAAGGAGCAGGACGCTACCAGAACAGCCTGTTCCAAGGGAAATTATAGAATCCAAATCTCCAGCTACCCCTCGTGAAATTATGGATTCACAGTCTATTGATGTCGGTGAAAAACCAGTCAAAAAATTAGCGAGTAAAACAGATTCTTTCAAAGAGAACAATGCAAGCTCCCTTAATAGGTTTTCAAAAGGTGTTCCCTCTGGACTTTCTGTAAAAACTGCTGAAAATAAAATTGATATTGAATCCACTGCCGCAAAAGATGAACATAAACGCCCTGCCTCTTTGAAAATGGGTTATAATGTCTCAACCACTCCAAGCTTGGTCAGGCCTAAATCAGATGAACCTACTTCTTATGTAATCAAGTCAGATTCTCAAGAGAAAGCAAAGTTTGGACAGATTAAACCTGTGAGTGTAAATTCAGCAAAGGAAAAGGAAACAAAGGCGCCAGAGCCGAGTAACGCAAAACCACAAGACGTAAAGAAGGAAGATCTCCCCCAAAAACCTCCCCTTAAAGCAAAGCCTAAAGAAGTGGGATCCTCCACATTAGAAAGGAAATCTTTGTTTGAAAGCACATCTAGCTCATCACCTGCCTCTGTTCCTGCATGGAAGGCAAATTTAAAGAAAGGTTCTCTAAAGGAGAAGGATATAAAGATAGAAATAATAGAAAAGACCCCTGTAACAGAGAAAGTGGAGGAACCGGTAAGACAAGATTTTCAATATACAGTGTACTCATTTTAGAATAGAGGGAATTTGGTTATTTTCTGTTTTTGCTTCATGAAAATACTCATAATCTATAGCTTCTTTTTTTTCAATTATACAGTGTTTCTTTTGTTCTAAATTATGAGCATCTTATTGCCTAATTCTTTACATAAGTCAGAGTCTTAGTTTAGATAATGTTGGTGATTTTCATACATGTATAAGTTTTTTTTTTTTTTAGAAGAAACAGACCCCTGTTCAGCTGAGAGGAAAGCCAGCCTGTGCAGAGGAGTCTAAGTCTTCTCGTAAGAGTTCTAATGTCCTGGATATGGTGAAGAACTTCCAGAGTATGCAGGCCACATAGAGTCCATACAGCAGTCGATTCTGTGTTCAGACCACTGGGCCAAGTCATCAGCAGGTGGCCAAGCAATGAGGAGAAACATGTGCCTTCTGTATTCAGTTAAAATGACACAGCAAAGCATCAGACTAGCAATGCTTGCGGAATGTTTTCATTTCTAGTTTGAACAATGTTGATATACTTGGCAACAAAAACAAAAATTGTTTTATGATTTTTGAGAGAACAATTCACAGGAATGGAAGTAAATTATTTCATGTTGAATGATGCATGCTGTAAAGGTCTTCATTTCTGAACAACTGTCTTTCCTTTGAATTTTTTTTTACACTTGATGAATACATTGGTGAATATGTGGAACAAAATTTAGTGCTAACTACTCCAAAACGTTACCTTTTCAACATTTTGGAGAAAAATTTTCAGATTTAATTATGAAGCAGGTGTTTGCATTAGTTTCAGGTGGGGGGATATACAGAATTCTTTTTTATATTGGATGTAATGCTCAGAACTTTACTAGGTTTTTAGTTAAGCTCAAACTATTGCATTCCCCTGGTGTAAATAAACCTAAGTGTTTAATTACTGTGATATGTTTTTTCTCCATTTTTCTAATTAAATTTAAAAGGAGTTGTAAGAGACATTTGTGTCTAATAAAAACTGTCATTGTGTGCTCAGTTACAATGTCTAAAACAAAGTTCTAGAAAAAAATTGATTTTCATTCAACATAATAAACTAAACAGATTTTTAGAAACTAGTATTTATGGCATTGAGATGAATACTATATCTTCATTTACTTCATTCATATGTTAGTGAACTGAAAACATGTTTACACAAGGTTGAACAAAGTCTTTAAAAATGTCTTTAAAAATATTGTGATGATTTGGTTGTGAAGAAATTCTATTTTATGAGCCCTGCTTTTTTGTGTGTTATTGCATGTTTAGTATATGAAGTGCAATGTTGTGTTGTGAATATTTTTTGTGATAAGTTGTTACCTACAACATTCATTGTTTTGATTGTCTTAGTTTCAGTTTTATGTTTATAACAGATTTTAATCAAGTCATAATGTATTTCAGTGCTTGAAATATCATTTATTAGATTTAAACATTTTGTGCAATAATTGTGACCAAGCATATCTTGTATTAGGTATAACTGTATTGTGATTGGAATGATTTTATGTAAAATATTCTTCATATATTACGACTTTCAAGACACTCAAAATGCATTTTTATGTGTAAAATTAATAACCTGGTGCTTATACCATAAATCAAATGCTGTACAATTGTAAAAAGTATTACATCGTTTCATGAAATTCATAAATTTGTACTCAAGATAATTTGCGAAATTTCATTTTTGCCAAAATTAAGTATAGTGGTTATTCTTGGTGTTGATATTTCCTGTGGAAGCTTTAATAATTTTGCCTTCTGAGTTATCTCCCTGTAAGAGCATTTAGTAAACTAATTGTTCTATGTAAGGCTCACTAGTATTAGTTCAGAAGCATGGCATGTTGTTTTTCATATACATTGTCTACAATCTTATAAGAATTGCATTTCAGAATTTACTCTTCTTAATTATTAAAAAAATGTAAGCTTTATCAACCCTGGTACTTTTCATGGGTGATTGGTGGATTTGTATTTCACACACTGGGTATATACTTAGATATGAAATTGTTCAAATTCTTTTAAAAGTAACGGAGTAATACGTTTTTGATTGCAGTTATGTTATACAAAATGTTATATTAGTGATTCAGCCAATGAAATTGCTTGATACAAGTGAAATTAAATTATTGGACTTAATTTAATCACAGATATAATCATGATAACCTACACATTTTGATCTCATTTGAAAGTATATATTTACAAATGTTTAGTAAAGGATCCAACTTGCTTTTTCTTTAGTACACGGTGGTGTGATGTGCGGTGTGTGTGTGTGGTGGTTGTGGTAAGATCGATGAACAAGACATTTTGAATGCATTTTGCATCATTTCCTTAATTCATGTAGGTTCTTTGTACCAGGTTATCTTTCTTTCCACAAATTTTCTGTTTTTTTGTAATGACCGGTCAACATATGGTGATTCCTTAACTATGCACCTTAATTTAACTCACAGCTGATATAATCATGATAACCTACACAAAATATGTGTAAGATTTCATTATCGAGTTATGTATGTTTATATGTACATGTATATATTTACAAATGTTTAAATAAGTAAAGAGATATAATGCATAGATAACATTTTGATTGTGTTTGATCTCTGCTACTACAAAAGTGCTACACAATATTGATGTTGGAGGAAAATGACATGAACTATAACAGTACTGTTAATTTTGGTGTGTTCCACACAAAGCTGTGTGTGTGTGTTATGTGGTGGTATTAAATTATTTCTTATGAATTCCATCAACAAAGTGTGGGGGGGGGCCAGTTTTAACGTAAAATTGACACTTTTTTAGTAATATCTAAAAATTTAACAGAACTTTTGATTTCCTTTTCAATATACAAGATAAATTTGACCTAGCAGAAAAAGTTTAAGACTCTAAAATAATTTTTTTGCTTATTAAATTTTCAATGCCAGAAAAATCACTTTTTATCAGTGCAGAAAGGTCAAATAATTGTTTGTGCGAAGCCAGTCACAAGAGTGTCTTTTTTTTTAAGTTGGATAAAAATATCAAAAATTTAATTTTTAATTTAGACACAAATTTCTGCATAAAGGTTGTCATCCATTTTTTTATTTGAATTTTTATTAAGCAGAAACTAAAAATATACTTTGCAAAAAATCTTTAAATTCGTTAATTATCTTGCTTGCTGCAGAAAATTTAGAGGCTTATCTTTATCTGTCACATGAAGATTAATGAACACCTTTGTCTGCAATTGATGTTTGTTATGAAGTTGACAACCCTGCATATTTTTTGCCTGAGAAAACTTAAATCTTTTTTAAATACACATATATTGAAGATTTTTTGTCAGTTTGAAATTTTAAAAATATATGTTTCTTATAATCTTTATATATTTAAAAAATTGTGAAATACTAGACCACATTCTAATTTTGTTTAAAAACGGATTTTTTGCATATTGTGAGATGAAGGGGCGCAATTCATGCACGTATCTCTAGAAATGAACATGTAATTGCGACAAGAAATGAAGAGCCATTAATTTGAAGAAGAAAATAATTAATTGATGGTTCTCTCTCTCTCTCAATACTGAAACACTTTGCACAGTCAAAATTGGACAATGGTGTTTTAATTATATGAATAGTAGTAATACTTTTTGTGAAATTCTGATGGTTCTAAAAATATCAGATGCTGTTTCCATGCGCTACATTTTATTTCATTTATTTTTATCTTTCATTTTGAAATTCTCCCTGCGTGTTGCACATGTACATCATACAATGACATCCACAGATAACCAATGTATTTCATTCTTTGTGATTTCCAATATTGTCTGTAACTCCAGAAATGTCAAATTCCTTGTACAAGCAAACAACATAACTTTAACAGGCGCGGATCCAGAAATTTTTTCAAGGGGGGGGGGAGGGGGGGGGGTCCAAACCAGTCAAAAAAAAATCCAATCCCAGAAATTTCTTGACAAGCAAAGAAAAAAAAAAACCTAAACTCGCCGAAACGTCAAAAACTTATGTCGTGGGGGGGGGGGGGGGGGGGGGGGTGTAGTCTATGACTACTATTGCCTCAAATCTTTCACTTTTCATACCAATTTCACACATATTTGCGTTTACCGGGGGGGGGGGCGTTTTCCAAGGGGGGTACGTGATAACTTTTTTCGTGCTTTAGTATATACATTTTTTAACCTTTTAAATTCCAGGGGGGTCCTGACCCCCGACCCCCTCCCCTGGAGATCCGCGCATGTTTAAAAACTTCCTGGTAAAATAATGCAAAACAAATATCAACTTGATCGATTCAAAAAGAGCTTGACAAGCGCTTTATTTCCTCAAGACTTCTAGCGGGATGATTTATCTCCCCTTTCAGCAATAAGTTCGGTTTACTTTTGAAGACAGAAAGAACGACCCCTATCACTGCCTGTCACTATTTGTCTATCCCCTCCGAATTTTGAAACAGTACCCACGGGCCTGTTTTGTACATGTATATAAAAAAGTAATATTCTGTCAAATCCCTTCTTTAATTCGACCTTATTCCTCCTTGTCCCAAACTACCTCTAAAAAGGACAGTACGTTGTAGAAAGAAAGAAGTGTTTCTCGTCCCTGATAAAAAGTTATTTTCAACGAAAGGTAAGTGCATGAATTGATTTTGTTATATATTAGGGTATCTCAAGCACACACTTGAAAATCTGCCAATTCACAATGATTTTTAATAGGGAAGTATCGGCCCTGATAAAATCCAGGACAACTTCTGTCTGCATGGTGTCTCATGTGTAAGTTCCTTCACTGTTAACATATTTTTAAAAAATGAATTCAAACAAAAATAAAATAAGACATTCATAAATCCGCTTCTGCATAGTGTAAAATTTGGAGAAGAATATTAACAAGAGAGACACAAAAGAACAAAGTTTAAACTGCAAGAACATTTTACTGATTTATTTCAATTCAAAACGTAATTCATCATTGCACAGATTGAAGACTAGAACAATTAAACATTGGGAATTAAAATGATATTTTCCAATAACTAACACGCAAACATATGGTAGGTACATGTAGTTCGTAGATCAAAATATGTTTTAAACAACCAAGAATGAGAGACTGCTAATTTTTTACATTCAATAAGGCGTATGGAATCAATTTAAATAAAAAAGTGGCACTTTTATAGTTTCCTTAATTTGCAATTTAAGACAGTTGTAGAATAACAAAAATAAATTTTAAACATATATAACAACTCAACTCTCAATAACAGCTTAATTGCAGATATGACAGCTCACTGTACTAATGTATAAAATCATTTTTTGGTCATCCATCCCAATTTTTTTCTCAGTTAACTTCAGCTACTTGTAGTCCTTCACTGATCCACTCATGTCTACATGTACATCACTCCAAGCATCACCTTCTACAGATTTATCTATATTTATCTCTCACAAAGTTCAGATGCACAGGTTTTTTTGTCACTTTTTTCAATGCATTTTATTTTTGTGACATACAATAATAAATACTCATTAAATATTTTCTAATACATGCAGTGTTATGATACATTTTGAATTTATTTCTAAACAAAATTTTTAAAACGTATGTTCGATTTGCGTCTGGTCAAGAGAAAGTTACCTTCCCTGGGGAAAGGAAGAGAAGCAAATTGGGTAAAAATGGGGTTGATTGATTTGTGTGTGAAAAGACACATTGCGGATCAATATGAGTGACGGGTAAGAGGTCAGTTATGCAGATGTGACCTGGCCATTGAATGGGGGTCACTTAGCAGATATGCTTTGTGAATGGTGGTCAGCATGTTTACCTCTTAAGATATGTTGTTTTTTAAATAATTAAAAATAAATAACTAAAAATCAAAGTTAAGTAAAGATTATAGAACATAAAAAACTTAAATCATCTTTCAACAATGGTGCAATATCATTTGATGACATTTGAAGCACACATTATAACCATATAAAGTGTATATTATACATATATTTTTTTGTATTTCAAAATCCACGGACATCTCCCTTCATGTAAATGTGGGTCACATATAGACAATGACATATTCTTTTGGTCTTATCTCGTGCGTGACTACCTGAACATCTAAATGCATACATGTACATAAAATTATGTAAAGGATTCTTAATTTGTTTTGAATAAATTAAGCACTTCCATAAAATCTCAATAAAATATGTTCAAAACAAACAAAACCTATACATAGTTAATTTAATGGAGTAGCGTGAACATTCTTGCAAAACAAGTAATTATAGCATGTTTTCTTCTTTTAGGTCCATTGATGACGCTGAATTAAGGTGTTAAATACAGGAAGTCAATGAAGACCGGTGGGTTGCAGACCGGATGTGATATCATTCTTGTTGTTCCAGGCAAAGGTCACACCGAAGAAGTCCGTTTTCGTCACATTGCATGCACCGAAGTGAGCAGAATTCGTCCGTGAAATGATTCCGGCGGAGCGACTTTTTGCTCCCATGGCAAAAGTTACAAGGAATAAATCGATAACCACCACATTTTTCACATGAAGATTTCACATCAATTTTCTAGAAATTTAAGATATAAAGTCAATAAGAAATTAAAGGAAAAGATATTTTTTGATAAACATTTATCATATTTCATCATGATAATTGATTGTTCATAATTATGATGATCTCATATCAAGATATGAATTATAACAATTGACAAATGATATGCTCGTATGTGTGTTTCTTAATTTGTATTGCCTGAATTTATATATGAACTTACTGTGAAGCTGGCAAGAATATGACGTAATTCACCACTCTCGTTTAGTTTTTCCAAGTGTTCAAGTGTCTGTAAGAAAGTAAACAGGAGAATGTTAATTACAGCGAAAGGTGCATGGTTTGTGGTTGTTATGTTTCCCCTCTACTTGTTAAAGGTTAGGCAACTTTGCCAATAATCACACGTTATTGCGTAAAACATTTAGATTCGACACTAAAATATGTCCTATCTTGTGCTATTCCATTTTGTAATGCGCATCTTTTTTTCCATTTTAATTTCAAACATGGTATATTGCTAAAATGCTTTGAGATATCAGTATACCAATCTTTGCCCTTGAATAAAACCTTTGTTTTCGGAACAATTTGTATTTACCCCTAACGAGGCTCCATCGGCGAATACTTGCGGTAGGACTATTTGATTGGTGCTGAGTCTCTCCATTAACTCCTTCTGATTTTCTTTGCTCATGAACAAATCTTTCTCTTCGTACCGGACCATATGTGTCTGTAGCATTTTCTTAACCTTTTTACACCGTTCATGCGTAGATCTCACAATGTTCATACTCGTAGTGAAAACGACGATCTTCTCTTTTTCTAGTTGTTTGTAGTTTCTCTACAAATAAAGAAAATGTAAGCAAAAATGATACCATTTGTCTCGTATTTCAAGTCGGTTATATTTTAATAGCTATCTCACATTGGTCAGTCGGTTGATTAGCAACCAGATACGATAATGAAGTGTTCGAAATGAAAAATACTAATGGGTGTTTGAAATAAGAAAAGACTCATCTTCTTGTTGGTCCCCCAAATATCTTGTATGTTAATATACGCATTATATCTTGCCCAAAGACCATCATGCATTTAATACACAATGCAACAGCGCGCAAAACAAATTCATTAAGACTTCAAATATTCTAAATTTATTACATTTTATATATTGATATTAAAGCAAATAATAAGATTCATAACTAAAGTATGATCAAAGATTCCTCAGTTTCACAGTTTTCGGGGGAAAATTACAAAAATAAAGACGACAAACAATGACCACACATCAAAATGGGAGACGTCAGGGTGTAAATTTTAAAAAGATGTGCTTATAATTTGAGTTTAAATTCTTTAGTTTATACACGACCCCATAGAAGCAAACCTTAACGTATACTCTTTTCACATCAAGAGTTCGACCAAAGTTGACATTTTGGGTGTAAATGGCTCAAACAAACAGACTTGAGTTGTAAGTGATACGTCAACCTGTCAGCACCTTGTATCTTTGTTTGCAATGTGCTTGTCTTCTTGGGTGAAGATTTTTATTTCAAATGAAAAAAAATCTTAATCCACGTCTTTTTACGTATTACAAATAAATCCGCACAATCGAATGCGTAAAACTGACTGTATTGATTTTAAAAAGTTTTATTAGATTCCTCCGTGATTTTTTATTTGAGGTGGCAAAAGCGGAAAAACTTTATATTTTACTTAAGTTTGCAGTGAGGTAATGACAAGGACATCGATCAATTGCAACAAAACTACGAATAGTGTAGACATTTTCATCTGCATCCACAGTGACAAACGTTTAGTTATTCAACCGCAACAGTTAATGTCATGTGGGAGTTATCCCTGTATCTTTTCTATATTATGATACTTCAGTTTGATTTCATGATGGACAGTAAAGTGTAGAATGAACCTGTAATAACATTCACAGTATCATGGGACGATGTAGCAACCCGAAGGAGCCATCTCGCTCGCAGAACTTGTGGTTTGGAGACGGTGAATAATTCATGTCCATGTCATGATGTAGGGGAAGCATTCAGCAAAATGTCAATATTTAATGAAGATGTTGAAGAATGGAATCAAGGAACAAAAACTAATGCGAGGGTAATGGATGAAATACATATGCAATCAGTTAATGCAAACAGCAAAACAAACAATCAAACAATATCAATTCCTTCCTCCCTGGACCAACCCATCACAAGCAAAGACAATGCATTATACATTAAACACGGGGGAATGAATACATTAGGAATTTCTCATGTGAATTAATTTAAGGACTGTTTAGGTCTTGTATGAAATCTGCGTTTTAATTAACGATGCAGAAAGTCTAAACGTAAATTATCTTGCACAGGTATTTCTCAATTTTTGGAATAAAACCCATTCAATACTTCAATTGAATCAAGGACTTTATACGTAAACATGTCATATTTAAGTTAAAAGAGTCGCATTGTCAGCCTTGTATAACCCAACGCTTCCTGGTTTAAAGTAGACACAGTTTTATGATATGGCAATTTAACTTTTATGAATGGAATTTTTAAACAAGAAAGAAATGTTTGAACGGTCTCTCCTCTCTCTCTCTCTCATTAAACAAAACACTCGCCACCAAAACGCCACAACAATCAACACAAAACAACAAACCATCAGTAAAAAAAAGGTTAAACATTTGGTCGTCAGTTTATAATAACGTCTTTAATTACATTCCAATGATCAAACCACATTTGGGGACATTAATGATAAGGACACGAGAATCAGACATCAAACACAGCCATTCCCTTGTCATACCTGCTCCGTGTGTATCTCGTCCTCCTCCTGTACAATTGATTTCACATTATAATTTATAACCTGAGGTTTCAACATAGACGATAGAAAAAAGTACATAAACCAAAATTTTAAAAATAAAATTGCCTTGAATGACCCATGATCCGGCGTCTGTAACCATAACTTGGGCATGAAACATGAAACTGTAGTCGTTGTGGGCTCAAAAGATTGCGTGCAAAATAAAAGTATATTTTGCTAACAGCCACTTGTGTTGCTTATAAACCCTGATTCCGATCTAATTCTTATTCGCACAAACAAATATGGTGAAAAAATTTCTTATTCGTGTAAAAAAAATCAAAATGATTATGCAAGCTCTAAAATCTAAATGAATCATACAATTTTCCTAGAGCATGCAGTCATAATGAAAAGGGGCAGCAATTAACAAAAATCTTTGGAAAAAAAAAAGAAGCTAAAAGTAAAATAAAATTATTTTGAAGAAAAGAAGAAAAAAAGTTACACTTGTCATATTGAACTTGTAGCAGAAAAAAAAGGATCCAGCCTCAATCCCCCACCTCCACTTGAGATTTTTTTTCTTCGTGTACAAATCAGCACATTGTGCTTAGCGCACAAAATTAAGTTTTATCTTATTGCAAAATAAAAAAGGAAACTTGTCTCTATTTAAAAATTTGGATGTCAAGTTTTAAGACCCAGAGGCTGTTTTACTAAAAATTAATGTAGCTCAGGGGTTAACGTGCATTCTTAATCGACTACAAACTTCACATTGTTTATTTTTTGTCCAAGAACGTAACATTCAAGTCATAGCGTTCACTTAAACCCTATACTTTCACTTCAGAGGTAAACGATCTTTACAATGTGATCATTTATTCATCATGTAATTATAATTTTTTCTTTTGGAACACAGGAACTTTTTTTGAAAGGGGAAAAAAAATTAAATTTGGTGTGAGAGTCAACTGTATTGATCTAATTTAAATATTTTGATGAAATCAAATTAATATCCTTTATGATCAACAGATACGAAAAATACGTGTCAATAGAGATACTAAATCGGTGATCTTAACTTTAATACAAAACTACTAATGGCTTTATTATCCGTTTAAATGTTTAAAATGATTTTGTGAAGCTTCAATAAAACTAGGTTTTGATTACTCTGTCGATATCAATTCTTTTCCAGTAGTTATAGTAACATGGACAAGGGACCAGAAATTCTAAAAGATAGCAGTGTATACGTATTTAACCCCTGAGATAAAATGTCAAAAGATAACAAGATAATCGTGAATATACCGGATAAATGGAGGACGAATCTTTTTAATTTGTCCGTGTACACCTTTACAAAATAACAAACTGTCTTTTGTTTGAAGGACGTGCATTCCAACACCCCTACAAAATATGTGACCCCCATACACGAACGTTTTATAACCTCGGGAGCAAATGATGTTTGACTTTTCTGGTGTCAACACCTAATAAACCCTTTTAAAACGTCTTTTATACAAAGATATATAAAGCTGTCTTTTAAGTAAACTCTTAATCTGTAGGTATTCCTCATCTCCCAAACTGTGGAGAGAGAGAGAGAGAGAATGTCTTTCTCATGTCCCAAGCTTGTAACAGAAAGATCGACATTTCCTTACAAATATTTTTTATCCATTCATTGTTTGTTATGAATTTCGAATAAAATGCCGCTAAAAATCAATACAAGAAAAAGGCTTTAAAAAATGTATCAGTTAAGTCCTCTCAGGGCGTCAAACTATGCGGATAAAACTTCAATCAGAAATAAAATTCAATGATCAAGATGTTTATGGTTGCAATACGTCTTGTGCTTTGTTGGGAAGCTCGCCCAAATAAAGATATTACGGAGTAAGTTGACTTAAAATTCCCTGCCATATATCATTGAAAAATCTCGATACGTACTCGAGAAAGTGAAGTGTATCGAGTTTCTCTGCATGATCAGGTGTAGAATTATACGACTGCACGATATATTTGGTATTTCAAAAATGAATACTAAGGTATTTTTTTCATAACTAAGTAACCTAGAAAAAGAATCAACCAAAAAAATCTTTTGTCTGACCACGTATTCCATTTCCTTCTTCGACATATCCACCCATGATCATTTTCTACATAAAATAACATAATCCATGATTCATTTTGTTTCAGTGAAACTAAATATAAATGGGGAAATGTCTTTATTGCATGGATGGTTTTTATTTTAATTTTAAAAAATGGAAAAATCGCGTTAAATTGTTAGTTCCCTAAAATAAAAATATTCAGTGAAATTTCTAATTCCAAAGTTCCATGTTGTTAAATTTTCTTTGACTATGACTTTTTTAAAGAAGGACTTCGATTAAATAAAGCTTTTCTATACTGTTCCTTTGATCACACCCTATTAAACCTTGCTGGGTACGTGTGCTAAAAAATAATACACAGCTATAGTGTTATATTGATTTGTAGAGTACCTACATAGGGAAATCAATACTAGGGCAATTAGAACCAATCTGAGTTAATTACCTACAGTTCGTCCACTGTAAAATTCGATAATGCGCGAACACATGAAATATACTTATATATTTTGGGGCATATTTACTCAGGAAGTTCTTCAATTAATTAATTATATAAAACATGTCATTCAATTTCTTACATGTCGCGACAACACCAGTCTTAAATGTTCTCAATTAACGACATGACACAACAAAAGTTATAATTAATTACTCTATTATATTCCGATGACCTCTAACAATAAATGTGTTCCTATTAACACATTACGTAGGATTTTAATTAAAACGTGTTTATACCTTTTGTCTGTACCTGTCTTTTTAATTTATGCCTGTTTTCTGCTTGAAGAACTTACCAAGGTCTCTCCCGTTTGTTGCTGTAAGAACGTGGCGATGCCGGCCCGGACGCGGTTTTTGAACCCCCGGACCGTCCCCCGGGAACTGACGATTTGTTTTTCCTGTACAGAACTGGGATTGGAGACGTCCCTCCTCCCGGCATATGTATCAGTCCTTACAACACTAGCCCCACACTGTCCATTGCTCTCCGCCCCCGTATTCTCTGAATTAAAGTCATTAACAGACATATACTGTAAATGTTGTGCCAGTTCCTTCCTGCTGTATCCATTTTTCCCTATCTTATTGTATTTTTTCTCATAGTCCCCCCAGTTCATTGCCGGCTCCGACTCACACCGCCTCGGCACCCCGTCTGCAGCTCGGGCGTGGCCATTCCGTAATTTCACTTCGTTTTCCGGTCTCACTTCGGTTTTCATTCCTTCTGTATTGTTATTTTTATCCTGGGAGCCAGACTCCGAACTGAATATTGGTATTTTGTTCAGCAGGCTGTTCGGTCTCACACCTGGCATTGCTGCACTCGGAAACTGATTCCTACCTGTGTTCTTTTTCCATGTCATCTATCAAAATTTTAAATTTAAAAATCCAACAGAGAAGTAAATTACACGACAGCGATTCAGATAATCTTCATTCAACAATCCACATGTTGACAATATAGCGATCATGAACTATAATGCACAATCAGCTGTCATTTCGTTTACCTGGAGATCACGTGACCGTTACGTCACCATATCATTCACCTGAGCGTAATATTATAAATCATAACAAACAAATTAGTTTAAGTCAAAATCTAAATATATATCAAAACTTTAAAAAAAAACATAACTAATGATATATCACTGTGAAGGAGATATTCAGCTCCTCAACTTGGTTTTTCACGGATTGGGAAAAACAAACACGCACAACTTTTTTTTCCTGAGGATCCTGGGGTGTTTTACTATGAGATTTTGAATACAAGTACTTTAAACAAAAATATTGATACAGCAACACTGTTCAATAAATCGATATGCTTTAATTCCTCAATTCAATACATTTCCCCTGGGATTTATTTTTTACATTCATGTTTAAAACAGGGTAACACTATAAGAATTTATTTGAATGAAATATTTTTATGATTTACTGAGTAGCAGTTTCCTTGAATGAGCCATTTTTTAAAATATATAATAGAAGTATTCATATGGGTGAATTACGATATTCGTGGGACGTTAAAAAAAAAGGGAAATAAAAGTATTAAATTTGTAAAAATGCGTTGGTATTTCATTAAATAATTTTTTTAAAAAATAGATTTCTCTTAAGCCAATAATTTTACAATTATTAAAATTGGGAGGGGAAACTCGTGATAAAAAATTATATAAAACTATCTTTAGGGCATAGGTACCTTAAATAACTGCGTTATCACACCAGAACTGCATTTCTTTGAAAAACATATCTTCGAGGTATTAATTACAAGACTCGAACTAAGTATTACATCTAATTGTTACTAGTTGTTAGGTACTGCACAGGAAATACACCAAAACAAAGTGCATAATTTACTGGGTCATCACAGGGTCACAACAGTAGGAGAAATGTAAAGTCCAGCACCCTTTGTTACGTATAAAACCATGTATATAAAGAACCCCTACCTTCCAACAAAACATTCAAAAGTTTGCTTACGGTAGGTATCAACATTTTTTTTCTTTATATTTTAGCATATCGACGCTTGCTTGAATAGGGTATAATGCATACGAGTTAAATTACTACTAAATATTTTTTTTCAGGGATGTAGCATCGTTTTTGAAGGGGGTGCAGCCATAAAAAAAGATTTCAGCCTACCTTAAAGAAAGTGGCAAACAAAAAAGTTAAATTGACCAACCTGGAAAATCCTATTTCGTGTGGTGGTGAGGGTCAACTTTTTTCTTAACCAACTTTTATTCGCACACTTCTATAGTACCTTGTTTGACTATACTGCAACAAAAAGTTGGTGAGATAACATTTTCAATAATAAAAAGTGATGTTTCGGCCCCTCCCCCCTTCCGGATGCTACATGGCTGTTTTTATACAGTACTGTTGAATTGACATGTGGAGTCCGTTGTATTGTAATTATCATTTACCCCAACACCAAGCTTTCTGATTCTTTCTCTACATTGCGAACTTTATTTTCATTCCCACTTTTTCCTACGTTCTTTAAACTTTCAAATCGGAGTCACTCACTTTCTTATCTGAACCAAACTTTATGTTTGTGCTTGTCGTATAGTCAGTTTTTAGCTACAGAACTGTATCTTTTGAGACATAATATTTCAACAGACAAAGCAGAGATGGTTCCTGTCAATGAGCTATATTAATGTAGCCAGTAAATACGATTTGCACATATTTTTCGGTATGTAACAGTACAGTGTAGCAAATTGAAAAGGGGGAGGGTAGTCATAAGAATCTGATTATTTCTAAACTTTACCTAGAGATGCTGCGATTGAATCTTGCCTTGTTGTTGGTGTGTGTCTGTGTGGCTGTCTGTCAGGCCAGGGGATACGGGAAGTGGCGCCCACCGGTCCGACACCACGGGTACGGAAAGCAATACGGCATGGGAGGACATTGTAAGTATGCTTCAAATACTACTACCCTGCAATTAAATTTGAAAAACATTAACTCAAATGAATCAAAAGCATTTAGAACAAAGCTAATATTGTTAAGTATCTTTTGACAATGCCTTGAGCTACCTTACCTTTTCAGATGGTATGTGGAGTACTCCCTCGTACTATGACTACGGATACAGTTATGGCGGTGTATCCTCTGGATATCCTGTTGGATATAACCAGGGTGTATCCAGCTTTGGCTATTCCAGCTCTGGATACATGCCATCAGTAGGATCCAGCTGGTCCAATGTAGGATACGCTCCCAGTGGAGGAGTTGGATTAAGCGGGGCTATATCCAGCATCTCCTATCCATCTCGATCTAGTGGATATTACAGCCAGGGAATGGTTGATCCCTACAGCCAAGGATCTGTGGGCGGGAGCTATATGTATTGATGTACTGGATATTTACAAAAAATCTCAAACTCTGCATAATTCTTGACCTTCAATCAATGAAATATGAACTACCCGGTATTTCATTCCACAGAAAAACTTGCAAAAATATCAAAATAAAACAAAGGTTTCTGATTTTACAGTTTCTTTTATTTGTTTTTTAAGGTTTCTATTTACAACTGCAAAGTGTAGAGGTACCTAATTCACATTACAGAGAATATATATTGTTGATTCTTTGTACATAAATATACTATTTACATACATTGTACATAACTTCTTTGGGGAAAGGATATCTTTAATCTTCTCCCTTTGACACAAACATTCACTAAATACTGAACAGTTTTATTATAATACAGTGGTCATTGTTATTATATATCTTTCACAATTTTAAAGTTATATTATGTTGAAACTATCATAGCAATCCGCATGAGAATCAAATGGCCAAAAAAAAATACTGTAAACCAACTATTATTTTCATCATCTTTTATTTGCAATTTGGCAGTTTGAAACCCATCCCTGACAATTAATTTATTCAACGTAGGAAAAGTTCTCTTCAAATGCAAAGCAAAATAAAAGGTTTACAGTGATAAATATTCACGAGTTAACTTGTGGATAGTTATAGCATGCGAATAGAAGTTGGTTTACAGTACTTAAGTGAAAGTTGACTAGAAATTTTCAAAGGTTTTCTTTATATGAAACTTTGTGTAAATATACTGTACCATAAAACATAAATGTCCAGTATAGAGCCTGAAATAAACATATTCCGTTCCTTAAATCATATCGAGTGCCATGGCACATTAATAAAAATTATACCAAAAACAAATAAAGGAACATAACTCCTGGCAATTTTTTACTTCCAGATAAACAGATTTACATCTTTACATGTAAAGGTATATAAAAAGATGAAAAAAAATCATATTGTCATTATTAACCACACAATGGACTTAACAATGAAAAGTTGTGTTTTTTCAATATTCTGTAATAACTCTTTCTCCCTAGAAATTTGAAGTTGAGGTAGATTTACAGATTAAACTAAATTAAAAAAAAACTTCTTCAGTTATTTAAATAATTCATCCGTACTTATTTTAAATTTAAATCATAATACATGTACATTATAATTTAAATTAAAAGGTGGTCAAAAAATAAAATGCAGTGCAGCACCATCATTTTCCTTGCTATTCATTTTAGTTTACTATGTGTGCATTATAGATGTTAAAATCAAAATGTTCACAAAAAGCATAATCTATAGAATTAATAGACAATGACAAAATCACAGTCAAAAATTGGAATGATGGGAAATATTCAGAGAAGAAATCAGAGATAAAAAACTCAGTGGGCAATGAATAAAATCAAAATTAAGGTCAACCAGGAGTATGAATACTGAATGTGATGATACATCACAGACAAAAAAGTTTACATATAGTAACACTTTATAAAGCATTTTTTGTATCCCCAAACTCTCATAGATTCACACACTGCAGTGTATAAATCATAAACATTGTACAACACAAACACAATGACTGTATGATGTATATATATATAACGAAAGAAAAGACAGATGTTGTCGTAAAATGAATATGTACAATAAAATGCACTATTTAACAAGTTAAAAGACAAACATAACTTAGTCATGTTGAGCAAATAAGTTTGAAACTATTCAATGCAAAGCATCAGGATAAAACAGTTTTTTTTTCTCTGAGTAGAAAAAAAAAAATAGAATGGTGACATTTTACAACATAATGTAACATTCTTCTTATATTGTTTGAATAGTTATATCTTTCAATGATATCTTGTAATTTACACTTTCTCCACATGTATCACACCATCATATCAAAAGATAACTGAATTGAAAATATCTGTAAATTGGTAAAAAAACAAAAAAACATGCAATGAATGTGATCATACATAATTCAGTAAACCAATGAGAAACCTTATGAATAAAGCAGAAGGTAATAAAGTAGGCACTTCTTTATGTTTAAAAAAAAATGAATTTGGTACTTGTACACAACTGAAAAAAAAAATACTTAAACTTTTGAAATTCAACAAATGATTTGATTAGGTTGCATATATATTGTTTGTCAACCCTGACATAGATAAACAAGGGAATCACAGAGGATTTGAATGGCCAAGTCTATTCCATTGTTTGTACTACTTGTGTCGTTGTGAGTATGGTCGGCTTGTGATGATCTAACCTCTTTGTGACCCCCGGACGCAGAGACTCGCGCACTCTCTGAAGTTTTCTCTCCGCACACAGAGTAACTAGTCTGTTAAGCTCACCCGCTGAGTATCCTAATAACATTTTCAAGTCACACACAAATTTGTACACAAATCTTTTTCCATGCACCTGAAAAATAAAAGCATTTCCATGAAATCAAGTATTTCTTAAACAAGGGTATATTTAACAAAGACAGTATAAGAGAGGATTTCACAATTAAATTCATATTAAATTTAGTTAGGAGACTGTGAGTAGGTCATAAAAAAGAAAGACTTCATAATTCTCAGCAAGTCATTTGTTCTTGATGCAAGTGTATATTAAATGGCATTTTGACATACTGTACAAGCAGAAAATGTTACTAAAATTTTGCATACATCCTCTGAGTAATGAAGCAATAAAGAATTAAAGCTCACCTTAGCAATCATATCTCCATCGTAGTAGTACCTCAGTGCCCGGCTGAGTTTTTCGTAGTTCATTGTAGGTTTGTTTTTCCTCTGGCCCCACATCTGAGCCACCATTTCAGGATTGTTCAGTTTGAATTCCCCTTCATCCCCGATCCACTGTATCACCTCTCTACAATCTTTGTCAGTTAACAGGTCTAGTAAAAACTGCCACAGCTGAATCTGACCATTGTTCCCTGTGTAAAATATTATACACAAATACAACTTCAGATTTATATATCATATTTGATTCTGAAGTTTCATCATGGTAACTTGCAGATAAGGGAATATCCTTTGAGGAGCTTTTATTCTATTAGTGTACAATTCTTACCTGTACGATTACCAGGAGACAACCTTTCATCCCCCGTTATTCTTGGAGATCGAGGACGATTCTGACGATACTGTTTCACCCTACCTGTAGGTTTAATAAAAGTTTTTTTTAAGAATAGCTTTCAATATTTTTTAGCCTTTAAAAAAATAAAGGATTTTACTTGCAAGATAGTCATGAAATGCAGAGTTTGGCAAATTATCCAAAAGATTTTCTATTAAAATAACTGTTTCATTTAAGTTTTTGCTAGCAGATCTTCAGACTTTCCCTGGCTACCTTGAACACCAAAATTGATAGAATCAACTAAGTGTTCCAAAGAATGTAAAGTCAGACAGAACATTACAAAATAAACATCTGTTGCAATATTGAAAATAAGGCATAATAACTGACCATCTTGTCCTGATGTTGAAACTGTGATAGTAGTGATAGCATGAGGCGTAGGAGTCTGCATAACAGCTGTAATCAACAAATAATTCAGAACCATTAATGTGCTGTCATTCTGTAAAATTGTGGCATTAAAACAAAATACATGCCACACACTAACAAAAAAAATAAGATCTTATTCAGTCTACAAGGAAATCTCACAAGAACATAACTTCTCTTCTTTTCAGCTATTTAATGGTCAGTTAAACAGTTTTTATCTTACTGAAAGTTATCTGATGAACATGATGAATGGTTTCTAAGAATTTTCATTTTATGAATGTTATTACTAACCAACAAATTTGCATTTCCTCAAGAGTTCCAGATGTGTCCAGAAAATGTCTCCTTTATCACTAGGTATGAGTTTGACAAACTCTGGATGTGTCAGTTCACACAGCTGTTTGCCTGTGATTCGGAAACTGTCTGGATTTACACCCACTAACTTGAACTCCTTTATGGCCCAGTCTATCCAGTGTTTTACATGTATTTCACTCCACTGAACAGGGTCTACACAAACAAAGAGTTTTTTTTTAAATGAACAAACTTCATTTTACTTCAATATTTATAATTTACAATGTATAAGATGGGTAAGATTTGTTTAAGTCGGGTAAGACAACAAATAACATTAGCTCTGAAGAGCTATTTCCTGATTCAAATAATTACATTGTAAAACAACCCTATACAGAAAATTATGACTCTCTCTCTCCTGCACTTAAAATAAAATTTTTGTTTGAAAATGACAATAAGTAAAGCAATATAAGTAGTTTTTAAAAGTTTTTACCAAATGGTATTTTGAGTCGATCTTGTTCTCTTCTAAAATGCTGATCAACAATCCACCTGGTGACATTTTCTGACTCCTCAGGAAGGGGGATAACCACTTTTTGTTGAGATGATTTGACTTGTGTTGTCTGTGCAGGTGGGGGTGCAGGAGCTACCTCTGAAAATTACAGTTATGAACATATTATAAATGAAACCTAACAAACTCTTTAATGTACAGTGCACTCAATGCATTCCAAAAATCTCTCAAATGCTTAGTGATGTACATACACCAGCAACATACATACAGTCATGTATATTGCAAGGTGAAAGTTTACAATAACAATATCTACTTAATTTCCATGTAGAAAGCAAATTGCATTGAGAGACAAAAAACACATTTAGTTTATTTGAATACTTGTTATGGAGTGTATACTTGTAATTTACTTCCTTTGTGATTAGTACCTTGTTCAATCTGTTGGGCTTCCACTTCATCTGCAGGCTTTAGAATGTCAACAATATTTATCTTTGGTTTAACACCTGTAAAACAACAGGAAACATTATCAAGCATATTCTCCCTGTTACCCTTCTGAAATAGCTGTTATACTGAATCCTGTTTCTGACCTGGCTGAGATTTGACTTCCAGGTTGATCTGTACCATACCCTCTCCTTGTACACACTGGTCTACCAAACTCTTGCTTGTGTCCAACTGTAACAAAAGGAAATCTACACTTGGTAGAGGAATAACATTTCTAATTCTAAGTAAATTTACTATAATCCTTTTTTAATGACTACAACTACAAAATATCTTATATTTTCAAGTCTTCACTGGTTTCATATTCTACACTTGAAATTTCAAACATTTCTCATCTCTCTTGTCCACTAACTAGTCACTAAAAGTGGGTAAAAAGTAAGTAACATTTTTCCAATGATTGAGGTTACTTCGAACTAATTTCCATTCATTACAATGAAGTGTGTATATGCACCAGGTGTTACAAAATATGTACCTCTATTGTGTCCTGGAGATAGAACTGGTGGTCACTCAGAGTGCACTGTAATCTTAACTCTAACAGCTGTTTGAGGGTAGACAGAGGCTCTGCTATGTCCATGTGCTGTATGATTAAATTTTGATATGATGGTGCTGCCTGTTGAGAATTGCTCTCTTCCTCATATACAATGCTAAAAAGGATAGATGTACATATATTGAGTGCAAATGCATAACAATGGAATCACTAAATGTTAAAAATAATTCATCTTCTAATTTGCAAAAATGCATGGAAAAAAATTCTCTATGAAGTAAAACAATACCCTTCAGAAGAAACAACTTGTTCACTTGACTCTGGGATTTCGCTTGCAAAGTCTTGTGCAATGTGAACTTCTTGCACTTGAACATCTTGTGCAATCTCCTGTGTGGTTAGTTCCTGTGTTGTTTCACCTTCAGTGTCCAATCGGATTCTTTTAACAGCTGGCTCATCTGATATCTCCTGATCATCTGTTTGTGATGTTGCTATAAATATGCATGTATATTGCCTCATTTAAAAAATAAATAACCTTTACATGTAGGAGAAAAGTAGGTCAAACTTCATGGTCAAGGTTATGAGGTCTGAAAGAAAGGCCTTGTGACAAGGTATATATTTATTTGAATATCACTTACCACACATACTCGCCATTAAGTCAGTCCGCATATAAGTCAGTTGTATTTTTTCAGCTTATATTAGAGCGATTGACCCTCTAAAACACCAGTCATTCAATTACTCGCCTACAAGTCTGACAATGAGTTTGGTCCAAAAATTCAACTCCCAAAAAAACGACTTATGGGCAAGTATATACAGTATAAAATATAAAGATGAATATGGAAATATCTTACTTCATAAATGATACAGGGAAGAGTTTAAAACAACCAGAAATTGTACTTACTCATAGATAGATAGCCCTCTTCAGTCATGGTAACTGTTATTGTATCATCTCCATTCTCCATATTCGCCAACCTTTAACTTTTATTCTAAAATAAGAATTTTTCACACGTTAAATCCGGCTTAATTGATAAATGATAAGGGGAGTTCAAAACAGTCTATAACCAATAGATCTCACAAATTCTTTTTTTATAATGTAGGGATATGTAAAACAAGCAGTCACTTCTGTACAATGTATTTACAGTTTACATTCCCGCTTGCATATTTTTTTTTTGCAATACTACCTAAATGACCTTCTCTGATGCTCTTAATACATAAGACTAAGAGGGAATTCCTGAACTGAACTGACAGTCCTTTACCAGCTTCAGCTAGAAGTGTTTTCATTCAAATAAAATTTGAGGTACATGTAGATTGCTTATCTATTTATTTCTTGTGAAAAGCAAAAAAGGTTTTTTTTTCCCCCCTCATTGAACAGACTTTATAGTTTGGTTTAAAGAATTGAAATCATCAAGTTCATCCCTTAGCCAGTGATTCATTTTGCCCTGCGTATTGCGTAATTTACGCATTAAATTCATTAAATACCCATTGGTTTATGTCCAGTGCGTCCCGAATACGCATAAGTGATAACCCGCATAAAATAGAATTGAAGTTTCCAGTTTCTATTTTTATCGTTCATTCTATTTTTCGGAACTTAGCATACTTCATATTTCATTTGTCTTGTATAAATCATTTAAACAAAAGGCTTAAATATAAGATACGGTAAAATTACAAACACCTAAATGTTTAATATGTGTAATTAACACGCGCTCAGCCGCTGACACAGTATACGAAAGCTGGTCATAAACCGTCCCGATTTTTAACAAAGAAAATATTAATAATCAAAGCAAATTATAAGGACAGTAAAAAATCAGTGATCTAATTGTAAAAACATTGCTTTGGAGTTGGTAGACAATTAATTGCCTGGAAAACATTGGCTTCCTTTCATTGGTACGTAGAGAGGGTGTTTAAGTTGCAGTAAATTTTCACTGGGTTATTTACAACCAAAAATATTTTTTTATTATTGTATTTCATTAAAAAAAAAAAAGACATTGCTTTGTCTGATTATTACAGAAGGAGTGAACGGTCTAAAAATAACATCGGTAATGGCGGCCTACACTGAGAGTCGGGGAGACAATAAACATGCAGCTCAAATTAATTTTAACTTGCTTTTTCATGTCTTTATAGTATCAAAAGGTTATGAAAATGACATTTTTAACAAAAACAATAAATTCCGAAGTTTATATTAAAATATGGCGATAAACAAAAGAAGTTACACATGTCTCTATAGGTAATATACTACGGTATGTAGTATGATAGCCATGTTTCACCTGAAAGAAAAACATATGAAAATCCCATTTTCATGTAAAGTATGCGCTCCTTTCTTACAGAAATTTTATTTTAGGAAAAAAAGTGCTTATTATATTACGCCGAATACGGTAACTGAAGAAAAAAAACTTGGCTTGATATCACATTCATAGTTGTTAAAATTCTGACCCATTGATTTTGAGTTCTGACCCATTGCTTTCTGACAGAGGGGTACACTGTACCCATTCATTCAATTTTCAAAATGAATCACTGCTTAGCATATGCATAAATAAATCAACTCTTGAAGTCTTTTAATTGTGACGGTAAGCTGGGTTCGATCGCCGGTGGCCAGATAGCTCAGTTGATAGAGCACCTGACTGGAGATTCAAGGGGCCCAGGATTGAATACTGGTCTGGTCCACTGCATTTTTCTCCTCTCCTGATATATTTGGTGCCGTGACCAAGATGAGTCTGGGTTGGGTCTTTGGGGGCTAAAGACCTTTAAGGAGGGAGGAAAGTAGTGGTCAGCTGGGTGAAATCGCCAGTGGCCAGATAGCACAGTCGGTAGAGCACCTGACTGGAGATTCAGGGGGCCCGAGTTTGAGTCCTGGTCTGGTCCGCTGTATTTTTCTCCTCTCCCGTTACATGATAAAAATGGTATTATAAAGAACCCATTCAAGTATTTCCACTGATATTCAAAATCTATCCTAACATCTTTTTTCAAAACAAAAAATATATTCTACATCAGTCTCAAGATGTTTTCTTTCTCAACTTTCAATATATTTTTTATTAATTTTTAAACATGTGATAAAAAAAAAACGTCAACTGTTTAGAGAAGAAACATTTCCTCCAGTAAAGCATGGCAAGGCTCAAGTGCATCGACTAATTGAAAAATTAAATAAAACTAACAAAAAAAAAATTGGAGTAACTTTTCTTTTATTTCATCTAAAATACTAAACACATATTTCTAATCTTCTATTGGTCTGTTGTTTTCGCTTCATGCTTCATTTCATACACTCAAATATCGGTCATGACGGCAGACATCTTGGATTTCGAACTGAGATCCACTTAGCATTGGTAAATTTCTGTATTTTATAATTTTAAAGAAATAAACTCTTTTGTTTTCGACATGTTTGAAATGAGGAAATGAATGTCTGCTCCTGAGACAACTTTGTAATCAAAACTTCCGGCTGGAGAAAGCACGCACAACATCCTGTTTGCAAGACCAATCATCCAAATGTGCTAGAAAGCGCGCTTCACAGATGGACGCGATGACTGCGAGTAAAATTTGAAATTATGGTAGTAATAATTCATTTCAAAGCCATACTTACAAATTAACAATAGTGTCCTCATTCACTTATTGAAGAAAAACCAAGAACAAGCCGTTTATTTGACCGGAAATTTCTTGTGAACGGAAATGGCAGACAAAGCAGGATCTTCCTTTTACCAAGAACACGTGACCTCTGCTTCGGTAGAGTTGAACCAAATTTGTGAACCAATTTTGTAAAACGAAAAAATATAATCTTATTTATTACGAATATGAGAGAATCTTTATACTTTTCAAATAATTAAACTATTTCATATGACCAGACTTGCAATATACATGCATCACCTATTGGGGCTTGTCTTCCGGATTGTTATAGGACTTTTAAAATTAATAACCCCTACAAAAGGATCCTGTCCCAATTAAAAAATTAAATTAAGTGATTTCGATCCCCAAAAAATGTAAATAAAAATATCCAAATGAGAAGCAGATATTTTTCCACTGCTTTTTATGGCAGAAAAGAATAAATGTTGAGATTTTAACAACTCAATACAGATGTGAATAGAATGTAAACCTTCAATCAAACTCTTTATTCGACAAAAACATTAATATTTTGAAAATGCCATTTTTTGATTTGAATTACAATTGGAAAGGGTTCGGGTCTACAGGACATTGTATCAAAAAGGGTCAATAAAATTTAGATCCTGCATTCCAAGAGAGAAAGCAAGATGTGATTTGCGAAGAGATTGTAGCTGAATACATAGTTCTCGATACGCCTGAATTTAGCAAGAGTTATGCTTTACATAAGACTTTTTGAGCCAATGGTTCATTTTCAAAAGTTTTTAAAATACAATATGTCAATTCACCAACTTTTACTTAAAGTAAAATACGTGAAATTCTTATAAATTATTATTATCCCCAAACAAAAGAATAAGAAGTCATTAGGAACACATTCTGTTATATAAAAAAAAAGACTTTGAAAAGTTTTTGGGTTTTTTTTTAGGAAAATCTCATATATTTTTTTTAATAAGTTATGAAAAACGGAATCCACCCTGTTTCCCTGGCCTTCCCAGAATGCTGCACAAATAAAGGGCTACGTTTGCGCAGCATTATGGGAAGACCAGCCCAAGGAAACAAACTAAAAAGGAATCGTCTCATATTTGAATCGGGTTAGTTTTTGTTTTTCGTTTTGTGAAAAACTAATAGGAAAATTAACGTGACCTGTCTGCAAGGTGATCTCGATTGGAAAAAAGTCTACGGTATGTAGTGAGTTTAGTATATTTGAAAAACAACTGTCATGAAATTAATTTTATTGTGTTTATGAAAGAGTTTGAGGCCATTGACATTTCCCTTTATAAACTGTATGAAACATACCAGACGTGAAAAAGCAATATAACATAATTTGTAGATATAGTCCGAGATTTCTCTGTCTTGCTTGTCAGTAGGTGTAACTTTGATTGAATATAAATATATTTTACATACTTATGTGTTACCTATAGGAAGAGCTTCGCTCTCACAGGCCCTTCGTGCCCATGAGAGGGCTACGCCCTCTCTAAATACCAGTAATGAGTATTAAAAGCAAGTATCAGTGACACCATGCAATGCTTGAAGTGAATCACTTCCAACTTGAACTGTTGAAGTGGAATGCTTGTATCAATTGATTAAATTCCAAACAAACAACTTTTCAATTAAAAAAGGCACTTTTTTGTAGCAGGTCCAGGGTTTTATCATTTCAAGAAAATACTGATCACCATTCACAAAATATTTAAGTTGCAAAAACCTTACAGTTAAGGTCAATTGTATTTTCACTTATATACTTTGAGTCACCCTCATGGTGCAGTGGTTAGAGTTTTTCACTCTAGAGTCTCCCAGTACTAAGGAGTTGCTCCTTACTTGCGTGTTTGAATCCCACAGCAGAACAGTGTATGTGGAGACAATTCCTTCATATAAGACCGTATAAATCTAGGTCACATGTCACAGTAGAAGTTGGAAACTTACTTTTCTACAATGTCTGTTAAATTAGTTTTACCTTGACCTTGTTCTAGGGAGAAGGCCAAAATAGACTTTGTCTGCTGCCCTATCCAATTCACCTTTTATGAAGAAAATTATGTATAAAAATTATTTATAAATAATTTTAGTCTTTCTTGATCAAATTTATGCATATAATGTGTACAGATGTCATCATGAGGTATTATAGTACAGTTAATTAATCCAATAAATGATATCACCTCTATAGACTAAATAGAGTAGCAGGTATGAAAAATATCCATATTCTGAACCCAATTTTGCTAAATAGATTTTGTTAAGAGGATGAACATCATCATGGAAGTCAAATAAGCAAGTTTAATTTTATTTTTTGCATCCTTTTTCAAGGTCGAGATGTTTGGGAGACATTTGACCATCACAGGGCCACGCCAGTTGAGGACCATTGCAGCTAGAAATCTTCACCTGACTGGGGCTTCTTACCAGGCCACTGATCCTATCCAACAACTGTTTGTTACTAAAATTAGAGAGTATGCCAACAAGAAGAAACAGCTTAAGTAAGAATGGGCAGTTATCCCTTATTTATATCTGGTTGTTATGTTACACATTTTTAACCATCTCAAAGACACTTGTTAGATTTGAAATTTGAAGGAGCTTTAGATATTTTTGAATACTGTTAAATCCAAGGTCACCAAATGTTTATGAAATAGTTTTGTATATGTTTTAACTCTTTAACTTTTAGTTCTTGTTTTTTTTTTTGTTTTTTTTTTTTGAATAAGAATAATTTGTTTAAAATGTCAATATTTGCATATCAAGGAAAAACAGAAATACCTTGGTAAGATCACTAAGAGTATACAGCTCAAGAAACATTATTTAAGTTGGTGATATGCTCAGAATACATCTGATAACTGATCTATGGTTTCAATTCCTCCCCAAAAAGTCAAGGATACAAATGTATTTGATTTTGTTAATTCAGACATTACATATTAAATAGCTCATACTAAGCCTCATACTAGCAAATGGCAATACATTGTATTAAAACTCTCCATGTACCAGAAATCAATGTTAATATTGATCTCAAAGTTGCCTTAAAAGCATGTTATATAGAGAGAGCATATGCAAAATAAATATACCGGTACATTTCTTGTGGAATAAACACAATTGCAAAATAGATATTTGTGGTATTTAATATCATGATATTGTTACGTGAATATAACAGAATTTGAGAGGACACCTGTGTTGTGATATTATTGTTCTTTCTGTATCGTTACAGACCAGGAGAGGTGTTGGTAGATGCTTCACCTGAAGTAGTACAGAACTACAATGACAGTTTAAACAGAATCTATAAAATGTACAGCCTAACTAAAGCCAACGCAACCACTGTCCCTGAACTCCAATTTCAAGGTAAAATTATAGATGTGTTGGTGTCAGATGTCTTAATTAGCAATATGAAATTTAAAAAAAGATCCCATAAGGGACGTAACTCTTGTAAATGCTTATGGTGATTGCCATGCTCTTTTAGGTATGCATTACTTTCTTCTCTCTTTTTATACGCCCGTCTTAAGACGGGACGTATTATGTTATAGGCTTCATGTCCGTCCGTCCGTCTGTCTGTCCACTCGTGTCCGGCTCATAACTTCAATACTAATAGGCCTAGGACTATCAAACTTTGTCAACTGGAACTTCTTGGGTAGACGGTGTGTCGCGCATAAAAAGTAGGTAGCATCTGACCTTTAATGAGGTGTGTATGACCAAATTGGAAAAATCCTGTCCGGCTCATAACTAGTAAACTATTAGACCTAGAACTATCAAACTTGGCAAATGTATACATCTTGGGTAGAAGGTGTGTCGCGACCTATTTCAAGGTCACTGTGACCTTTAATTTAAGTGAAATTTAAAAAAAAAAATAAATCTTAAATATTTAATTTCATAATCCTAAAAAATGTAAAATTATAGTTGTATCCTTGTTAAAAAATGTTAAATCAAGTAAAAAACTTATTTTTTCATCATATACTTTACAGCAATCTGTAAGAAATGTTAATGTTATAAGAGGAATGCAGTTTGTCCCATGGGCATAATTAACAAGCACTGGTCAAGAAGAATTTTGATAGCAGAAATGTGCATGTCAAATTAGAGAGAAATTAATGAGTTTATTGTAAGAGATATATAAGACCATCTCTGACCATGCAGCTGTTGTCTCTTGGGAGTTGGGCAAAAAGAAATGGCCTCATAGTTGCTTGTGTTAATTAAGAGTTCTTGATGGCTAGTTCAGATAAAGATCTTTCAATTAGTTATTTGGTGTAATGTAATTAAAACAAATTGATGTTTTAAAATACAGTATATGATTAAAACTAAATTAATATTGTCTGATATAATAAAAACTAATTATACATATTTACATTGAAAAAAAAAATACATTTCAATTTTTTATGTATTTGCAACAAATTGCAGAGTGCCATGTCTTATAAAATTTTATAGTCTAAAGAATTTCTGTTTGATGTTTTTTAGACTGTAGCATTTTTAATCAATCATAAAATATGCAATAAAAAAAGCAGCATATGGATATTTATTTGGCTCTAACTCAGCCAGTTTAGAATTATATGATGTATTATTTCTTATAATTATTGCCTACACTCTTAGACAAGTATGTACAATAAATATAATAAGGAATGGAAATTAGATCATTGAAATCAGTGTCAATCTTGTAATCTGGAACTTGGTAATCAAAGTTACCTGATTTTCTTGCACTCTAATTACCAATTTATGATCATTATTGAACAATATTTGACGGGCGTATCATGCTGTGGCGGGGCACTTTATAAAACATTTTATCACAGTGTTCTTGAAATCTTTTCTTCGCTGTCAGTCATTTGGACTGACTGCCATGTAAAGTTTGTCAGTCCAGACAAATTTCTTTCAGTCCAAAAAAATCAATAAAAAGATGAAAACTGTATTTGAATTTAATTATCAATACAGTGTGTACCCAGCGCCAATAAACACTGCACACCTCATGCCGATTTGATCGTCGTGTAACAAATTTCCTTGAATTCTTGTGGGGTCCATTTCTTCATAAGTTTTTAATCTAGTTCGGTTTTCTCAGCTGGCTTACCTCAGCTCCGTCAACAAACTAGTTTACCAATCATAGTTTGGAACTTGCATTCGTTGAAGAAGCCATTACAAGAAAACAGAAAAGCGTTTGAAAGATTACAATCGCTCAGTTATAGGGAATTTGTACAAAATTTGGTGGGATTGACGAAGTTCCTCTGTCAACACTTACCGGTCATTTGGACTGACATAGAACACAGAGTTATCGGTCCTTGGTCGTTTTTATCGGTTTTGCCGACAGGACCGAAAGATTTCAAGTACTCTGTTATCAATGACAATTGTTCTGATCGAAATGCTGATTGCTGCATACTTACCGTATATTCATAATGCTTCTTGGCATAATAAGAAATTATTTATAAAGCAATACATGTGTACTTCACTGGCTCTCATTTTTCACGGTTTCATGAATTTATTATTTCAGATAAAGCAGTCCAAGTTATTGAGCTTGATAGCGTAAGTATGGACAATTTCACGCCAGAATTTCCGGAGGATAAGATAGATCTTTCTGCAGAGAACCCCAAGGTTGGTGACCTCCACATGCGAGTGCTAGGCTTTGATCCCGAGAGAAATGCTCCAGACGATGTACCCTCAAAGATTGCAGTGTGAACTACAGACCATGTATAGGAAAACTTTGACATTAAATTCATAGAACTTTATATGGTGACTTGATTTGTGCTGAAATAAGTCTAATCAGATATTGTAAAGTATTGAGCTGTTGACAGATGTTGGTTATGAACATAGAGCAAAAATAAATCATTGGAATAAATTTCTTGCTTTTTAAATAATAGTGCCAAAGTCACATTGATTATTGCAAGATTTCCTGAAGTGTGAATTTTAATTTCCATCCATTACATGGGGATTGTACAGGTAGAGACGACAACTGAAAATTTTATACACATTGCAAATACTTCATTCTCAGGTATATCTATATTGAAATGATCAATATAGACTGGCATTGACCAGTGAATTATAATTTTGAGGATAGCAAGGATTCATGGATAGATTGGACTCTCATTTCATAAAAAGAGATGTCATATAGCCTTACCTATTTGTAACACGTGTTTATATCGAAAACTTTATTCACCTATGTATGTCTGAAATTCCTAATGCTAAAGCTTTGATGTTCAGCATCACTGTTTGACTGATATGGATTTCACTTCATAATTAAAAAATCAGAAATATCAATGGAAGTGTCATATTTCGTTATCTTTACTGGTCAAATGAACCCATACACATGCAAGTGCTACGTACATGTACTAAATCTCTTAAAATCTTGTTAGACTAGGTACATACAGAACACCACATCAAGATGTACAAATTCATAGTATTGGAATGTTTGTTACACATAGAAAAAATCTGTGAAATGACTTAAAACTTTCTTAGCTACAGGTAGTCACTCTCTAAAAGACCACTGGTATTAGTTTGTGTACATCATCTAGAATTATCTCCCTTAACAAAGGACCAATGAAATTTAAAGTAGACCAAAAAAATAAAGAATAAGTCATTTTAATTGAGCACATAGAATTTAATTGGGACATTGTGAATTCAGTAAATTAAATACATGTATTGATCTATGATTTAAATTAAATGGAAGGTGATACAATGGTATATTTTAGTCTGTTTCTTGACCTTCGTCACTATGTCTGAACAGGTAGTCTAATGATCAGTGATGAATTGTTTTTGTTAAATTTTGCTGATGCATTGGAATCATCAATAAGATAGGGAAAAGAAACATTCAGATGATATAGATCCTCCACTGTCAAGTCAATGTCATCCTGAAAAAAGAAAACAATGTTATTTCTTCTTAAATTCATTGCTCTGAAAGAACATAAGCATTACAAATAACACAATTCAATTTCATGTTTTCAGCATTTGACATGTTAAAAATAAGGATAAATTGCACAAAGTATAGTAAACTTTTCCTTTCTCTTACCTCAGAAATATCAAGCTCACATTCTGACACTTTGTTTACACCAGGTAATTTTATGGTAAGGATCAGCTCCTCTAAGTTTTTCTCTTTGAATTTCTCCTCCATATTGTACTCTGGAACTTTAACCTTTGAACTTGGTTTCTGATTGGTGGAATTCATTTCCTGGATGAGATTCTGTTTTGCTGGCTTCTCCTTGCTAAGTCCTGGTAGCTGAATATTTGGGGTATTATTGCTCTTTGCATTGTCCTCTGTAGATAAGTTTGCTAATTTGTTCATCAGAGAATCTTTGGCACCACAGCCTTGTAATCCAAAAGTTTTCTCCAGCTCAGAGAGTTGTTCATCAAACTCATCATCTTCATTTTGTTTCTGACTCTGGAGTGCTTTCTGTAGACTTAAGATGTTGCCCTTAAATTTGGTCGTGGATGGTAATATTGAGAAACTCCTTGACAGGGTGATTTTGTGTTGATTGTGTACATAGTCTATGGCTAAGTTTATAAGAGCAGTTCGGTCTGATGAATTTTTACAATCTATCCCAAATTCCTCCAAAATCTTAGGATTAAATGCAACTCCAGAATAGGAAAACTCTCCTGAAAATAATTTTATAAAATTCTTAGTATAGGGTATATTGTTTATGCATCTGTTCATCCAAAATGAAAAGCACTGCATGTAAAATTACATATTTCATTTTTTCAAAATTTCATGATTTGGAGAAAAATATAGGTTAGTGGGGATTTGATTTGGTGGTTATAAAGATTCATTACTGATACTGTACTTTGAGATTTTACAAATTATGGAGGAGATGAATTCCTGTGTCCCTTCACACCATGAAAATTAAAGTAATAACTCTTTTGAAATTTAGTGATTTTCCAGTATTTATACTTAAATGCATATATGTATTATGAGATATGTGTAGGTCTGTTAAATTGTTAAAACTCTGGCATATTTTTTGTATACCATTCTCATCCTTGTCCTGTAAGACTCTAGTTCCAGCGACAGGTATAGCATCCTCAGGAGTCTTTGGCTCGGGAATTTTATTCCAAGAACAAAAGTTAATGAAATATCTTCTCTTTGTACTCTGAAAAAACAAATGTATTTTAACCACAAATAAACCTCTCCTGAAAAAGATATTTCAATAAATCAGGAATACTTATATTAAATTCCTTTTTCACAACTTACTGTGACCATTGTCATGACACACATATGGGGCTCTGCTGGTTTCATGTACTCCTTCCCTTCTGTCATATGTTTGTCAATAAATTTTCTGTAAGCCTTTAAAATAAAATTTTTGTCAAAGTTTTTTTTTATTTGAATTATAAATTAACAGTAATACATGTCCAAATATCAATTCCAAACCTTTTTGTTCCTGATGAATAAAAAATCATATAGCAGGAAATATTCAGTGCACTTGATTTTTTTTTCATAACTGCAATTACATATACCTAGACAACATTTTTTTTTATGTTTATCCTTCTACGAAATCTACCTATAGTAACGTGTACATGTATGTCTTGTATGTACCTGAGGATTATTTTCTGCCATTTCATCTAGCATGGTCCATATACTTTGAGCCTGCTTCATCATGGAATCCCTATCAACACCATCAGGTACAGCCATTGTTTAAAGGAGTGTGGTGCCCGAGATGAAAAAAATTAATATTGTTCCTTCTGAAAAAAAAATTAAAGTATACCTGTTCTACAAGTTATGAAGTAGATTTGCATAAAGTATAATATGCAAATCATTTTATATTTTCAATAAAATCCCCTTATAGGGACGTTAAATACACTGTTTTCTTAGCAAGTCTGATTCTGTTTTAAATCATAGTTACAAGTAGAACAATATCTGTAGGAAGGTGAGATATAAAAAAATGTATTCAGTTTTCACCCCCTTCTTCAAGAAACTAAATAATTTTTAAAGATGTTGATTCCGACTATATCTCTATTGTTTACGAATAAAAAGAAGCATACATTTCAAATGCTTATAATTATTATTACCAAAGATGTAACAGGTATATTCAATAATGAATATAAATGGACACATCATGTAAAATATATACACTTTTCGAGGTATTATAGATGTCGGACGACAACAACTTGAAAAGCACTTAACCCAATCTAGCTCCACTTACTATTTGAATTTTTTTTTCCTGCCATCAATCGTTTACCTAAAACTAATTGAAATGCTTCAAACTTGAACAATGCACAGGGTTTTGTCATGAAATGTTTACCTTCTCTTAATATATTTACTATTACAATAAAAATATATCTTGTGTTGTAAGAATGTATTTTTATAGTAGCTAGGGGAAACTATATTTAGAGAAGGTATTATTTCGTGACAAACTCCTGTGAACAATGTAGTCATGTCATAGGCGCTTGTTTCATACAGTACGCTAGTTTTCTACTAAATAATATATAGTATAAAACTTGTGTACTGTATGAAACAAGTGCATGTGAGTCATGTGCATGTAAACAGATATGTAAATACCATCATTCAGCCATTTTCACAACTAAACTTTACATCTGAATAAACAACCGTCAAATTTACGTACTTCTGACAGAATTCCAGCATTATTAAGTAATTACCTGAGATTCTTTTCTGGCCAAATGTGTCTTATTTGAAAATCATGAAGACTTCGTGTCTCATCGCGTCCATAACGATAAAAGGTAATTCCTGTATACCGAACCCGATTCTCAAATTAAATTTTTTTTTAAAAAAGGGGGATAGAAAATAAGACAGGAAAAGATGCATGAATATAATAGCAACAGAAAAATAATTATAAAGGAAAATCAGTTTTAATATATAAATGGGTTAAAGGTAATTTAAATGGGATTTTTTTTTGCGTGTAAAATGAACAAGAACCCCAATATTTGAAAAAAAAAAAATAAAACTGACTTTATACTAGCGCTTCGCACAAAAATATATTATCTGACTTAACCGAAGATTGGGGGGTATATATAGTTTTTGTCCCGTCTTTCTGTAAAAATTTAACCTTGCCCATAACTTCTGATTGGTTGAAGCTAGTACTAGAGTAGCTTTTATATTTCACATTTACATTCCTTGTGACAAGACGTTCCCTTGGGTAGGTCAAACCAAATTTTTGACCTCTTGGCCTTAAAGTTTGACCCTCTTTTACAAAAATTTGCGCAACTTTAACCTTGGACATAATTTTTGAACATTTGGTGCTAGGGTTTTTCATATTTCACATGTCTTCATCTTGACAAAATCTTTTCATGGATGTAAATCTTTTGACCAGTTAACCTTGACCTCTGAGTTTTACTCACTTAAAAAAAGGTTTATTATAGAATGGCCTTGTGATGGGTTGAGGGTTAAGACAAACAATGAAGATTTGTAGTTCTTCAGAAAGACGTCGCTAAAGTCAGCCCATGAACTACTGAATGAAATTCGCCAGAGGTCCCATAGCAACATGTTGATTCAGGATTCGGGACCCCTGGTACTGCGAGGATAGCTATACCGGGGCATCAGTGTCTCACAAACACATCTTGTTCTTTTTAATGATACCTATTTAATATTATGTGTTACATCATATTGTTTTAATCCCCCTTAAAATCCTCCTCCTTGTTCTGACTGAAAAAATATTAGATTCAACAAATATTAATTCATAAATAACTATTTAGAGTGACCCGTGAAATTTTTAATACAATCTGCAATGGATACAGGCACTTCAGTGACCCATGTCACCCGGTACGTAAAGTTACTAGTATACATGCATAGTGGTATGTCCGCCGGATTTACCTAATTTCTCTTGAATTTTAATCAGTCTACTTGGCTAGATTCTCTACAAATGTAAAACTTCTTCACTATTAAATGTTTACTCTCATTCTTTATAAATGTTAAAAACAATGGAAGATTATTAAAAGACTTAAGTTGTGGACGAAATATCACAAACGCATTGACAATATAAAATAATGCACCAGAAAATCCTTCATTGACCTAGTCACTGAAATAAATGTTTCTAAAATTAAAAAACAACAAGTCAGTTGGTATATATATGCAATTAAACTTTTAAAGGGAGCATAATCCACTTAAAAAGAAAAATATTTAAACAGGAATTATCGCAGCAAGAGAATATATGAATTCCTGTTCTTTTATTAGAACTTCGTTCTACTTGGACTGGTTGTTTTGCCATTTTAACAAAAAGAAAAGATAAGATTATGTGTTTTTTTTCTGTTTGCATTTTGTGTGAACTAAATAGGTAATACGTTTAAATAACGTGTCAGTTGTTTTGTCATTTGGAAGGATAATTCACAATCGCTATGGAAGTGGGCACTTTCACTGTGACATTCCGCATTAAAAGTAACTGAACCTAACAACCAGAGAACAGGTAAACTTCTACAGCTCCTTTTTTCTAGTTATCAACCTAAATGATTCAATTACGTCATAGTTAATTTAGAACAATCATATACATAATACATATAAAATTTTACTGGATTTCAGTTAGAATGGAGAGTGCCATTGCCATTGTTCAAACTCCCACCGAAGAGTTTCATAGAAGAAGCGGTTTAAAGGACATCAGAAACCTGAAACACAGTGAAAAACCAACTTTTCTTCAGTATTCCAGGAAGTATACATCGTCTTTACCATCCGACTGTAAACCATGGAAGATAGCCGACATGACTTTGCTCTCCAATGGCCGCTTTGCGATTGTGGACACAGCAAATACAAGGCTTAAAATTTTTACCCCTGATTTCGTTCACGTTACCAGTAAAATCCTTTCTGACGATTCACACAGTCTTACAAGTTTACAAGGAGATAAAATATTCGTGATGGACAATACATTGGTCAGCTTCTATCTATTTAGCAAAGAGAGACTAAGTTTAGAGGAAAAATTCAAATTGACTGGCATGCACTATGATATCTTTAGTGATGGAAATGTGCTTTTTCTAATTAAATTAACGACTTTTGTTGTCAAAAATGACAAGTTTGAGACGCTAAAAACCATTGATTTCAGACCAACATTGGGATACACACCAGATACTCTTATGTTTGATAAAAATGAAAACATTATATTTTTTAACTGTGACACCTGTTCTATTGTAAGTTGGGATAAATTTCAAGCTGAAAAATGGCGCCTCAATGACGCAGATTCTTGTATAAATATTCACAATTATGGACTGGGCTGGATCGTAGTGGGTATGGAGGAGGTGGTTTTTGTTGATTTAGGAGGGCGCACGTTTGAGCAGTGTCTTGGGGACCCGGAGTGTGAGGATTATAGATGTTCTGTAATAGACTGTGAAAGGAAGAAGCTGTTTTTATCAGACAAGAGAAATGTATATGAGTATGATCTGGAGATACAAAATGTAATGAAATAAGTATTTTAATATAAATTTTAGTATATACGAAAAATTATTATATCATTGTTTGTTTATTGTCTGAGAATTGTTGCTATTATATTTTTTATATAGACAAAGCATATAAGAGAAATTGCAATGAAAATGGAATTGAAGGTATTGATCTGGACATTTTCAACTTCTAGTACTGGTGTTGAAAATAATTGGAAGGTGCGTAACACCTCATTTTTTGTTAAATATCATTAAAACCATTAAATATATATCATCTGTTGATACAGTGCATTATGTCATATAGAACATCTACAACGCATAGCACTGGGTCCTTTTTGTTTGCAACAAAGGATTTCTATTCAAAACTCCTTGTTGTCACCCCCTTTACAAACACTTGTTTCTTTTGTAACCAATGGCGGAATCGCACTAGTTAGAATCTATAGAACTGTTAAATTACTAACATTGTTAACAAATTATTTCTTTAAAAACCAAATAATAAGATGCTTAAACAATGCACATGTACATTCATTCCTTAAGGATGACGTTTACTCAGGTTTCAGAAAACAGAAAGGAAATTTTACAAAATAAAATATATTTAATCAAAAAATTGTTTTAAATAGTCAAAATAACTAAGTTTTAGTTCAATATCAAGTTAAAAATTTAATATTTTATTATTTGAAGAAAATATACAGGAACAAAAGTCAATGTAGGGTAATGCAGAGGAAAATCGGACTAAATTTTTAATTTTTCATAATTTGTCAAAATCTTTTATTTCTTGCAATATTAATCACAATGTAAAGGTTACATGTATTTTTAGACATCATTTCGCAAATATTATATGTGTTAAAACTCATAAGTTATTTCAAATACCAGTAATTGAATGCTATAAAATAAAGAAATTCAAAAATATGAACAAAAACCATTCCAGAAAACATATCTCAATAATTTGATCATTCACCCCATGAGAATAAGGGCAACAAAAATAGCTTGAGGCTATAAATAATTCAGAGTTCTTATCATTCAGATTTTTGTAATATTCGATTAAAAATGAGGAAAAAATATAAATATGACAGAGGGAATTCGGACTGTAATAATCATCAAGTTTATGGTCCAAACTCAAATCGTTTCTTTATATGAAGCAACGCTGTTCCATGGCTACAATATTTTATTATTTAAAGAGTTTTGTTGCTTGTAATATTTTGCGAGTGAAGAAAAAAATGGTCATAGTGTGAAAAATTGAGGTGTTTCCCGAGAAATACTCAGGTGCCACTAGAATGAATTGTAGGTCATTGACCTAGTTAATTGAAGCTGAAATTTAACACAAGGTTTATAGATTTACAATGTACAGTAGGTGGGTTTTCGTTCTTATCAGTGGAATTTTTAGTCATCTGAGTAAAGGTATACCTTAACATAACCATAGGCAACATGGGTTCATTCCAACTCGAGAGACAGCATAATATACACTGCAAGAGGACACTCGAATTTCATAACATAACAATAAATGTTTGCTAGTTATAAATCAGAATACGCGTATATAAACTTGAAATTTTAATGAAATAAAGCTAGAGGACTTACAGAAGTTTTAAGTCAGACCAAGAGGATCTAGAGGGAAATACTTTGCAATATTTTCATACCGCAGTATAAATATAAAATTTTTGCAAGGGCTTTCGTTTGAAAAACATTACAAAAGGATTTTCTTTAAATTAAATAAATTGCATTCATTTCGATAACTGAGATAAAAAGTTATTTTAAAAAGTTCGTTTTAATTTATTAATATTAATAAAAATGTAACTCGAAAATTTACTTACATTGTCATTTTGCAAATTTATTTTGTTAAAAAAAATATTATGATAGTACACAATTAAAAGAACTCTGAAGATGATATTAAAAAGATGCTCTAGTTTCTAGTTGACAATATCTATGTGGTTTTGGAGACCAGGTCTTCCAACAATCTACTGGAAATCCTATGGCAGAGGATGCTCACTTTTCCATGGCACCTGGTCCCACCTCTGATGTTTTTGAGGTCCGCGTTTGCTCTGCTCCTATTTTGTATTGTTTTACGGAATTTTGAGCTTGAATACGGTTTGTTATCTCCATATATTTCACATAATACCTCGAAAAACCTTAGTCAGAAAAAGATAGGTAACAACATGTCACTTCACCAAGCGCTTGGTATTTTAAAGTGAAAGTTGCAGATATTTCTGGCGAGACATTTTAAAGTGTAGATGGTCCTTGTCGCGATAAAGAATGGCCCTGAATACCTAGTAAGAGTTTTGATTTGAAGTTTTTCACTTTCACGTGGCATGTACGGTGACGTCGCAGAAGAGTAAAACAATCTTGCAAAGAATGTAAAACTACAGAACAGCTATCTATAATGGTAGTTTAAACATTGTCATTTGTCATGTTAGTTTTTGAATTTTCATTTATGATGTTAAATAAATTTTGAAATTGTTCTCTATGATGTAAGTTTATAAATTATCTTTCATCATTTAAGTTTAAATATTATATTGTAATTGTTCTCTATGAAATTAAATGATTAAATGAATTTCCAATATGAGATTTTTTTGATTTGACAAATAGAGACGTCAAATACCGCATCGTCGGATACCAGTGATGAATGAGTAAAAGACGAGATCACCCCCGGGTATCCGACGATGCAAATACAGGTGAAGGGCATGAAATTTAGAACCGTACTCGGCACCCAGGTTCATTGAGCATGTATAGTGAGGCATTTTTATCAAGCCCACTCTTGTGTCATTTTTCTTTTTAGGTCACCTGAGTAAACTCAGGTAACTTATTGCTATCCGTCTTCGTCCGTCGTGCGTTGAGCGTCGTGCGTCAACATTTGAACATTTTCACTTCTTTTCTGCAACCACTCAACCAATTTCATTAAGTATCTATGGGTGAAGAGGGGGTGTGTGAATTTCATGGTCCCTGCCCCCCTGGGGCTTGAGGGGTGGGGCCAAAATCACTAAAATTAATGCAATCTTTAAAAAATCTTCTTCTTTACTCCTGGACATCAAGCAGTCAAACTGTTCGCATGATTGTAATCAACATTGAGTCCTCTGCCAAAATTGTGAATTTCATGGCCCTGGGGTCAGGGGTTCGAGTGCTTGGGCTGGGCTAAATAGATTATATAGTGAAAATGCATTATTTCTTTGAAAATCTTCTTCTCTGCTCCTGGGCATTAAATAAACTAGATAAGTACTTAGTTATGTTGAATACGACTGCCTCTTCCAAAATTGTGAATTTCATGGCCCCAGGTTCAGAGGTTCCTAGGTGCTAGGGCGGGGCTACATTGATTATATAGTGAAAATTTAATGCATTATTTCTTTGAAAATCTTCTTCTCTGCTCTTGAGTATTAAACAAACTAACTAAGTACATAGTTATGATGAGCAAGAATGTCTCTTCCAAAATTGTGAATTTCAGGGCCCCTTGGTTGGGGCTCTATTGATTATATATATTGAAAATACATTAACTCTCTAAAAATCTTCTCCTCTTCTATTGGGTATTATGCCAATGTTCTAAGTACATATTAATGATAATGAAACGTGCCTCCTCCAAAATGGTTAATTTCAAGGCCCCTGGGTCGGGTAATTGGAGTCGGGGTGGGGGTTACATAGTCTGAAAATAAATTAATGCTTTGAAATTTGCTTTTTGGTATTAATCAACTATTTATGATGAAATAAAGTTAATGATAAATTTCCAGAATTTTGAAATATGTGCCCCCAGGGTCAGTGGTTCCTGTGGGGTGGGGTGCACAACTGGTTATAAAGTGGAAAGGCATTTTCTCTTTGTTACTCTGATCTACCTCTGTACATTAAGTAACCAAAGTAAGCAAGCTAAGTATATAGTTATGATAAGCAATGGTACCTCTTTCAAAATTTTGAATTTCACTGCCTTTGATTTAATACACGAACCAATTCAATTGTTGGAAAGATACTCAGGTGACCTATAAGGCCCGTGGGCCTCTTGTTAACTTTTAAATGCAAAAGTCGGAGATAACGACTAATGATAAATCTTATAAATGTAGTAAACTAAACGAATCGTTAACAAGACTAAAGCAACACAAACCCCCTAGAAAGATCAGGTGCCTAGAATGAAAAAGCATCCCCTTTTGATCGGCTTCATGAATGATGTGACAGACTCTGAGGTGTCTTATTTCAGGTTTACTGAAAAAAATATTGCATCGACATATACCCCAGGAAATGAAAGTAACTATTCTGAAAGGGGCAAGGATTTACTAAATAGTTTAACTAAACTAGCTAGAAACATGCTATTTTATTGGATTTATAGTATGATGATGCCATAAAAAGAGACAAACATGCTTATTGTGTAAAATTCTACTGAAAAAAGAATCAAGTTATAATAATTGTTTATCACATGTCAAATTTAAGCCAAATCGACATACAAGTACTTTTCTCATTATTGTATATCACTACAAACGAAATTCTTCAGATGAGCTTCATGAACCTAGGGCCTCTGTTTGGGTATACTTGTTCTTTGTTAAAAATAAACAAGTGCCAGCATGACTCTTTGACAATTAGCCATTAAAGTTCAATAAACTCGTGGTATTTAAATGAGCCTTCTAGAACTGGTGTAATCATCCCAAGTTATCAGGAAACTACTGAGGTAAGTGTTAACTAACAATCAAATACTTCTTTAAAAACATTTTTTTTTTTCAAAAATAGTAACTACATAAATAGTTAGACAATTTCAGAGATATGTATTTAATATTTTAACTTTCATTCCACTGGAAAAACTCTAGAAATAGAAAAATAGAATGTAAATTTTCATTTATGATGCTTTTCAAATAGAAATAAAACCGACGGAGTCTGAAATTACTACAAAATTTGTACACAAAAATTTAAATGCCTGCATTTTTGTCACTGTCTTGCACAAATGCAGTGCTATGATAAGCATATCATTCCAGAAAGATCTGGTTTATTCTATTAAAGCATTCAAATGTTTTTATATATAGCAAATAATAATTGTGTGTGTTTTTTTATAATATAGATTAAGTATAATGGAATGCAAATGTACGCGAAATAAATTATTTCATTGAGATATTTTGAAAGCTATTAAAATGCTGTATTGATGACTCCAAAGGAGGTAAAAAAAATCAATATCCTAAGTTAAGTATGGTGCTCGGATTGTGTCATGTGCAGGGTGCAACACTACACTGTTATCTTGTGTAACATGACAATGATATAGACTGTGGATCTGTAGATCACAGATCAGGAAAAATCACAATAACGACCCCTCTGATCACCCAGCTTCATTTTCCGGACAATCATCAAAGCTCTGGGAACTTACACATGTATATACTGCTGAATATTGCTACTAGTGACAATGTTTTGCATTCACACAAAGACCTGTACAATGCCTGCAAACGGTTTTTGCATGCAAACATACTGAATCGAGAAAGGACAGGTCGCAATATTACGATTCAACTTCTTTTTGTTGCACGTGGCAGCTGTCATATGATAAAATATGAAATACATGTATTTTATAAAATTAAGGAAAATGAAATGATCAAAACTTTGCATTAAATTGCAAAAGACAAGTTTCGACAGTATATAATTAATTTCCAAAGCGTTAAACTATAACCAATTACCTTCGTCAAAACATCACTCTAAAAAACAATTGTAATTAAAAATCTATCTGAAACCTAATTGTTTGTCTTTATGTTTGAAGCTTTAACCTTTCGATCCGCAGCATTCGGAGAAGTATTCTCTTTACCCAACACACATCTCCTTTCAGCTGCACAAACGATCTCTCTTTTTTTGTTTTTAGGTTATAACGATGGCCAAGTCGTCCGACAAACAGCTGACTTATCCATCGGAGGAGGTAAGTATAGATCTATTTTTGCAAGAAAGTTTTTGGAGGTATTGTTTCACACATACTTTATTTATAAACATATTTTAAATTCGCCTTGTCATAGTTCTGCTTAAGAAATTAAGCTGTGTTCTTCAAATTCGCCCAACCATGAAGAGAGCGAAAGGGGGTGAAAATAAAACGGGGCAAAAATTTCCCTATATATAGTTTTATTTTGAATACAATGACTTTGATATCTTCAAAATGCATGGGGGTCAATATTCGTGGATTGTTGATATTTTACAGGTTTATGAAGATGTAATTTCGTGTATTCATAAATATCAACAAACGGAAATATATGTATAATAGGAATCCACGAAAACTAATGATATATTTCTCATTGTTTAAAAAAATAATTACCGACTAATTGGATTAATTCAATAATGTGATCTAGGTCGATCCATTCGAAGTTTTGTCTAAGAAGATTGGACATGGTGTAGAAGATGAATTAGAAGTTGAGAAAAAGACTTCTGTTCCAGAGGGGAAACTATTGGTAAGATATATTTCTAGGTACACATAACTAATGAATATATTAAGACTTTTGGTCTGCAATAAATTCAATGATTGATTTTAGAGCCATTTTGTTACGGGCAACCAGGTACAGTTAGTCTCAAAAATAAGTGGGCGTTCTCTAAGGATTGTGCAGGATCGTGTAGGTAAACTCAAAGTGGACGGCAGGGGAGACCTAGGACAAAAAGAATGGAATGGTAACACTTTCTTTTAAATTTGTTTATTTATGTCATAAGAAAAATTATTGGGAAAGGGAGGACTTTTTTGATGTTTTCTATTCTGTGCTTATTTTCGATTTTGGGAGTGGGGATGGGTAGCATTGCATCCTGTGTTTGTCAATCAATTCATTGTTCTTTAAATGAAACACTACCCAAACTTAATCTTATAACGCACATTACGTAAAAGTCAGCTTTCTATATTTTTTAATAAATGTGGATACGTATTTACAGTCTTACACTGTACTATGCCGTTTCAGCTGTCTGGACAGTTATAAATGAAAAGCACAACATGGAGATTCGCCTTCATAATAACTTTAATTTCCTGTCTATAAGTAACGGAGAGACTAAAATTGTTCACGTGGTGAGTACAGATTTGGTATTATCACTGTGGAGACACAGTTACAGACAAGTTTACATAAACAGTATATTTTTCTGTCAATTTGTTCTGTCATTATTTGTAATATCATTTTTCATTATTAAAATAAACTAGAAAAACAAATATTTAAAGAATACTAGTACTACTTTCTGGTTTTTATATTCAATAACGTATCATTTTATCTGCAAATGATTTACTTAAAGAAATAAAATAAATTCATATTAACATAACCTTCTTACCTATGGTGTATGGTTGACACAACTTTTAGCCCGAAGAAAAGGAGCACGATAGGTTGGATACGCTGTTTCTATTGGTTCTTGATCCAGAGAACTTCGTAGCCCTGGAGTCAGTGAAGGAACCTGAAAATTGTGTGGGGATAGAGGCAAACGGTTCCTTGAGATCGGCGGAGAAAACCTTTGTCCATGACGATCATGCCATGTTTGGTGTACATTTGATAGTAAGAATGTTTTGAAAATACTAAAAAATGCAACAACAAAAAACGAATAAAATACAAATTGATGAATATGTATGCAGCTTTATTTTAAGATAAAACAATATTAACTCAGTAGACAACCACAGATATTCGCTTGTAGTATGATTTATGCCTTATGCAGCACACTAGTACTCTTGTTGATCTTTTGACAATATGTATAATATGTCTGATCATTTGTTTTCTTTTACAGAAGCCAGATGCTAAATGAATTAAGAAGACATGGGACAGAGAGGTGTGAAAGCTTCCCAAATATTTAAAAGGCAACTCTATTGATAAGTAAACTAATTAATGAGATGAACACAATGTATTGTTTTTCCATACTATTAATAACCTCACTATTTTCAGTGTTGACTGCAGTATATACACAAACAAATAAATGATACAGAAAACAATAAGTATTCCAGAAAATCATGAAAATTGTACAACGTCTATAGATGTCTGAAAATTATTTAGCTAAATTGTTTTTAACATGGATATATATTTGTATTTTTTTTATACATATTAAGATTTTTTTATACATATTTAGATTTTTTTGTAATATAATTATGTAGCCTTTTTTATATTAATGCAAACAAATCTGGATTCATTTTTTTTTTAAATATCAACGCCACTGATATTTTTTGTTGTAAGAGGCCGTCCATAGTGCACGTTGTGTTTTTTGATGCATAGATACAATTAAACTATGCTGTATTCGTATAATGCTCTGAAAAATATAATATTGGAATTGAATAAAAAGTCAAGATATGAAGAGGTATATAATGTTGAATCCTTCAATTAGAATTTTCAATTTAAATAGCATTTACAACCCTTTCAAATGCAGTCACTATTTGTATACACAATTATTTGCATAGAAAATAAATTAAAATGTGCACTGGAACATTTATTCGAAACCATTTTCCTAACACATTTGTTGTTCAATATGCATATTTATGATAAATGTTCTTCACTTAAGCATATTTCATACGGTTAGAATTATGCGAAATAATTATTTTTTTGCATATTGTTTTGTCTGTTGTTCTTTAATCAGCAAGTATGGGACCACTCTAATTTAAACGTGGTGGCTTATTTGTAGTTGAATAAATGTTTAATATCTTGGATACAAGATTTCTGTTCTTATCTAAGAAAATGATATATATTTGTGTTAAGTGGTTAAACAGAAATGAAAATCTTGACATCAGTTTATTTTTCTTAAAGAAACTTTTTTTTAAAGTCAAATATGAAAAAAAAAACTTGACAGTCACGAGTATCGTATATATGACTACTCTTAAATGTCTTCTTTAAAACATGATTTTTTTTTCCAATATAAAATTGTTCTAAGAGGATACCTTCATTTTTTCCCCTTTCATTAAAAATGAAATTAAAGTGAGATCGAAAACTGGTATATATCTTTGGCACATCAAACTGAATGAAATAGATAATTTAAAATAAGGGATGTCAACGAACATTCAAATATTCATTCGGTGAGTTCTTATTCGAAAAGGACATTATGATTCGAATATTCGTTTTTTTTTAAAAGTATACATGCATTTAAAAGAGAAACAGATAGAATCAGCATATAATTTAAAACAAAATTAATTGATACTACTCTTGACTAAGTTAAATGTTCAATTCAGGTTAAAACAGTATGAAAAAACATGGAGCACAGAAATGCATTTACCTGCGTTATCATCCACTACTTTAGCATAAACATTTTCTTGTCTGTAATTGTCAAGTTCATCATACTGGGATCTGTGAATGTAATATATATCTATATTTTTATCAAAAGATTAACTCAAACATGTAATATTAATCATTATTTCTTTATTTTATGTATGCGTTTTTATTCGCTTACCTTGAGGTTTGCTCTTGATCCTCTTGATGAACACCTTCTAAAACAAAGGAAATAATCATGCTTTTATAGCATTAAATACAGGATAGATTTTTTGGTTTCTTCAAAATGTTAAGAGCTATCATTTCTGAAATTAACATGTTTTTCTCACAAGAAACAAATACTTTATTAACCACCTGTTCCTTTGGCGACGTCCAGATAATGATGGCCTTCTTCCTGAGTTATATCCTCCATCACATAGTCTGGATTTTTACTAGAATAGTTTACTTTATAAGTTGGCCCTGAATTAAAGTGTAAAAGTTTTAACATGCATTCTCTGTAAGCACCAAAAAATTTACTATAGGGCTTGGAAACGACATATCTCCAATTTTGATGAAATTTGCACCACAGGTGTACCTTGGCACAAAACCAGCATATATGGTGTCAGAAGTTTCCCACGTGCACCTGGTTGCCATGGTGACGGATCCATTGAATTTGGCCATTTTCGGCCATTTTTGACCAAACAAATACATGAAAATTTAGGAAATATGAATGCATTTTTGTCTTTACGTAGTAGACTCAAATATAAATCTTTGTATCATAAGAAAACATCAACTTTAAAGGAATACACGGCATATAATCAGTTATTTCAGAATTAACCCACTCTTAGAAAATGGTCCTGCAAAATGGCATGGTTTCTAAAAATGTGAGAAATGGAAAATTTGGCATTTTTTGATAAATTTAAGGTTAAATAAAAAAAATTGTCTACGGAAATTTTTCAAATCTTATGCATGTCGTCAAACATCAGTATAAGAAGTGTCTCCTCATGAAAAAATCGGAGTGGGATCTCAAGGCTATTTTTAGTAACATGTATCTAAAAATAGACATATTTCAGAAAAATCCAAAAAATGAAATTTTGGCAGAGTTTATGATGGCATTGCTAGGTAATTATGATATATACTGTAAAAGTCAATATGCCAATGCCAGAGACTGGACACCAATAACTAAAACGCATATTATTTTCAGGGATTTCCGTTTTCTATTTATAGCTTCAAAGGTCTAAATATAGACATGTCTCATAAAATGCTGAAAAATGTCAATTTCCCATCATTTTGAAGCTTCACCAAGTCTTAAATAATAAACATACGGATCTCTCCAATATTCCATCAATAAGGACAAGGAATACTTTAATAACTCACAAATTATTGAGGACAGGCTCTCATATCTATAAATAGTACAAATGTCTAAAAATAGACACATGTGAAGTTAACTGTTTAATGACGATTTTCCATTAATTCTCAAATTAGAGATGAACAATTTACCCACTCAGTGTCATTAACTGCAACTGGCATAATGTGACTGACAATAACAGACGAACATTCAATGGAATGCAGCATGATAAGCAGAGGTTTCCATTTCTATTTATAGTAACACATGTTTAAAAATAGACATAATGCAAAATTTTGGATTAATGTAGTTTTTAGTACTTTTTTCTCAAAATTATGATGAACAATTGAAGACCATTTGTTTTTTAAAAACTGCTATTGGCATATGGTGACCAACAAGTAAAAGAAAGTATTATATGAAATATAGAATGAGAAGCAGAGGTTTCCATTTCTATTTATAGTAACACATGTTCAAAACTAGACATGCTGCAAATTCGCTAGAAAATGTAGACTTTCGCTCTTTTTTCTAATATTTTGGGTGGACAATGTGCAAACGAGTGATTTTTATTTGTTATTGACAGAAGGTGACTAAAGAATATGAAATAGATTTAGCTAAAATGTATAAGAAGAATGTTTAATGGTATTTTTCCATTTCTATTTATAGTAACACATATTTATAAATAATCAGGAAGATTTAGAATCGTTCTTTTTTCTTATATTAGGGATAGGGAATTTGCAATCAAACTTTCATTAGCTGTAACTGACATGGCTCATTGTATACGGCGCGCCAGCATGTCCATCTCATTACAATATCACAAAAGTATGTTCTCCCTGCATTAAAACACTCAAATGACAGCGATTATTATAATTCAAGCATTATTGCTTAAATTCAAGTCGACAGCCTGTGCCCAATAGCATTTTGTTTGTTAGGTGGATCCAGAAAAATTTTCCTTAGGAGGTGGTTGCTCATATCACAACGGTAAGAGGTCTGAGGCATAGCTTTAGTTAGATCATTACGTCAGTTTAAGTGAAAGTTGAATATTCAAGGGATCCCGGATTCCCATTTGATCCATGCATGCCTTACCACAATTTGTTCAAGAGTAATCCGAAATTTTCCCCAATGTTTTGAGTTGGCCCACTTTCGATTTCTCTCTCTCTGTACGTACATGAATATATTTCTCCAGACTTTAAATATATCATTGAAAAATATTAAGTGCTTTGGTATTTATAAATTTTTTTTTACATATAAACATCCATGTAGGAGTTGGAACCTGGGGGGGGGGGGGCGGCTCACAAAAATAGACATCATATAGGTATAAACATTGGGGAGTAGATTTAGCCCCCCCCCCCTCCCTTTCAGCAGTCATGTTGCAGTGTAGTTGAAGAGTGTAAGTGGTAGTGTTTGAAAGAATAAAAATGGCACTGAAAGAAGATCCCCCCTCCCACGAAATAGGATTTCATGTTTGGACAATAGACACCCCCACCCTTATTATTTTTTCAGTTCCGATTTCCCCCCCCCCCTTTCACCATAGATTCTAGAGTTTTACCTCCTTTTTAAAGACTTGATTCTTTGGTACGTTTTACAAGAACCCAAAAAGCCTGAATTGCTCTTCTGATAAATTGTACAATCTATCACTTCTATTTGAAGCCTTTAACTCTAATTATTGTGAGACCAAACTTGCATTATCTGACAAAGTTTGATGATTCTTGGCCAATTAGGACTGAAGAAATTTTAATAAAGCTATAGAAAAAAACATAAGTAGGTCACAGTGACCTGTTTTTTGATAACTTGAAATGCATTAATAGACAAAGATTGAGGATTCTAAGGCAATAAGTATTTTATATAATAAATGTAGATAACTGTGATCTTCTTTTTTGTCTACATTCTCCGAAACCCCAATATGCATCAACTGACAAAGTTTGATGATTCTAAGCCAATAAGTACTGGAGATACTTAAATATAGCCATAAAATGTCAAAAGTAGGTCACTGTGACCTACTTTTTGGTCGTCACTCTCCGAAAACCAAAGCTGCATCAACTCTAAGATATTTAAATATAGCCATAAAATGTTGAAAGTAGGTCATCTTGACATACATTTTGGTCGAAGGTTTTAAAGTTCCAAGATGCGTCTACTGACTAAGTTTGATGATCGTAAGTCTGAAGTTAATCAAAATATGCCTTTTAAACAATTTGAAAACAAATGCCCACAAAATTCAAAAAGTAGTCACAGTGACCCACATTTTCATAAATATTTAATAATGTCCCAAGATGCATCAACTTACAAGATTTAATGATTATAAACCTCTCAGTGTCTGAATGGAATTTAATGTTTCAAAAAGGATAAGTCGTAAAGTTTAAAAGGAAGGTCAGGTGACCTACTTTTAAGTTTTGTTTGAGGACCGAAGACCGAAGATACATCAACTGACAGAGTTTGATGATCATGGGCCTTAAAGTGTCCAAAATATGCCTTCAATTCAATTTAAACAAAATATACCCGTAAAATTTAAAAAGTAGGACACCGTGACCTACTTTTGATTTAACATGTGAAGCCCTAAGATGCATCAACTCACAAGATTTTATGATTCTAGTCCTCATAGTAAGCAAAATATAAACGTTTTTATTAATTCTAAATTAAGGTCAACTTGAAAGTGACCTTAAGACCACCGCCTTTGTCCCAGGGTAATTTCCCGTTGAAATATTAATCTTCACCATATCCTGATCCTTGTGTGTAAGTTTGATGAAAATCTCCCTGGTGGTTGTGGAGAAGAAATTTTTTTTTAGCAACCAGTACTTTTCGTTTTGTTTTCCTGATTACCTCCCCTTGTTTAAGGCTCTAAACCCTTATTTTAGTATAAATGGTAGTCCTTGGGCCAAGGATACGCTGTGTCAAATATTACACTGATTGGCCAAGGGGTTCTTGAGTTATGGCCCATACTCTAAAAAGTTTACGCACACCACACAAATGGCCATAGCATTACAACCCTACTAATGTTATTGTGATTTAAATCCAAGACAAGTGGTTTAGGTTGATCTATTCTAAGGTTATAGGGTAGAACCGGTTTTATAAATAAAATTGGCAGTAAACATGATATTGCTATAGCCTGCTTCTTTTGAGAACATGTCCTGTAATAAATGTTTCCAGACCTTTCTGAAAGACTTTCATGATTTTCAACAGAAAAAATGAAAGAATGACTAAAGAAGGGGGTGATAGAATAATAATATATCTTTTACTTTTCGGCGAAAATAAGAGCTCACTAGTGACCGATTTGCTGGTAAAAAATGTGCGATATCATCTACACTGACAAACCTTTGTTTGCCTTATATGGCTATTGTTATAAATGCGCACAGAGGATCTTACCACGAGCAACTGACCAATCGTTGAAATGAATAGCAACATTTACGCCAAATATGTGTTTACATTTTACTTCGAACAAGTAGTTCAGGTCAACCAGCAATCATGTTAATGGACTGCAAAATAAAAAAAAATGTTCTTACGAACAAAATACAAAGATAAGAAACTATGAATGATATTACGGGCATTTAAATCACAGGACAAAACTTTGTTTACGTTCGTGATCACGTGTTCGGCCAGGGAATTCACCTGGCAATTGTATTCACCGATAGTACAACTGTGAACAAAGAAATTAATACAGATGCAGTATGAATTTCAGAAACCTAGACTTCCGCCGTTTATTGAACAAATTAATTGTTTGTCATTATATCTATGTGCATGAAAATAATTTTTTTAAAATGCTTTTCATTTACCATAAGATTTTCCTCTTTTTTCAAGCGTAAAATTTCTAAAGTATTCATGGTAACCCATAATGCAACGCTCATTCAGCTGATTGGTCAGTTAAAATCATGCTTGTGCCTCATTTGCTAATCTGACGTCAAAAAATATAGTCCCGGTTCCCATGCAAAATATTTGTCCAAAAAGAAATATCAATTCATGACTGCAGAAAATTGTATTAGAGAGAATACTTATTTAAGTTTGAATGAATGTAAAAGAGATCGATTGATTGAAGTAAATTTCTACACATTAGCTGATTCTAGGATGGTGAAAACTGAAACGCAACATAACTTTCCTGTTTACCATGCTTCCACGTGCTAGTCACTTCCTAGCCACATTTCCGTAAATAATTTACCCTATCTCGCTGAAGTCTAGATTACTCTCGCCAGAGCAACTGCCAGAGCTACTCTGGACTCATCGGGTTTTATAATTTGCAGAACACCGAAAAATAAAAGGTTCCGAACACATTAGTAGGGGTGCATTAGTTCTTTGAACCTTTGACTCAGAAAAGCTAAAAATACTAATACTACTAAAAATTAACTTGTCTTTATGAGAGGATGGACATTTACTTTAGTTACAGAAATGGCTTTTCTAATAATAGGCCTTAAAAACAAAATTTTGGTCAGAAATATCAATTTATTGATTGATTGTGTGTTGCTTAACGTCCCTCTCGAGAATTTTTCACTCATATGGAGACGCCACCACTTGCCGGTAGAGGGCTACAAATTTTGTCCTATGTTCGCACTTAGGGCCTTTGAGCAGTGAGGGATCTTTTTCATGCCAGCACCTCCTGCGACACGGGGCCTCGGTTTATACAGTCTATTGAAAAATCAAACAGAGAAAAAGTCTTATCCCTTCATCTAAGGATACTTTGCGGCAAGTTTAGTTGAAATTAACACAGTGGTTCTTGATAAAAGATGAAAATGTTAAAAGTTTCCAACGAGAACGACAACGACTGACAACGCACAAATGATCATAAAAGCTCACATGAGCCTTTATTTTAAAACATGTGTTACTAGAAATAGAAATGGAAACCCACATTATTATATATTTCGGTTACTGCTCTCTTGTACGTGTCGGTTACATTATGTTAGTTACAGCTAATGAAAGTTTTACTGCAATTTCCTATCCCTAATTTGAGAAAATAGAACGATTCTACATTTTCTTGATTAATTGCTGAATGTCTATTTATAGATATACGTTACTATAGGTAAAAATGGAAAAATACCCTTAAACATTATTCTTTTACATTTTAGCCAAAGTTTTCTCATATTCGTTAGTCACCTTCTGTCAATAACAAATAAAAATCACTTCTCTGCAAATTGTCCATCCCAAATGTTAGAAAAAAAGTGCGAAAGTCTACATTTTCTCGAGAATTTGCAGTATGTCTATTTTCAAACATGTGTTATTATGAATAGAAATGGAAACCTCTGCTTCTAATTCTGTTTTTCATATAATGCTTTTTTTTACTTGTCAGTTACCAGTTAAAAACTTATTGTCTGCAATTGTTCATCCAAAATGTGAGAAAAAAGTAGTAAAAACTTCTTTTTTTCCGTTATTTTGCAGTACGTTTATTTTTATATATGTGTTACTATAAATAGAAATGGACACCTCTGCCTATCATTCTGTATTTCATATAATGCTTTCTTTTACTTGTTGGTCACCATAAGGCAATAGCAGTTAAAAACATATAGTCTGCAATTGTTCATCCAAAATATGAGAAAAAAGTAATAAAAACTACATTTTCCCTATATTTTGCAGTACGTCTATTTTTAAACATGTGTTACTATAAATAGAAATGGAAACCTCTGCTTCTCATTCTATATTTCATATAATGCTTTCTTTAACTTGTTGGCCACCATAAGCCAATAGCAGTTTAAAACATATAGTCTGCAATTGTTCATCTAAAATATAAGAAAAAAGTACTAAAAACTACATTTTTCCGATATTTTGCAATACGTCTATTTTTAAACATGTGTCACTATAAATAGAAATGGAGACCTCTGCTTATCATGCTGCATTCCATTGAATGTTCGTCTGTTCTTGTCAGTCACATTATGTCAGTTGCAGTAAATGACACTAAGTGGGTAAATTGTTCATCTCTAATTTGAGAATTAATGGGAAATCGTCATTAAACAGTTAATTTCACAATTGTCTATTTTTAGACCTTTGTACTATTTATAGATATGAGAGCCTGTCCTCAATAATTTGTGAGTTATCAAAGTATTCCTTGTTCTTATTGATGAAATATTGGAGAGATCCGTATGTTTATTATTCAAGACTCGGTGAAGCTTCAAAATGATGGAAAATTGACATTTTTCAGCATTTTATGAGACATGTGTATATTTAGACATTTGAAGCTATAAATAAAAAACGGAAATCCCTGAAAACAATATGCGTTTTAGTTATTGGTGTCCAGTCTCTGGCATTGGCATATTGACTTTTACAGTAGACATCATAATTACCTAGCAATGACATCATAAACTCTGCCAAAATTTCATTTTTTGGATTTTTCTGAAATATGTCTATTTTTAGATACATGTTACTAAAAATAGCCTTGAGATCCCACTCCAATTTTTTCATGAGGGGACACTACTAATACTGACGTTTGACGACATACATAAGATTTGAAAAATTTCCGTAGACAATTTTTTTAAATTAACCTTAAATTTATCAAAAAATTCCAAATTTTCCATTTCTCACATTTTCAGAAACTATGCCATTTTGCAGGACCATTTTCTAAGAGTGGGGTTAATTCTGTAATAACTGATTATATGCCGTGTATTCCTTAAAAGTTGATGTTTTCTTATGATACAAAGATTTATATTTGAGTTTACTACGTAAAGATAAAAATGCATTCATATTTTCTAAATTTTCATGTATTTGTTTGGTCAAAAATGGCCGAAAATGGCCAAATTCAATGGATCCGTCTCCATGGCAACCAGATGCACGTGGGAAACTTCTGACACCATATATGCTGGTTTTGTTCCAAGGTGCACCTGTGGTGCAAATTTCATCAAAATCGGAGATATGTCGTTTCCAAGATTTTTTGGTGCTTACAGAGAATGCATGTTAAAAGTGATCACGAAACATACATGTTTTCCGTTACTTAAACATCTTTCTCCACACAGCTTACACCTAAAATAGATCTAATGTATTTTTTATAAACATCGAAGTTTAGTCGTGCTATTATAAGAGTTTTCCATGTTTTACGCCTCTTTTGTAAAAAAAAATATATATACATCGTTATGATAGACCTATTCAATATAAACCGAATAATAAACCTTCCAATTCTAAAACTTACGGCTTACAAAATAATTTTTCCTTTAAAACTTACAATTTTATACACTTTCTGAAATAACACATTTAGAAATATATACATGTATAAAAGAGAAAGAAAGTAAGCTACAGATAAAATATTTTTATCTGGGTATGCTTTACCTCTATTTTGAAGACACTTTCTGGTGATGATAAATGTCATCAGACATATGCAGGTCAAAAGGAAAATTCCAAAGAGCGAGCCAAACACAGAAGCAAGAGATGCAGATTCTATATTCAAAAGTTGTCAAGATAGTGGTTTATACATCAAAATTAGTCTTCAAGTATGAATAAGAAATAGATGTACATGTAAACAGAATTAATAAGGAAATCTCAAGTTGATATCTCAGAGAATCTTCTGGACACATTAAAAACAGTTTCAGTCAAATTGGAGAGCACATATGTGTGCACTCCATTGATTTTTAAGATATATTTTATGAAGCAAAAGTACCAAAATTTTAAGAAATGTAATATTCACATGCATGGCAATGAAAGCGTAGCAGGAAAAATACTGACCTTTATCCAAATTTCTTATTGAACAAGTGTCTTGTACAGGAACAGATTCTCCGTATTTATTCACAGCAATAAGAGTAAATGTATAAAATTGATTTTCCAAATTAGGAATAATAGTACTGATTCCCGATATAAGAGAGGTATTCATTTGAGGACCAGTGACTGTTTTGTGTGATAATGTGAAAGTTTGTGCTACTCCGCCGTCAGATCCTGGAATCCAACTAATAAAAGCCATCCCCTCTATTGAGCAAAGAAGGGACATATTTTGTGGTGCATCTGGTACGCCTGGAATATATAATATTAAATATATATATATTTTTTACTTTTATTATTAATACTGTTCCATTTATCTTAAAAAAAAGAACTATTAACATTTAAAGAAAATACATTTACCTTCTGGGATAATGAGAACTGTAGTGAGGAAGGATCCATGGTCATTGCTAACATTTGCTGTATAATAACCAAACTCGTCTGTTTGAAGGGAATTCTTTTTATAACTAACAGAAAATGTTGAGATGTTTGCTGCTGTTGTCATATTTGTGTTCCAGAAATTACTGGCTATATACTTTTCTGCTGAAGTACTAGATTTCCTAAAAGTCCATTGGATGGAAGGTACTGGGTATGCTAAATACTTCGCCGAAAATACAAGCTTATTTGATGACATTTGTTGGAAGAATTGTCCATTTAGAGATCTTGGTTTACCTTTAAAATTGTTGTTGAAATAAAGATAATTAACAGAAAGATCGTATGAAAAGAAAACAAATAAAAGAAAACATGCTTTTAATTATTTCCCTTCCATGTAATAATTTATGAGACTCAGAATTTATTCACTGGACAATTGAAACTTAAGTCTTAAGTGTTTCATCGGAACTATTATTAAAATTATTACCTGGTCCAACTATTAAACTACCGGTAGTAAATTACAAGTTATTTCAAATTAAGTGATTCCCCTACATACATCTTACGTATAACTCCACTGGAGTAGATTCTGAGATTCCTATAACATTCTTAGCCAAGCATATATAAACTGCCGTCTGGAAACACTGAGCTGAGTTTTCTGTAAAATTCAGAATGAATACACCCTGTCCTCTGCTGACAACCTCGCTGGTGTTTACATTCTGTATGGTTATGTTGGTAGATCTAGGACTGTTTACAATACAGTACATTACGAACCGAGATAGTTCACTCACGACGTGTCCACCAACTATAGTAAAATTCTCTATTTCAGGACTATCTGAAACAATTCATGAAACACACAAACAATTCCTACAATGGTAATTTCTCATACATTTTCTTGAAATTAAAATATGATTCAAATCTTTTTAAGCATATAAAATTTAGTAAGTTATTTTCAAGGTTTGAGAGAAAAAAACATTTGATTAAATTATCGGTAGTACTTGAATTAAATGATATCACAACAACGTTTGCTACTTTGTGACGTTGTTAGCCATAATTCAAACATATACATGTATTTAAGTCTACAATTAATAAAAAAAGATTCCATTCTATCTTTATTCAGTTCAGGAGCATCCACACAACGACAGGGGTTTTGAGTCCACTCGTGGCCGTTAGATTCCCGAAAAACTTTCCGCGGACATGCTTACCTAAATTAGAAACTCATCCATTGGGCGTTTTCATAGACTGGTAGGTTGTAAGAATTTGACAGTTAAATGTACATATCATATTTTTGTTTGTCTAAAAGAGATTTATTTTGGATGATTCATTGATAAGCAAAATAGATTAGAATTAGTAATTTTTCAAAAGATTTGTACAAACGTCAGGAACCTATAAGTTGTAAGGATGGCTGAATAGATTTTGAAATAACCTATAACCATATACTTACACATTCTTTCTTATATCCTCTAAAAAAGGATCTTGAAAATCATAGTTTCTTGTCTTTTTCAATAGAAATATGATTGACATTGACCCAGTAGAGCTAATAAAACAAGAGCCCCGTAGGCCATAACGCTCAACTTAATCCTTTTGGTCACTTTAGTTCTTCATCAGCAGAATTTTCTGTTATATATCTCTTTGGAAAACTTAAAAGCTTTTAGTGGCAACACCACGTCACTATATATACCTGTACAGCTGTATATACTTCTGTATTACACGTTATATGATAAATCACGCCTCTGCCATTATACAGAAGATTTTAAAGACTTGAATGCTATGTATTCCTATGGGTATCTTTGATCACTTATTATAACCTCATCTTACCCACAGAGGTTATCTTTGAAAATTCTTCGCTTTCTGTACATGCTTTTATATAAATACATGTAAATGTTGTTCTTTAGAAAAATATTTTTCTATATATTAAAACTTATACTGACCAAGCCTAAAGCCATAAGTTTAATTTCAAAAGTTTTTCTGTACTAGTATAATAATTGTTTTCGTTTTATTTTTTTATTTAATTATTTCGATTTTTATTTTCTTATTTTGTTGTTTTTTTTCGTTTTGGTTTGTATAGTTGGGCTTCAATACTCCTGAACAAGTGGTTCTTGAGAGGTCGAAAATGTGAAAAAGATAAATACGAACGTACATGAACCTCTTCGATTAAGAAAGCTCATCTGAACCTTTGGTTTAGACGAATGTTATTTTAGTTTGATTTTAATATATTTCGAAAAATGTAAAGAAAAAAAAGTTTCTGAGTGAATATTTGTAATACTGGTACATACATACGACTTCCACATTAATAGTAGATGGTATTGATGTCCCAACGGCGTTACCAACGGTACACTGGAAAGTCCCTTGGTCGGACTTACGCACACTAGAAATGGTGTAGGTCTGACTAGTGCTGATTTGATTGCCTCCTTTAGTCCATCTGTAGTTTAATCCTGTGCTTGGGTTTGCATCATCAACGAAGCACTTTAACTGAAGATTGCTGTCACCCAGTTTTGCAACAACGTTTGTTGATGGTGTGACGTAGATTTCCGGCACATCTTTAAAAGCAATGGCCAAAAATATACTTAGTAAATATGTTTACTGAAAGCTAAGCACAGAAACACTTACCCTAACCCACATACAGAGAGAGAGAGGGTAAGGAAAAGAGAGAATTAATCTAATTACCAGACATTAAGCTAATGTTAAAATCTTACACAAAACATTTAATACTTCCTCGTCACTTGGGTCGGAGAATAATCCTCTCTCTTCTTTGGCTGTACACTGAATTGTTGTCCCTTTATCTTGTTTTTTAACTTTGTTAATCATCAAAATACTACCTCCGTCTCCTGTAATTCTGAAGCGAGAGTGTGTGATGTTAGCGTTATTCACGGTCCAGATATAGGTGATAGGCAGACTCGTGAGTGGAACTGATGTGGACATAGCTGAACAGGTCAAGTTCTGCACAGTGTTCGAGATGATTTCACTATTCACATTAATAGTAGGTTTACTTGGAGGAGCTGATTGAAATTAATACATTACTTTCTCAAATGTCTGTAAGTTGTGCATGACAGTGTTGTATTGTAAATTTTATTTGACATAAAGAATATTGTTTCTTTTTTGATCTGCATTGTGAAAAAAAAATATGAAAAAAACTTACTCATGACGAACAGCGTATTATTCGTTATGACTGAGCTTATCGATAATTGTGCAAAGTATACTCCAGCATCAGTTGTGTTAACATAGTTGGTAAAACAGATATATACTCGGTTTTTTGATGTTTCCACATTACATGTTACCCTTCCTCTGTAGTCAACATTGATGTCTATAAATGGATCAGAGTCAGGAATGCCAGCGAGAGTACATATAGTTAAATTGTTGAAACTTAAAAATATTACAAAATCTTCTGGTATGCTTCGAGACATTGAAATATTCAGACATCCTGGAGAGCCTTCTTTAACATAGGCAGGTTCCTGTAATTCGGCTGTAAAATAAATTGTATTTATGGAAACAATTATATACATTGCAAAAATTACGTCCAGGAATTTATCTTATAACATATTATACATGCTATAAGCATACTTGCCTTCACTGATATATATATGCAGATAGAAAATGAAATTCCAAATGAGAATTAATAGGCATTGCACCTCCATGATTATCTTATCAGTAAAATCTTCCTGTTTTGTCCTGAATTTAACGATAATAATGCTTTCATGCTTAATCATTATTTACTTCCTCGTGTGCTGTTAGCTACAATATACAACATGACAATTGATTACACATATTCTGTACCTTTAACAAGATAGATATATGACATACTAGTATCTTTGTATGGGCCAGTGTCGTCTGTGATCTTTTCATAGTAGCAGAGATGGATGTCAGAATATTAGGATAACGAACGATATTTAAACTTAAAAGTCTATTCAAACAATACAAATCATGAGCAGAGCAATCGTGGGATTCTAAAACATCAGAGGTTGGATCATGTGCCATGGAGAAGTGATCATCCTCTCCTGACTGGTCACATCCGCCGTGGGCTCCTTGTTTGATCGGGAATATAAGGAAAAATCCGTTCACAATGTCGTAAATACTCAGTAATGGCCTGGCAATTACATGTACATGTAGTTTAATTGAAAACGTCCATCAGCATTTGACATAATGATAGATTGTATTCGCTGACGAAGTCATTGTATTGGCCTTAGAATTTGCATAATGATGACTTAAAACACAATTATCTTGTTTGACGATTACCTACCTCGTTTTTAGGAATTGCTCATATGTTGAGCATACTCTTGCGTATCGAATCAAGTGAGATATATAATCTCCGTATGCAGGTGATGAACGTATATTGCTGCAAAAGTAAGGAAAGTAGACGACTGAAAATTTCAAAAAGTCATCATGTTTATCACAAAGCTGTGTTAATAGATTACCATTAACGTCTCTTTTTCTAGTAAAATAAAAATGTCCAAACATAAAGCCTTTATTATGTAGCTTAAACATCTCCCATTGATTTATATTTAATATTTCAATCAAATAACTCAATTTAATATGATTAAGAGTTTTTCAGTATCGGTATTTAAATTTAGTGTATGTATATTTAATATCGCATCTATCAAATGACCCGTCCAAGAGTTACTAGTATGATTCGCTTGTTTGAGGTTTCATTGACGGTAATACGTACTAGATCTACATTAGTTTTTAATAATTGAATTTTGTGTGAAAATAAAAATTTCTTACCTAGCTGCTACGTAATATCTATCATAAATTTCTCTTGCTGGGTTGATGTCGCCTGCGTGAGACCGGTCTGCTCTAGAGTCGCAAAGTAAGGTGTTGATCCTTACGTTGCGGGTTTGAATCCCACTGTGGGACGTGGAGACCGGCCCTTCGGATGAGACCGAATAAGCCGAGGTCCCGTGTCGCAGTAGGTCCTGGCACGAAAAAGATCCCTCACTGCTCAATGGCCCTGAGTGCCGAGTATAGGACAAAATTTGTAGCTCTCCACCGGCAAGTGGTGGCGTCTCCATATAAGTGAAAATTTCTCGAGAGGTACTTTAAACAACATTCAATCAATCAATCGGGTTGACCAGGCCAGGCGACATTTTTTGTTTACAACGGGGCGTTCGATACTGACCGCTCGTATTCGGAATGTTTCTGACACACTTAGTATAGATCTACGTAATACAAACTCAGCGTTCAATAAAATGCTAAGATATTGATCGCTAAGTATTCTACTATTAGGCTAGTAGATTTTTATTAGGCTATAGACTATTTATTAGCTATTATACGCTCCTCGGAAAGACAACATTCATTTCGTGGATTGACCTTTGGTGCACTTTTATGTCATCTAATGCAAAATGACGTCATATCAGTGTACTAGTACACTATTGCTGCCATGAGAAAAAATTGGTGAAGAAGAACAGACAACGTAAGTGCTTTTTATATCACATTTTAACGTTCTAGGCTATAATTATAAGGATTGATATTTAGATACAATTAAAAAATAGAAACCAATCGCTAGAAAAAAGATAAAAATATAAAGCAATCGCTGAGCCTTATTATGGTTTATTGCCTTATAAATACATGACAAGCCAATCCATTTCGAGAAGGCCGGTCAGCTCTAGAATCGCGGATTAAGGAGTTGATCCTAACGTCGCTGGCTCGAATCCCACTGGGGGACGTGGTAACCGGTTCTTCTTATGAGCCCGTATAAACTCTATGGTCCTGTGTCGCAGTAGGCCCTAGTTGCTGGCACGAAAAAGATCCTTCACTGCCCCTAAGAGTTATCTCCCGTTGTCAGCGTAACACTAATTTTTCACACTTTGTCCTTTGTAAGTTAATTATACCCCCCGTTTGAAAAGTGGGAGGGTATACTATAACCGGTATGTCTCCGTCCGTCCGTCTATTACGCTTTGGGGTACCCATCTCTTATCCGCAACTCCTCTTATAGTACCACTGGTACTGGGTGAAATTTAATGAATCTTTCACAGAATCTTATTAATTACATATTGCCATTGTGCACCTCCTTTTTTAATTTTTGATCCGACACATATTTTGAGTTTCCCGGCCACAACAAAACATGAACTTTGCCATTATAACCATATGGGAGGCGGAGGGTATCATTAAAGTAATGAGCACATTGCTCACTGTACCTCTAGTTGTTAATATTTTTAATCTTCAAACGTTATCGGGCGATTTCGAACTGTAACTATATCGCCAGAGTATTGGGCAACATGAAAAACATAATGAACATATTTGTACAGATTTTATTTCTAAGATACTGACTCATGAAGATGGTAAGGTTATAGAGGGAAAACAGTGTCTTACGCCGGTTGACCCCGGATGTGAAAGTCGTCTATGGCCGTTAGTCAAGTGCCGAGATGTAGCCCGGCCTCCACCGGCAAGCGATGACATCTCCAAATTTCTCGAGATGGACTCTAAACAACCAACAGTGAATCAATCGAGAAGACCAGAAGAATATATTTGGCACATTTGTTTAGTTTTTGACAAATATTTTATATATATATAGGAATAAAGACCGTTGCTTATAAATCATTTTACAAAGGTGGTACTGCGGTATCGTTACTAAAACGGGGAAAAAATTATCAGAAAACTCAAAACGACAAAAGACCACTGTTTCTTTAATGTTTATAAAGTTTACGCATTTTATTGGGCCGCCCAATCTAAAAAGTAATTAAGTAGACGAATTTTATTCCCTTTTAATAAACATTATGGTAAGTCTACTTAAAAGGTTATTTATAAAAGTTAAACATTTCTTATTTTCAAAGAAAAAAAAGGAAAAAATGTTTAAAAGCAAAACTTCAGAGTAGAGCATTGATAATTTTATTTTAAAAATGCATTGACTCATAAGGACACGAGGTCAGATTTCAAATTCAAATATGACACTGTTGTGAAGTGCACAGAATTATCAGTCATTATGTAACCATAGATTTTATCACTATTGTGAAAAGTAATCCCGACTGAGACGGACCTTTTGTATGTGTTTGTTGGGGGACGGGGATATAGCTAATTATGCTGTGTTATTTAAAAATTATTTCAGCTATCTTTCAGTTCCTAAACGGGTTTATTAATCTAATGTATACAATGTATACCTGGTGTTAAACAGTTTGGATTTTAAAAATAAAAACAAAGATGCATGGTCATTGACGAGAATTTTTGGTATGAAGAATTTACCTTGGAAAAGTCAATAAGTCATTCTTGTATCTTACAATTGATAAACAGTAGTTGCGGTATTTAAAACTTCAAGATTCCGTCATAATCCTAAGATATCAAGCGTCTACAAAGGTAAGGAGAGAAAAACAATCTATATAATATCTTTGTTTATAATAGAAATGTAGTCGTTCAAAAAAGACAAGATTTTTATCAAAAGTACGTATTGGTGACTCTAATTGTCCTGGTTCTTTTTTGTTTGTTTGTTTGTTTTTTTATTAGACAAAAACGCGCAAAAATTTTACCTTTTGTTACAATATTTATTTTGTACAGAGCGATGGTGACCATTTGTGGATATTTTAAGAACGAAAAGAAAAATCAGTGAACATTGAAAATTTGTTTCATTAATTTGAGATTAAGATGATAAAGTATATTTAAAATGAGGACGATTTCATCCTTTATGAAGTGCAAAAGAACCATTTAAGGGTGTTTTGTCGGTGGAATTTTAATAATGCATTATATTTTCACTTTTAACAATGGGATAAGAGATAAAATATGCTGGTACAAAACGAAATTTATATCGCTGCATGGCTACAAAAAAATTTTAATCAATTAATACAGGCATAAACTCTCTGTAAAATTATAACATTCAATAGATCAATACTGTTTTGAGGTACGGTTTGATTAAGGTTGTGGAATTTAAGATCTGTTACCGTTTTCTTCAGATGGCACCAACATTTGGTGCGTGTCAGACCGATAACAGATACCCTTCTACATGGTATCTTTCTAGAGTAAACATGCAATGGATAAAAGAGGTTTAAGCTGGTCTAAGACCTTTAATTTAGCGAAAATCTAAGGTTTTTACTTATTAATACAATGATAACAGTTCGATGTTTAGTTAATTCACCTGATTACGAGGAAGAAATCTTTTTATTTATTTATTTGAAAAAATAAATATTTAAGAGAAACACTTATGCTTTCATAGTTTCATGCATATTTCACATCTTTTCCTCCCTCTCTTTCTCTCTTTCTCCTCGACCAATAAAGAGACAGAGGGGGGGGGGGGGGATCTGTACGAATTAGAAATATAAAAATCAACTTTTTTATTATCAATTATGCCCAGTTCTGCAGTGACGATGGCACAAACATCAAACAGTCAGCTGACCTACCCTCCAGAAGAGGCAAGTATATTTTCAAAGATTATCTGTTTAGTAACTTTAGTTTGTAACATCGTATGAAAAATGTGACTGTTTTCATTATTATCAAGTTCTGTTAATTATTAGCATACTTTTAAGTAATTAACATTATGTACATCAAAAAGTTTTCTGATACCGATATGATAATAGATATACTAATATCTGTTTTGGTGCAAGTGGACCAATTACTGCTAGGCATGTTAACAATGATATTGGAATGAATCTTTAATCCAGGTTGATGCATTGAAAATGTTGTCTATAAACCAACACAAACTTGGACATGCTGTTGAAGAAGCTTTAGAAGTCGAAGAAAAAACTACCATAAAAAAGGGCACTCTGATGGTAAGATTTTTATTGTTACATATATTTATACATTAACACACGTTTATTTCTTACTACGTGAGAGGTGTCGACAATCTGGGGCTGAAATTATGGGTTATTTCTCATTACCTATAAAATGTATCAACATTATGGAAGGTTAAACAGTGTGAAAACCACAGGTACTTGTGGACAGGACTAGACAGGACCCCCCCCCCCCCCTCCCGATATTCAACCCCGGGGCTTATTGGATATTTTTTTCACAAATTATATTTAATACACTTATTCATCATATGTACAGTATGAAAAAATCGTCAAAACCCCAAAACAATCGCTCCACAAAAAAAAAAAATACTCCACTATACATTATCTCCCTTATAATGTATAGTGGGATATTTTTTTGTGGTGCGATTGTTTTGGGGTTTTGACGATTTTTTTTATATTGTACACGTGATGAATAAGTGTATTAAATATAATTTGTGAAAAAAATGTCCTGCTCCAATAAGCCCCGGGGTTGAATATCGAGGGGGGTGGGGGGGTCCTGTCCACAAGTACCTGTGGTGAAAACATGGTGATTTCAACTTTTTGATCGTCTATTAAACTTCCGCTATCCTCTGGTGTTTTTTTTTTTACATTTCCAAACTTAATCAATACTGAAGAACATGCTCTAGATATGACCAGTTTTCAAAATAACAGATACGTTAACATCAAAGGGATTTCAACAATCTTGTTAAAAAGCAGCATTTTGTAAATTCTTTGGTCGTTATGATGACCTTATTAAAAAATACAACCGAATACTGGGTCCTATATGGGTTAATAATGTGTTTCATACCAATGGTACTAAAGACAATTGTTTGCAATTTATTTATTCATATATGTATTTTATTGTGGTTTTAGTTCCCCTAGACATACACAAGAACTGAACAGTATCTATTTTCAACAGACTAAAAAAACATTTCAGATTTGCTTAATCAGCTGTTTTTTTCTCTCAAGGAGTGATAAACTAGAAGTATAACTACATGTGAAATATTATTAACAAATTAATTCGCATTTTTGATGCGATTAGACATGCATGTATATACATACCATTTCAGAGCAATTTCGACACTGGCAACCAGGTCCAGTTGGTCTCAAAAGCCAGTGGGCGAACTTTGAGGATAATCCAGGCTCGGTCTGGTCAACTTAAAGTGGACAGCAGGGGAGACCTGGGCGGGCAGGAATGGAATGGTAGTTTGTTAACTATTAATATTTCATAATAATACTGTATAAAGTCATGTTTAGGAACTCTTTTATCATAAGTGTACTCCTTTTTATCAGTAAATAAAATAATTTTAATCTCACTTGTTTAGTAAAGAGTAAGTTTAAAAAAAAAAAAAAAAAAAAACATTATCAAGAAAACGATTTCATTGTTCATACATTTTATTTTAGCTGTATGGACAGTTATTAATGAAGGTCACAATCAGATTCGCCTTCACAATAACTTTAACTTTCTGGCAATAGTAAATGGCGAAACCACTGTTATACATGTGGTAAGTATACAAATTATTACGGGTTATTTTATTTTACTCTACTACAACAAAATATAAATAGGTGGAATTATTTTGGTAGTTCATGAATATTTAAAATAAAAACTTTAAATTTACTATAAATCACCATAAATCAAAATTTAAATTTTTGTTAACGATGTACTATAAATCTATCACATAAGTCCTCCCAGGATATATCGTTACATGTATAATGATTTTTAACACTCAGCTTATGCATTTTTGATATAAACAGGAATAATAATTTGCATTTCAAAGGTCCTACCTCTTCGGACTAAATGCTTAAAATGTGTGTGTGGGGGGGGGGGGGGGGTGTCAGCTTATTATCTAGCATGTACACCTAAACGAGTAGCAGACAAACTGCGTGTTCGGTCTTTATATTAATTAAATGTACCTGTTTACCCGGTATTTAATTTCTGCTAGTATTATTTTTGAAAAAGTAATAATTTGATTAAACAGTTTCGTCCCTTGGGCCAAGGGTTCAACCCCAGAATGAGACTGATTATAATTTGAAAACATGGTATACCAATATTTTTTTAAAAAGTCTTCTCGACTCCAGAACTCGTAAAGCAGAAAAGATGTAGTAAAGTGAATGATTGTATTAGAATTGATTTACACGTCCATTTATCATGGGTTTGACCCCAGAATGACTTAAGGCAAAACGACCCTCTGATAAGAATTTTAATTTCCAAACAAAATAACATGCTGTAGGTTAATTTGTCAAACTAGATATTAATAATTTAAGAACCATTCCGGGGTCTTCCACTTGCCCATATAGGATTTGGGCTTCTTTCAAATAGCTAAAACTCTCCCTTTCCTGTAAGTACATTTTCTTCTTAAATTATTTTTTTATATGGATGCATATTTACTTAAAACGAATGAATATATATGTCACTAGATATTATTTTTAAAATTGTTCATGTTGTGATGATAAATCTTTCTATTCATTGTGTCAAATATTCTAAATATACCATCCAATAGATAAGGCTCATGGAGGGTGTGACCGGTTAACAAGATGCTTACTTCTCAAATTCACCTGATCCAATTCTGGATTTCCGCGGATTCGTATTTATGCCCTGTTCACAGAATTGTATTGTTTGTAGTTTTATTTTATGTGATCGATCGCTCTTTCGCCCTACTTAAAGTGCTTGTACGATGAAATGAGTATCAGTTGCCTTCATTGCTGAACACCAACAGACAAACCAATGATGATTATACCGAGCTTTTGTCATCTAGTAAACCTATGAAATTCACACCCATATTGATTATATCCATTTCCTCAAGGTTCATGTCACAGGATAGGGTTTCAATGCATTACCTAGTTAGTATAAACTATAATTAATTTCTTTTATTTACCACTAAGCATTAACGGTCGAAGGCAATCCTATTATTGTATATTAATTACAGTGTATTTAGTAAATTGTATATTATTGTTTATCAATTAACCAAACATTTGAGTTAATTGTTAATTTTCCAAAATCTTTTGGAATCATAAATTTTTTTTTAATTACTTCTTCATTGTTTATGTGTTTATATGTTATTGAATAAATGTTAGCAATAAACCTTATTCTACAAATGTGATATTAATTGATTTTAATGGGTGTATAAGGATTATGCTTTAGGAAAAGAAGCTTCGTATAACAGGGTTAGTGTCTTAGGAGATTTTTTTCAGATCTCTGGTACACAGATTGTTTGACTACATATAAAAGGCTATATGACAACAGAATACTCATGTTCTGTTTCATATTTTAGCCACAGGGATCTGAACATGATAAGCCAGAAACCAAGCTCCAAGTTATCATTCATCCGGAGAGCTTTGTGACCTTGGAGTCGATGAGGGAACCGGAAAAGTGTATAGGAATACTGGACAGTGGGTCCCTAAAGTCAGCAGAGAATTGTACCTGTCACGACGACCATTCCATGTTTGGAGTACATTTGATAGTAAGATATACTGCAACAAATAAAATCGTGTCACTTATTTGTACTTTCGATTCATTTAAATTGATCTTCTGAGATCAATTAAATATGATATTTCTCCATTCCATTTCAGTTATTTAATTCCTTTGGCATGAAGGAATTTATAATAGTTTTCTCCTTGATAAAGATGATTTCGTTAAATCTCTTTTTAAGAGTTTTATTTTTAGGAACATTTATAGAAAATTTTCCGGTTGACACATTCCGTTAACATATTTTTAAAAGAGCGGAATTTTTGTTGTCTAAGAGAATGCGATTGTAATATTTTATTTGACAAACTTTGAGATAAACTCCTCTTCACAATGATTTTCTTGTAAAGAATTAGATGATTTATCAGTATTTTAAATACCTTTAAAACCTTTTTCATATATGAGTGGTTTATGTGAAGTGTAGTTTTCCTGCTAACTAGTCTCTTATCGAAGCAAGTTAGATTGCTGATTGTTTTAAACAGATTTGTTGTAACATTTTTATAGCAAAAAGGTATCTCTAAATTTGACACTTTTTGTCATAAGTGAAATCATCTTTCTAGTTACTGAAAGCAGATGTGAGAATTTTTAATGATATTGAAACAACTAACTATCAGTAAATTGACAATTTTCATTCATGAAAATGTTATCCTCGATTTCAGTTCTTTTATCATCCAAGCTCCCTATGGCTATACAGAATTTCGTTTTAAATGATATATGACTTCATGTATTACACAGACGAGATGTTTGATGTTGAAACATCTACATAAATTACAACTTATAACAACCTAACTAAAGACTTAGGTCTTAAGTCTGGCCCTTCACAAGACAAACACTTACTTAGCTCCTGAAATTATGAAATGAAACATGGAAATATCGAACATTATTCAAGATCAAAAGTCCACAAAACGATACAAAACAGGAGCAGAGCAAACACGGACCTCCAAAACATCAGAGGTGGGATCAGGTGCCATGGAGGAGTGAGCATCACCTGCCGACCGGTCACACCCACAGTGCGGTCCTTGTAATGATCGGGAAATAGCGAAAAAAATTCCCCGTCAATTCAGTGTATAAATAATGGACTAACAATTAGTATGAAAAACGTCAGTCAGCATTTGATTTAATGATAAATTGTATTTGCTGACAGGGTCATTGTATCGACCATAGAACTTACAAAATGATGACTTTAAACGAGATTTCTGATATTCTTGTCTCATCAAATTTACCTCGTTTTGGAAAATGTTCATACGTAGAGCATACTCTTGCGTATTGAATCAACTGAGATACATAAACCCCATATGCAGGTGATGAAGGTGTATTGCTGCATAAGTAAGAGAAGTTAACGATAGAAAAGTCAAAGTCATCACGTTTATCATAGAGCTTGGTTGTTAGATTATCATTAATGTCTTTTTCAAGTAAAATATCCAAATATGAAACAGATGTGTCAGACTTTGTGGTATCTTTTATTTCAAGCTCACCAGGATATATTGTTTTGACATAAGAAATAACCAATACATGTATACTAGTATTTAGTAAGAATACATTAATCTTTTAAGGTAGTTCCATCCTCACAATTTTTATAGTTCAAAGTACAAAACTGCATTTATTTTCATTTAATGTAGTTTACATTTACCAATTATTGCAAAAAAGATATGCGTTTCCATATTATTTAAGATGAGAGACATATATAAACAGAGGTATAGGTCAAAATAAAAAAAAATCGTATATTTTTTGGTAAACATTATTATTAAAATCATGTAAAAACTGGTTCAAATGCATAATTCTAATGTGGAGAGTTCAAAAATACTTTCTACTTATAAGAAACTTTTGAATATCAGGGGCACGATCTTACTTTAGAAATACAATAAAGAATGAAGATACTTTAGAAGGAGTTATTGCCCTTGTCAGCATTTTTAAAGATTGAATTATTGATTACATGTAAAATAAAAAAATATACATTGTTTTCAATTCTCTTCTTAAAGAATATTTATCATCACACCTATTAAAAGCATTTCCAAAAGACATTGTTCTATTGGATACAGTTTTTGCAAAAACCTACGACATCATACTAGGATGGAAATATCTTAAATAAAGAATGAATGCAACATTTATTTTAATATCAAAATAGCATAGAAAATTTAAACTTTTAATTGATTTTTTGTGATTATAATCAGCAAACTAAAGTTCTTAAAAAACTGGAAACCTAATAATGAATAAGACCTTTGGTTTTTGGAGGGACTCATCTTGAAAAAACGACGAGTTTAAATTAATTAAAATAAATGTCCAACTTTATTAAGTTATTGTTATTAAATTGTTTTTTAACAGAAGAAAGCATGATCACTGAAGAAAATGAGATTATGTTGAGTTTCCTAGTGAAGAGGATAGTACTTATTGATTGTAAGCTATGGTGTATAAATTCATTTCATTTGTGTTACTCTGTTTATATAAATAGAGTGACATATTTACAATACTTGAAATGATTAAATGTATATAAAATTGTCCCCACATAGTAAAGTTTCAGATGTGTTCAGTTCATGGCTGTATGGAATATGATGTGAAAATTCGGAATTTTTTAGATTATGAAGCATACTAGATATATGTACATATAGTTGTTATTATTTCTAAATTAACCAAATTATTATTTTTTGTCAATATTTTATAGCAACATGTTCTATTAAGCAATACACCACAAGGAGTTTAATTTTCATTTGAAGAAGCCTTATATTTATTATATTCATAAGCATAATTTAATACTTTTGCAGATCACATCAACAATGAAAGGATTCAAGATCTTGCTGCCCTTGTGTAACACTCAGGTCAAAACGTTACCTAAAACATAAAAACAATGCTTATTGAGTACAATTTATCATATTTTAGTATTTTTATTCCATAGTTTATAAGTTTGTTATATATGTGCATGTGGTCATTACATCGCCATTTATGAATTTACATTTTTTTTCTCTAGACATAAAGCGACAGATTACCAAATAATTGAGTAAGATGAAAATGGATAATCATCAAACTGTTCGATGTTATTTGTTTATAAGTTAATTAGGAATATTGTAATGCATTCTCTCATAAAATTTAATGTAACAACATCTGAGGACTGCAGGAGTTATTCTCCTTGATGCTTATTTTCATTGAAAAAACAAATCAAAAAGATTTTTATCAAATGAATCTATAGTGCGTTAACATTTTATTTACAAATTACAGCTAAATAACTTAATATAATTTTTATTGTAAGCAGTGGAATTAATCTTTAAAGTAAGAACATGATGTACATATGAAATTGGCTTTGTGTGGGTAATGTATATACGTTTACATGTATTTTTTGTTATGGAAATTTCACAATCAAACATTCCTTTCCATAAATAATATAATTTAGACAATATTTTATACTGAATAATCACAAAAGTATTGGGCAGCCTTAGTTAGTTTATCAATTCTTTACTTAGATGTTTAGAATATAAAAATCATAGGCATCAACATGTACAAGGCATGTATATTTTTATTAATATAAATTATTTGACTTACTATAAAAGTATATGAAATGTTTGAACCAATCTGAATCAAATATTAAATGGATGAATTGTTTGTGGTGGGTTTTTTTTACATACAATTTTGCCTTGCTGAAATGCTCTTTATCTTAAAGAAAACTATATTAAAGAAAAGTTCATAGAAATGCATAATTTGTGATGGAATGTAAATTGTAAATATTTTCTTTTCAATTTCTCAGAATTATTAACTTACAATAATTTTTTTTATTTTGTGGCAGTCATTGTTCACGGTCAAACAAAATTTTACTTGTTCGTGGGACGTCATTTATATACTTGTTTGATAGATTCAATGATTCAATAAGTTTATAAATTGAACGTGTGTGGGGATGTGAATTCAAAGGTAAGTGTGACACATACCCATAAACATTCCGTCCACTCATTACTTCATAAGGAATATTCAAGTGGTCGTGCAGTTGATTTGCCTGATTCATGTCAATGGGAAATGAAGATTCCATTGACAAATATAAGATCATATTATAGCCCTTTGGCTCACTGATGCTTGTATCATACATTTTGGTTTTTTGTTGGATAGTTATTAGTAACTGATATTTATAATCATGCATTTTGAATGCTAGGTGTCATTGAGTAAAAAAGATTTTTAAGAAGTAATACATGTATTTATTTCAAAATAAACCTAACCTCTCATTCCCTTTTACCAATAGATACTTAAATACAAATTTAGGTTAACTGTTCTAAAGAAGAAGCTTAATTTTATACGTGGAGATAACAGTTTTCAAGCTCAAAATTCCATTTAACAATACAGAATAGAAGCAGAGCAAACACAGACCTCCAAGACATCAGAGTTGGGATCAAGTGGCATGGAGGAGTGAGAATCCCCTGCTGATTGGTCACTCCTGCCGTGTGTTTCTTGTCCTGATCGGAAAATGACAAAAAATCCGTGTGTAAATAATGTCCTTAAAAATCAGTATGAAAAACATCAGTCAGCATTAGACTTAATGGTATATTGTATTTGCTGACATTGTCAGGTCACTGTATCGACCATAGAACTTCCGAAATGATGACTTTAAACGAGAATGCCAATTCTCTTGTTTCAGAAGGAAACGTGTAGATGGTCGTTATATTAAATGGCCTTAGGAAATTAGACCTAGCATTTGGTTTGAGTTCCATACCATTTCTATAGGTCTTTGTTTTTATACTAAATTTGACAATGGAAACTTACCTCTACCTGATCAATACGTAGGGTCCAAGGGGGTTATCGATCAACGGGGGATGCTTACTCCTCCTAGGCACCTAATCACGTCTCTGGAATTCCAGGGGTTCCTGTTTCTGCCCTCCTCACTAATTTGTATTGTTTAACTTTTTGCGATCGATCACTTTTCGTTACATAATTATTATATCTTCAATTCTTTCATTAGCAACCTTAAGTTGGCTGACAGTTGCAGTCTCTACTGACTGACTTTCAACAGCTGTTCAATAATAGTTGATTTATAAAAATAAAAGATTTTTTTTTTTTTTTAAAAATGAGCTCGTTTTAAGTTTTGAGCCTTTGATCCATACTAATATTATAAAAATTCTAGTCTCTAGAATGTGTTGAAAATAAGAATTTTTATACTAGTATATAAATGTTTGAAGATTAAAAGCGATAGAAAGGAAATCTAATGAATTTTTATCAAGTATATTTGTCACTCCAGAGGTTCTATTTTATCTACATCATCTTCATTAATCTATACATGTAATGATGTCACTGTATCATTGTACATGTATGTATGAAAAAAGTCATCGGACGATCGAGCGTCCACCTCGTGACTAAGAGATCAAGAGTTCAATACCCGTGGAGTCAGACCAGATAAGAAGTTTTATACAGTGGTCAGGCAGTGAGAGTCATTGGTTTTCCTTATCTGCGTTTAAAAATCAATTCGATTTACGTCAAGTTAGGTGATTCGACTACAAATAAAGACTTTAACCGAATTGGCAATGGTCAAAGCAAGATGTTGCGTAGATTCATGTATAAGAGTGAGTAACTATAGGGAGGATGATGACATCCTCAAAACTATATGCTGATAAACTCTGGAGAAAATATACTTGTACAGTATATGCTTCAGGTGATTATGCTTATAATGGAAACAAAATGATGCTTTTCATTATAGCTAATTTTTAAAGTAAATACACATATATAACCTTTTATGTCATATAAGAGAGTTTGTGCGCCATCTTTGTATCAAAAGCAGTACTACTGGAATTACAATATTAATGATTCCACCTGCTTGGATGTTAGGATGAATAATAAACTTACAAAATTTTAGATGATATAAATATTATAGCTCTATCAACAAACTAGTAATTCTCATATTCATGGCTCAAGTTTGAGCAGGTGTGATCACCAAGCACTGTGTCTCCTCATTAATAACCATAATTTAAATAAAACAATGTCTAATCGCCTAGGTATGGTATTCTCTCATCTCCTTTATTTCTGTAGCAGAACAATCAGTCATTGTTCATCTTCCAGATCTTTTAAGGAGTAATTATTCGGCTTAATGAAATACTAAGTACTTCTGAGAAACTTAATTAGCATTTATATGCCATATATCTTCTATCTTCACATTCCGGTTTTCATTGCTAAATTTCGTACATGCATAGGAGAAGCACAATTGAAAGTTAACTACATTGTAGAAAGGAGATTTGTACGTTAAATGGTACTAATTTTGTACTTTCCATAGAGCTGCAATGCATATATAAAGAGGGTTATTTTTGTCCAATAAACATGTTTAAAAATATGAAATTTTTAGAAAGTAAATATTTGTTTCGAGAAAATGTTAATATAAAAGACAACAACAAATGGGGGAGGAGAAATTGAGACATAATAAAAATATATTCCTTGGCTTGAGTATTAAATTGAGGCCTATATAATTATTTTGCCTGTTTACTTAAATTTCAGCATAAGATGCTTTTTTTTTATTTTGTTCAAATACAGATAGCTGAAAGTCTTTTAATATTCAGTTTTACGTACAGTAAAGAAGAACAGCATATACAACATATATTATACAGGGAAAATGCGGAAAAGTTTATCATTTTTATCATTATTGAGAAAGTGTTTGCAAAATTTAAGAAGTTAGGTAATTTAAAACGCATCATATTTTAAAAGGGATGGACTTGCATTCGCAGCTAAAAAGCAAAATCGATTTATTTTAGTTCTGTTCAACATGTTACTTCTGTATGTGTATTTTTTTTTACCTTTATGCAATCATCACGTGAGCAAACATGCTTTAATTTCCATATGTACACATAAATTTATGATCATCTGCTGTAAAAACATTCAAACCTTTTAACCTGCCATCGTACATTTCTCTTTGTTGTTCTGTGTAGCTGATAATTGCGTTATAAGTTTGTCAAAAGTTATATTCACTTTGCCTATTTAAGCCTTATTCAAAGTCGTACACAAACTTAAAGACACATGCATTAATTTGTGATGAAATGACGTGTATTGATAGGATGACCCACAGATTGCCAAATCAAATCATATTAAATATTATCATGATAAAATTTGTTCAGATCGCACCTTGATCTACAGAATTTCGTCTTAGAGTAGATTTTATATAGGGACATTTAGAGAAAGTATAATACATCGTCACATCAAACACTCCCCTTCTAGTCAATCCCTCTTCAATATTATACCGCTTCAAGGAATGTGACCCATAAAATTTTTACCTCCCTCACTTAATATGCCACTCCCTTTAAATATCATTCTGCTTCAAAAATGTGACCACATCCTTTTTCTTCATTACATGGATATAAGTTTTGTGTGTTAATAGAAAGCAAATTAATTACATTATGACTATTTATAATACATACACGTACATCGCATCGTATTTTTCAATAAGATTCGAACAGAATTTCTACATGAAACATGATTATTATTTGCTTGAAGTCCAAGGTTTTTTTTTTTTATAATATTATAGTTATTCCACATAAAACGACTAAAATACATGTATTATCTCCTAAACAAACATAATTTTCTTTTCTTTTTTCAAATATGCGCATCTATCAACTCTGCGCTTGACAGAATACTGATATGTCATCTGAGTCAAATATGAATTTCAGTTTACATTTTAAGAGTTTTAAATGAAATATATAGAGGTAAGGGACAGTTTTCAAGCTCAAAGGTCCATTACAACAATGCAGAATAGGAGTATATAACAAACATGGACCTCCAAAATATTAGAGATGGGGTGAGGTGCCATGGAGGAGTGAGCATCCTCTGCCGACCGGTCACTACCGCCGTGTGCTACTAGTCATGATTGGAAAATAACGGGAAAATCCGTCGATAATTCAGTGTGTATATAATGGCCTAATAATTGGTATGAAAAACTTTAGCCAACTTAATGATAAATTGTTTTTGCTGACAATGTAATTTTATCGACCACAGAATTTTCATAATGATGATTTTAAACGAGACTGCTGATTTCCTTGTTTCAGTAACTTGTTTGTCAATAACTGGCCTCGTTTTAAAAATTGTTCATACATAGAGCATGTTCTAGCGTATCGAATTAAATGAGAGATATAAACCACGTATACAGGTGCTGAAGTAGCTGCAGATCTGTGGCGTTATGGTTTTATATATTTGTCTTATGGTCAAAGACAAATATATAAAACCATAACGCTACAGACCTGCAGCTAGTGCTGAAGGTATATTGATGCGTAAGAAAGAGAAAATGACGATTAAAAAGTAAGAGTCATCAAGTTTTACTTTTTCAAGGAAAATATCTTAATATGAAACAGATATGTCAGACTCTGTGGTATCTTTTATTTCAAACTCCCCGGGATATTTGGAAATCGACATTAGAATGGAAATAGCCATTGTTAATTGTCAGTAAATCGTCAATATATCTAAATGTCGAGTTAAATGCCACAGCAATTGTTTTCTTTTTTATTTTAAATACTACTTTGGTGGAATGCGACCGAGATTCGAATTCACAACTACCTAATCACAAGTGAGCGCTCTCCTGAATGAGCTTCCTATAAGATTTTGGTCAAATTCTGCTTCATATGAATACAAAAACATGTCTGCTAATGACGAGGCGCAATTGGTACCCGTGGGAATCCCAACAGACTATTGGAAAACCGGTTCTCCACTAACCACCTAGATTTTGTCAATCAGAAACTCGAGCATCTTTTTTACATCAACTTCAGAGTACTTGTGCGTATAGTTCTATGTTTCCTCTCCTTACAATCAGTATTATTTTGACCTGATTACTGTTCATTACTATAATGCTCTAAGCTTTCTTTTTTTTTTGGGGGGGGGGGGGGTTAAAAGACACAGAAATCATAATTATATATTATTCTAGAAAATTATGTAGTCAATAAATTTCTTTACAATTTCTTCCAATTCTCAAACTTTTTTGTATTAAATACACATGTACATAGCAAACTTTTATTTTACTCAGATATGAACGATATAAAGGGTGTTAAGAAAGTTCATTCCACATTTTTTCTTCTATTTTCGAAAAGAAATACGATGTGAAGTTATTGACAATTTGTTATATTTTATGTTTACAGGTCCATTCTTGCTACTGATAAGGTTTAAACTGTCTTTGATAAGAAGAGGGCAGATATTAAAACAGATGATGTCTGTACAGAGAAATTAGGTATGACGCATATTTGTGACATATATATTTAGCATACAGGTCAAAACATCCTTTCAAATACCATGCAAAAACTATCAAGTCGGTGAAAAATTTTAAAATGACAAACTTATTCTTTTTAAAAGTGATCTATGGTTCGTATACCTACACTTATCAGCTTGTCTGCTGCAAGATAAGCTATGAAAAAACAAAAGTAAATTATCCTTTACTTTCACTCAAAATGACCAGCATTTCTATCATTCGGGTGCTATAAAGATTTCATATATATTTTCATATGGAAGAAAAAGTCCTATAATTTCCTGCTAGAAATGAATTGCTATAAATCTAAAGCACACTCTTGCGATTTTGTCAGACTTGAAAATTCATCTCTTTTATTAAGCACTACTTTGAAATTTTTGAAAATATTTCATCATGGAACGAACTTTTTTAACACCCCTTTGTATAGTTTAATTTTTTATCACTGTTAATGCCAGATTTTGTGTGTGAAAGGGAGTCAAAAAACGCATTTGTGATAATTAAGCTGAAATTTCAAGCATTCGGCCATTTCATTCATGAAAAGGAAATGTCAGCGTAAGATTTATTACCCTCCTGGCCCGTGTACTGAACGACACCTTGTTAAATTACTTAATACATGGTTACCATAGCTTCATCAGACGATTCAGAATACCCCGTCATTCAATAAGTAGGAGTCACTTTCAAAAAAATAAATAAAATTAAAATGTATAGGTAAAATACAAGTTTTGATTACTAATTGCTTGAAACTGTTAATAATAGTTATCGGTTTGTGTATTATTACTACATGTACTACATTCGGTCACACAATCTGAATATAATATATCCGCCTGTGGCTTTTACGGTAGAGAAAAAAACATAATAATTATGTCAATAGCTGGATATTCTAACAAGAAAAAAAACACATATGACCTAGTTGTCCTCCAAACCATTTTTTGTTTATGTTTTGAACACCTTGCATTGAGAACTTTTTAAACTCTTCAAAACAGACTCCATGCAGTAAACAACCCATCATGTACAACTCAAGAATATCTTAAACAAAGCAATCTTGGCTCTAATATAATAACATTGAGTCATTTGGAGGGACAAACCGAGGAGTGCCTGACCTGAAAAGTTCGTTGACCCAATTGCCCCGCATAAAAACAACCCAGTAAAACTCTATATATTTGAGAAAAATTGTAGACTCGTCATAGACATTTACTCACGCAGAGAAAACACATCGGTAAGTTTGATTGCTTGTCATGTCACGTTGGCTTAAGAAGGTATTTCATTCTTAAAACTGAGAGTCAGTGAGGTACATTCGTCCTTTATCTTTTACCTTTGGAAAATAAATGTTTCATTTTACCTTTAGATTTTTTAGAATAAAAGGTCATTGAAAGAGAATTAAAACGCGAAATAAAAAAGATTATAAAAGAGAAATTCTCCCCTGTAAGAATATTTATTATTAATAAAATTTTTAAGTATTTGTCTTTTAAAACATTTTGATATTTTTTAAAAATGTTAAACCATGAAACACTTGAAAAAAATATCTTTTAAGAAGAAATCTGTTTTCAAATTCTGATGATGAAATGAGAATGTTTTAAATATTTGAATAAATAAAATCTTGCATCATGCTTTACAAAGACAAAACTGAATAAATTAAAAAGAGGACTTTTTACTTTAAAAATTATTGAAATATACATATATGTACAAAATGCAAAGATTAAAATAACTTTTGTTTTGGTTTTTTTTTTAGATTAATCACTGTTCGTTATCTTCATACTATTTATATGTACATGTATTCGATTTAGTTTTGGAAAGGACATGATTAAATATTTGTACACAAAATTTTATTAATTTACTAAAGACCTTTTTCAAAAAAAGAAAAAAAAAAAAAGATTGAACACATTGCAATATTTTTTCTTTTTGCACAATATAATTACAAAATAGTTCTTTTTTTATGTTTCAACTTGTATACTTAATAAATGTTCAAGGCACATGTTGTATTCAGCAAAAAGGCATCCTGTTATAGACGGTTGACTATTAATTTACCACATTTTTTCTCACCAAGTCAATGAACTAAACATACACAACCTCAGGGGTGCTATTGGGATAAACACACATAAACAACATTGCGATGTCAGGCAATTCAAACAAGCCATGTATTCATTATTCATAAAAATCTCGTAAATCTAAATACTTATCAGTGGTTTTCTAGAATATTTCTTCTCTAAAGCAATTGCTAGTAATGTCAATTTCAAAGAGCTTTAACTTTCCAACAAACAACAACAAAAACGCATCTTCCTAAGAGAGTAATTTAAAATTCTGGCCTTTCCTCAATAACAAGGTTCAGCTTTCTGGGGCATTGTCCGTAGAGTTCATTGACCTGATTACCGAGCATGAACGGATACTATTAACATGTAAATGTTTCATAAAGGAATTCATTGTCGGAGCACATTAAATATATTGGACTAAAAAAGATAAACTGAACTATTTCTTTTTTCAAAGCAATTTTTATACATCAGTTAAGCATTGTTAAAAAACAAACGTAACAGTATATTTCTTGTTAACAACCCCTTTATGCATGTTTCATCAATAAAACCAAAGTATACACAAAAGGATTCTATTTTTAACTATTAAAATTTTATATTTATACTAAAATGAATCAATAGAGATAAACTTAGACGGCACGTGCGTGAACCCTTTCGGGGACCTCGTCCGTAAGGTTATTGGCCTGATTGCTGCGCACAAAACAGAGTAACTGCGCAAAATAACAATTTATTCTAAAACTGTGTAACGCGTTGCCTTCATTCTCAAACTCAGAGGCAAATCATACACTTCGGTAAGTTTTCACAGCATAAGTTTAGTTGCCTCTTTTATTTCAAATTTTCCACTTTTAAACTTAAATGACGATTAATATTATGCAATTAATAATCACATTTAAATAGTTGTAGTTTTCAAATGTTTTAGATATATAAATTTTAGTTTGCGTGTTGTTTAAAGTTGTATGAACATTTCCCCCCAAAAACTATCTCTGGCAAAATTGTTTCTTAAAATATAAAATGTAAAAAAATAAATAAAAAGGTAAGAAAAAAGCATTTCTAGGAGCGTTAAAAAATTTCTAGAACCTTCTAGATTGGAAGGCTATAAAATTTCTAGAAACTTCTGGATTGGAAAGATCTCTCGAATCTTCTAGAAATTCTAGAAAAATGATGTAAAGGGACTTAATTCTGCATGCTCTTCAAGTTTACGACTCGCCTAAGAATATACATGGGGTTGAATTTCTTAAAAGAAAAAGGGAAGAACAAAAATTAAATTAAATATATATATTTTATTGAAATATTTTTTTCCCTTTTATCATGTTGAAAATAAATATTAGTTTTCTTTTTTAAAATTTTACTGTGAATTATAAACATTGATTATTAATTCAAATTATATCAATAAGTAATGAATAATATTTAACATATGGGAAATAACTGAAGAAAGTCACACATCTATTCCACGGGCAAAAATTGTGTTACTTGCAACACGTTAAACAACAATTTAACAAAGAATTTGGGACTTTTTTTCTTTTAATTTTGAGATAAAGTTAAGAAATATTTTAGTGAATTAAAAAAACAGAGAAAAATATATCGTTGTTTTCGAATAAATATCTGATATCAAATGTGCACCGCTTTAATCGATAACTGATCTAAGCAATACAACCCAGTGACACAAAAAATGAAGCTTTCGTAACATGTTATTCTTTCTTCCCATTGGCTATGAATAATCAAACCTTAATTGTGATTGGCTGAATTTTGGCGCTTTGCAAAACATGTGTTGTACACAATACACGAGTAGAATACAGTACAAACAAACAAAGAAATTCGACTAAGGTTAAAGTAATAAAATCCCCGCGTTTTGCATCTAGGTTATCAACCAGCTTTTAAGTGTCACGTGTTTTTTTTAGTGCCAATGGACTAATATTTAATATCTACATCACCTTGACATTTTTTAATGAAAAAAAAAAACGTAAATACAACAGAATCAGAAGAATAAAACAGGCACATTTTAATGTTTTCAAAACTACATGTATGATATAATAATTATGAACTTAAAAGTACTTAGGCATATATTTCCTATTTCTGTTATTTGCCACGTCTATATGTCATCATATTAATAGCTTATGTTGTTTACATATATACGTATTTAATAAGCAGAGACCTTAGAATATTTAATAAAATATTTTAAAATGATACATTTCTTACACAGAGTAGTTAACAGAGATGGCTGACAATAGCAAAGATCAGAAGGTGCGTATATTGCATTCGGTAGTTACACGTAAAATATGTAATTTGTTTAAAGTAATCAGGCCGAATCACAATTAATTTGTACAACATGTACCATACATGGACACAAATATTTTGAAAGTTTATCTTTTTAAGAAGTGAGAGTAAAAATGTATTGAGAAAATGACTTTGTTTCCTACATTTCTTTTATGTCAGATAGCAAATGTACTAAACATGAACATTGTATGTAACGTGCGTATTTTTAACTGAAATATTTTTTAATTATATATGTAAAGGAACATCAGAATAAATAACATTTTATTATAACTTGTAGCCCGGAGTCTTGGGCAATGTATCTGAGAAACTTCAGGACGTCGGTCACACTGTACAAGAAAAGTTAGAGCACGCAGGACAAGTCATCTCAGATGAATATAACAAAAGAATGGTAAGCAGTCATGTAAATTGTATTTACAAATATTTTCAAAAGAAGTGTGTTTACAGGTCACAAAAGTATAAAACCTGTGAAATTTCAAAGAACGAAGTAATAACAGCAATTATTCTCAAAAATGCATTTAAACCCTAAACTATTGAGTCGAGAAAACTCTTACCTCAAAAAACAGCAGAAATGAAATCAAATTCCTTGAAGGAGTAAGCTGTCATATCAAGTTTGTCGTATCCACCATGGTTTGTTAGGGTGAACGACAAATCCATAGTCAATTCAATATATAGAAATTATGGCCTACCAGAAATACATGTAGACTTAGTTGTGAAAGGATATTTCCAAGTGAATCTGTCAAACTGTTTACATTCAGCATATAAGGCAATATATTGGGTTCTAAAAGATCTCCTTTACTCTTTTAGCATCCTGAACAGCAAGAAAAGGACAAATCTAAGGTCGAAGGTTGGTTTTAATGGCAAATTATATTCCTTGTGATTAAAAGTTATTCTGCATTTCTGAGTCGAATTTTGGCCAAGCTAGTCATAGGAATAAACAGTAAGAAAAATATTTACAGTATAAAGAGATAAATCATTTAATTTTTTCAAATGATCTTCTCAGAAATAAAAGATACAGTTAAAGAAAAGGCAGATGCTGCCGGAAATAAAGTCTCAGAGGAATGGAACAAGCGAATGGTAAGCTACTCCTCTTGGGGCAGGAAACAAGTTTTAGAAAGAGTCCAAATTATCTGTTAGATGACTGAGTGTAAACAATTTGACAGATACATAGAAAATATATTTTGCCAAAAGAAAATTCTTTTTCTAAAAAGGGTTTTTACCTGTTGGTCTTTCTCCACCAATTCCCTTAAGAGGCTAGCAAAAGTATAATGTGGAAAATTTTAAGTTCAAGTTCAATAATAATGAAACCACAAAAATTAAAAACAAAATAATTATACTTTTTTTTCAGTTAGAGTAGAATTATAACTATGATTTAATTCATACAGAATCTTGAAAAAGTAATTTTTTTTATTTTAGCATCCTGAAGAGGAGAAAGAGGAGAAATCAAAAACAGAAGGTATGGTTTAGACTCTAACAAATACAAAAAAAGTATGATTCTTTGTTGTTATCTATAATAATAGTTACTTTCGGTCATATGTATTAAATTTTGAATCTTCGATTTATAGAGGTAAAAGACGCAGTTAAGGAAAAAGTAGAGGCTGCAAAAGATAAAGCAGAGGAGGTGAAAGACAAGGCTTCAGAGGAGTTGAACAAAAAAATGGTAAGATGGTGGTTTACAGTCAAAGGCTTCTGTCACACCAAATGATGAAAACAGACTTTTTAAGAAATTATACTCTTGTTTCAAAAAATGAAAACCATATGATTAATTAATACAATAACCTCTTTTTGTTTTATAGGGTTCAGATGAAAAGAAATAAAAAGGGATGATTTTACCCTATTTTGAGGGTATCCAGAGTAGTTCATTCAATCAGGGACTTTTTCTCTCTATCCTGGACTCTTCAGGCATTAGTTGATATTAGTCTGTATACCTCAAGCTACTCAATACCGGTATATTTATGTGTATGAGTTCGTTTATTTGTATTCTTAATATATTGCTTGAATGTCAGATGTTAAGGATGTATGAAAAAAAATTATATGATTTTGGTTTTTTTTATGTTTTATAACTTAATAAAACTAATAAAGCAACTTGAAGATGAGTTTGGTTTTTTTTTATATAAGGAGAATATGTGTTGCCCTGAAAATGATGGAAATCAGTTTTGTAAAACATGGGAAGTCTTCAAACTATTTATTGGTAGATGTATATGTATGCCATGACTTGGATTTTATCACTCATTTGTTTTCTCATAGCAGTATGAAATGTTAATTATAGGTATAACCGATGATGATTTTAATGATGAAAAAAGAATAGGTTTATAAACTTATGTTATTTCTTTAGAAAGAAAAAATACTTACAAATGGAAGCCAGCTCTATGACTTGTTGAAGCCAAATTACATCATTGCAATCTCACAATGTTGCACATTTCCTAATACAAAATAAAATGCCTGAGTGACATAAAATACATGTATATATATATGTATTCTTACTATATATAATTATATGATATTGCTCATCATGTATATATCATTTGCTCAATACATGCAGAAAACGTTAACAGCAATTTACAATTAAGTCATGTTTATTTAATTAAGATAAGTACGTTTAACTGCATAGATTTTATTGTCATTCAGAGTTTCACAATAATAGAATTTAAGGTGACAAAATATGTACAGATTAACAAGGATTGTTACAGAAGGGTGGAAATTTGAACATCATAGAAAGGTTACTATGTATAAAACATGTTTAGTCTTATAATCAAAATATACCGGGTATTTTTAGATCAGCTTTATGTGTATGACCTCGGGTGTTTTTTACCTTCCATGAAATGAATTTGCTTTGAAGTTATGCTAACAACAGGTCAAGTTGCACATAGTGACTCTTACTAAAAGCAACAACCCATTAAAGAGTATGATTAATTGTGCTTATTTAAAGGCCTGGTCGAAGAAAAATGATTCAACAAAGTTAAGAATTTTAGAACTCTTGACCTTGGCTTTTAAATCACTGAAATACAAAACTCATTTTTCAAAATGATTTTATGTTCTCCCCCACACATCTTAGAATGTCCTTACCTGATATTTTGCAAGAAAATAAAGATAAAATAACTTTTTTATTCAAAGCTTGCTTTTGTTGTACATGTATACATATTTAAAGTCGTTGCTTTGGGAAGTTATAATTATAAAGTTTTGTTTGGTTCTCGCATACAATTGTAATATACTGTATATTTCTTAATGAAAGAAGACTATATTTGTGTTTGATTGATTTTTCCTTGTTATGATGATTCCTAAATAATGAGAGTATGTCATAAAATCTGACGGAAAAAATATATATATTTTTAAAATCAGCATGCTACTTCATATAATGCTCTCTAAAAATTCTAGCTATTTCTAGGAGCTTTTACTGTGCACCAGAGCTCATGTCAATACGTTATGAAAATCAATTATACGATAACGCTTTAGACGGGCAATTTAGATTAATTTGCTGCGCAATAGCATATGAAACTGCGTTTTAGCAAATAAACGGCCTTGAAAAATTATGTACTTGTGTACTTGCAAACAGAAAACTTTGCTGTTTAAAGTATGAAGCATATGTCAAAACTTAACATTCTACAATATCCTATCACTGTAAAAAAAATAATAAATACTAGTAACTAGTTAAAGTCACTTAAAAAACTAATAAATTTACTGTTCATAAAATCACTACCTTAAAAAGTAGTTTTACTAGGTATTTGGAATATTTACTAGATAAGATTGTTAAAAATATCGAAGATATATATGTAACATACGTAGATGTACGAGCAATTTAAGTTTCATTTCTTTTATATAGCTGAAAAAAATGTTCAGTTAAGTGACAGAAAAGCATTTTTATCATGGGTTTGTAATGATTGATGCTCTATGTCGCGATGATTGCTTGAACTACAAATGAACTTCAAATGAACTTCATCCAATTCACGTTAGTCACACCAAACTACAATTATTGGTGCGTCAACATATATGAACAATCTGGGATATTGGAAAATTGATTTTCGAAAAAAATATTACTAGCGCAGTCTTTCGTACTTTATTTAACAATATTATAATAATTGTAAAGTAAAGTACATGTATTTTGTCTTTTGTAGATACCAGATGCAGTATGCGAGGGGTTATCAAAAAGTTCGTGGACTGAGGCTATAAATTTAGTACTATGTAGTCTGAGCTTACAAAATTTTTAAGGAACATAAAACAACAAAAAATAAAGAAATGTTGAAAATTTTAGCTTGATACGTTCATTATTTCCCAAATTATTATAAAATAAAAACGACATTATATCATCACCCGGCTCCGTCTCCGTTTAGTTTTATGACGTCCGACAACGTCATTGTTTTTCAATGTCTGCTTTTTCTACCTCATATACTTATTTTGATGAGATTCCCTGGAGCTGAGGAAGGACTTCAATTCATCTTGTTTATATGACTTTACAATGTCATGAACAGCGGGTTTCAATGCATATACTATTGCAAATAGATTTACACAATGGCAGAGATCCTCGCTTGATTGTGCCAGCATATTTTGCTTTTTGGAGTTCAATATCTACAACACATGATCAACGTCATTTTTTCACGTGATTGATTTTTCACCCCTTGACAACAAATCGACATTAACAGTGCATTCCTTTTCTCTCTGAATCTATTTTAGCATTAAAAACAAGTAATCTGGATGCATATTATTTCTCCGTAGCCAGTATAACCATTTCCTAGGTGTATTTCTAGGTGCAAAACTTTATAGAATGTTGGAAAAGGAAACCCTTCCCCCTTTTGACGTCATTTTCAAGGCAATATTTGTTTGGATACTCCAGGTAAAATTTACGATAAAATTTCATAGAACTTCCAGAATGAGGTAAAAATTTAATATCTTATGGAACAGTAGTGTCCCAACATACCCAACACATAGCCGAATTAACGGGATATTTGGATGTCAAATGTTCATATCACAATAGTTTTTCTTAGTTAACACTTAGGTCGAAAAAAACGTCGCTTTCGAGGTTGCGTCGCATGGACATTCCATTGCTTACAAAAACATTACTAATTTATTAAAAAATAAAATTTGTGATTTGTGATTTATTCTATAGATAGAAAAGATGATGATAACTAGATATCTTAAAATTCATTCATGTACCTAAAGCGGCTTTAATTTTATGGCGCTAGTCCACGAACGTTTTGATAGCCCCTCATAAATACAAAATTTGTATTTACATTTGTACCAAATGAGCAAATTCTTGTAATATAAATCAATGAAATAATTTGTGTAAGGACTTGAAATATTGTTGATTGAGCTTATTATACCGGTAAAAGTCATCAAAATTGAAAGTAAGATCCGGCCCCATGTTCATGAAACACCGAAAGTTTAAGTCAAAATCTGCATGTATCTCAACCTACAACTGTGATTGCTTGATTGCGGATATATGTCTAAATATATTAAAATTTTTGAATTTCGTTCTCCAAGATAAAACTACAAAAAGTAAAAATACTTGATTTCTATACGATTTTAAAGCTACTAGTTAAAAATTTGTGTGGTTTAAAAGATTCGAAAGATGTGTGGGACCGGCAGTGAAGTAGGCATATAATATGTCTTGTTCCCACACATTTCGAAGCTATTTAATTAACCTATACTGTTTATAATGACAGAAAAGAATGAAAATCCCTAGTCCTTGTCCTATGTGCCTCCGGTAGCAACAAGGACTAGGTAGGTAGATCTATAATTACAACATCTATTTTTTTTATTAATACTTTCATACAGAAATTGATTTCGACATGAATCTTTCTATTGTTCATATTTTTCCCCCCAATTCACATGCATTTTCAAGCGGTAGTGTAATTGCAAAAATTAAGTGGAAAAGAACACTTCCCTGTGATGTTTAATAATTCAACAAAGTGGTAATACATGTACCTCTCACTGTTTTCCCAAGAATTTCATCTTTTTGTTACTTCAAAAAGAACAGCTGGATAAACAACTTACTGTTCCTAATATTCCTGGAACAAAACAAACGACGTCGACGTAATTTGATTTTCTAGAAGAAGTGTTAAAATTTGTATTATCTTTAAAAGTTATGTTTGTTTTGTGCCACTATACCTAACACGTATCTGCATGCTTGTTTGCATTGTTCTTATTTGATTAAGATTAAATCTTGCACATAGGAAACTAATTATAAGGCCATTCACATAGCTATCAAAGTAAATTACCTGTATATATAAAAATCAGGATTCTGTGCATCAGATTCATTGTTTGTTGATAATATGTCAATGTGGAAATAAAGTCTTCGTCGAACTCTGTGATTTTCTCTTTTCCTGTTTTCCTGTTACACTATCTGTATAGATGATATAAAAGCATGGTATGAATGAAAATATGAAAATAAAAACAGTACTGATTAATTCCATTGACATGAGATTAAATGTTAACAAGACAAATAGGGGACCAGACTACAAGACAAAAGGGACCTCTTTCGCTCAAAGACCGCAATTACGCAAAAATAAAGTTATTATAAATAAAAAGGGATGTGTACGTAGTATTTCTCTGGTTTTATCGTCTATTGTCAGGAAAACATTGAAATATTTAAACAGATGTGGTAAACTGACTTCCCCCTTCACCCAATCATGACAATGAGCACACAGAAGCTGTGAACGATCGACAGAGAATGCTTAAGTCTTTGATGGAACCTGATCCCACCTTGATGTTTTTATAGTCTGTCCCACGACCGGAACGTCACTACTTTTTGCAAAATATCTCAAAATAAATAAATACCTTGGCTTTCAACCTGTATCCGATTGGTAGATTGAATTTTTTCCAAACTTTCTGCTTTTATCCGAACCCTCGAGGTCAACCGGTGTAAACACATGGCGGCAAATTCAAAGTCTACGGGGATTTAACATTGCCAAAATGGCTGCCACTTCGGAAGGGGATCCTAAATTATTTTTTTTTCTTCGGAATTTTCCGTAGCCTTCCGTAAGTGACGTCATGTATGTTTCAACGCTGCGCACGTTGTATCTATTTACGCATGCGTTACAAAATAACGTGTTTTTGCCATTTACCATCAAGGCCTTGAACATATAATTTTTAAGAACTACAGCAGAATGCCACGACAGAAGAAGACCAGACAAGCTGTAAAATCTCTACAGGTATTATAGCATGGTAACATATACACCCATAATGACAACTTTGAACTATACAACTATGTTTGCAGCTATGCAGCTATGTTTGCAACCATGAACCTACAGTACTATATTCTGGGATGTCTATAAATCCCTATAACAAGTATTTCTGTATAAAAATGACTTTACCTGATGTGAGCATAGCCCAGTATATAATCCAACATAGAAGGCAGGATATTAAGCATGTAATTCTTCAGAAGTTCGGCATCTCTAATCCGTTACACATTGCACACATGTGTACACATCAACAACGTAAACATGTCGGGCTATATCACGCACAATCTTTTTATAACCACTATATTTTCACATCAGCCATAACTGGAACACTATAATTCAATTGCATTCATGTTCAAAACATTCTACACACGCAAAAAACCTCCATATTCGGTCAAACAATTTTGAAAGTTCCTGCTGTTGTCTGCTATTTCTCGGATAAGAATGACGTCAGGAAGCGACCTTGCCCTTTATAGTGTGGTGAAAGGTCTATTCACACCCATGTTATTTTTACCCGAGTTGTAATTTTACACACGTAAGTAGTGATAGAGAAGTTTACATTCAGTATACACTGTTTATGGTTTCATACATGACCGTGTCTTTTTTTTCACATTTTAATAAATAATAGAAATTATTCAAAGTCCAAAAAACACGTCTTATTTATATATATGAACAAGAAAGATAACTCCTAGATACTGAGTAATAATTAGTATCTTAATTGCTGGCAAGAGTTACCTCCCACACAAGTTTACCCCTAAAGCAAAAATAAACTGAGACAAACTTGGTGTTTCATTGTTCACAATAAGGACAACAAATTATAAAACCTTTATTTTCAGAGGAGCAAAATCTTAAAAATATAATAGATGAATATAGAAAAGATGAATATAGTGATTCCATGAGTTGCAAACATATATGCATAAGCTGTCTATTTTCATTAATTGTTATAATATGTGTAAGTTTTTTGTATACATCAAGAATATGAGCCTTTCACAACTTCTAGATGGAATTTAACTTTTATTGTAATTCACATGTATAAATGTATATACATGTAATTAAAATCAGAAAGTAGCTTTCTTTGAAATACATACAAGAAGTTGTGATTGGACAAAATTTAAAAAATATGAGTGCATCACAAAACCTCACATATTGTCGTGAAATTCAAATGAAAAAAATGAGGGCGGGGGGGGGGAGGGGGGGTGCAGCTATGCATTTTCAGCTAGAGGGGCACTATAGCTATCAACTACTAAATTGAATAAGTCCTTGACAAACAAAAAGATAATAACAAGAGGCCCATGGGCCTTATAGGTCACCTGAGCATTATTCAACAACTTTCCAAGAATTGATTTTAACCCATGTTTTAAGCCATATGCTATAGCATTTACAATTTGGTCATCATTACACTTAGCAGTTCCTTAGTATGGTTACTTAATACCCATAGGCAGGATAGGGGAACAAAAAATGCATTTCAACAAATCAGTAATAATCAGCAATAATGAGTAGTGCCGCTACCACACATGAATCGTAGACTCCTAGGCCTAGATCCACACATTGTATAATTTTTGGAAAGGCATTCATGCTTTTCAAAAATATTTGATTACTACAAAGGAGCACATTTCAAACAATTCATTCATTTTCAGTATATAACTACAACCCCCCCCCCCTCCATGGTACAACTGACCTTGGGGGCTTGAAATTCACAATTCTTGAAGATTAGGGCCCTTGCTCATAACTATATAGGTAGTTCATCTGCTTAAAACCTAGGTGCAAAGAAGAAAATATTCAAAGATTTAATGTTTTTTCACTATACATGTATACTCAATATAGCCCCCCCCTAACACCAGAACCCCTGACCCTGGGGCCATAATATTCACAATTTTGGTAGAGGCACTCTTGTTCATCATAACTATGCACTTAATTGGTTTATGTAATACCCAGGAGCAAAGAAGAAGATTTTCAAAGAATTCATGTATTTTCTCTATATAATCAATAGAGCCCAGCCCTTACACAAGAACCCCTGACCCTGAGGCCATAAAATTCACAAGAAGATTTTTAAAGATTGCATTAATTTTAGTGGTTTTGGTCCCACCCCCAGGCCCCAAGGAGGAAGGGATCCTGAAATTCATAATTTTTGTTCCCCTTCACCCATAAATGCTTTGTGCCAAATTTGGTTGTAATTGGTTCAGTGGTTGCAGAGAATAAGCTGAAAATGTTCAAATGTTAACACACAACGAAAACAGATGGCAATAGATCACCTGAGTTTACTCAGGTGATCTAAAAATTATTGATGGGGCACAAGCAGATAGTAGTAGTTGCAGCTGCTGATGTAATTTCTTTAAGGGGGGGGGGCACCCCATCCCCTGGCTATTACAGCTATGAGGGTTATAGCATACATTTTATACACAACTGAGTTAAGAATTTTATGATTTTCTTTGATTTCAAGTTAGATAATACATCTATAGTAATAACACAGGAAATATTGCATATTTTCAAAACAATTGCTAACAATATTTAGTGGATAAGATAAATGATAAATCTGCTGTGTTAAGAATGAAAATTGGGGTCTCCAGAGGCTTTTAGGATCCTATAATACTTAATGAGGCAGTCAAGTTGATACAGCAAAAGTATTTTATGGGGGAAAGCTGTTCTTCATAGGAAGAGATAAGGGGAGACAATAAAAACTAAATTCAATTAAGCTCATCTGTATCAATTGAGAATCTTTGAAATGGATTACAAAGGTGTTCTAAATATCTTAAAGCTCAAAAGAGTGAACAAAAACAGTAACTAAAACTAAAACTACATGTATTATAATTTAATATTATTTGTAATGCACAGGTTCTTGACATTCTCAAAAAAGTGTACCAGGCATTCGAACAAGAGAGAACACAGGGAAGGGTGAAAAACATTTCTGACCCTATGAAGAGACTTTCCACAGCAACAGGTATGAAATATCACACAAATACTCTGCTACTGATACAGAAAGATATCTGTAATAATGGACCTTTTCACAAATTATCCGGCATATAAGACCAAAAAAATCTATTACATTAATTGTTAAAAAAGAAAATCTTTAGTTATTTAACTTAAACAAGAAGTCCATGGGCCATATTGCTCACATGAGCATTCTATATAGATAAAGCAAGTTCTGAATTGACAAGTATATTTAAAGGTTTATACATATGTTATCCCATCCTACCCTAAGGATCCTCAAGTTGAGTTGAAATTGAGTTAATTGACACAATGTTTCTAGAGAAAAATATTCAATAATGAAAAGTTTATGATGTATAATGCTGACAACAATGAAAATGACAGACCCATTTTAATCAAAAAAGCTTATTTAAGCCATTGACTATAGTGAGCTTATATTTTCTTACTTTTATTACAATAAAACATATTGTGAGATTATCAAACTTCAGTTTACTGCTTACACAGTAAGTCATTTTATATTTAAAAAAAAATGAAAACATAGTTTGTGCATTGTATCCTCTGATACATGAAGTACATAAATCTTTTAATATATTTTACTATAGGAATATCTGAAAGAACTCTGAAGGCAAATCTCCTGTCTGATCCAGTGAAAACTGTGGTTGAGGATCTGCAAGTCCCTCCTGTACAGCAGAAGATCCACTCCAATAAGGGGCTCGATGACTTCGATGAGGACCTTGTGAAAAGGACCATCCATGAGATGCAGTTGAGGCGCGAGTATGTTTCTCTCCGTCGACTGTCAGATGTGTTGGTAGAAAGGGGAATCAGGATCACCAAATCATCTTTGGCAAGACTCGTGAAGAAACTTGGATTCAGGTAGGAATCAATTGGAAAAATATAACCTACAAATAAAGCATATTATTAAAATAACACGTATTTATTAAATACACTTATTGACTGGATTCAAGGCCAGCATACAATTTGTTGGACCTACAGGGTGAAAAAAAGCATTTCACTTTCGAATTCAGTCAATACAAAATTGTAACTTTCATTATATATATATTGTCCAATTTCTTGCTACACAATCAAACATTGATTTTACATTACTGCTCAGTAAATAAAGGAAAAAATAAACTTATTTTGATATAGTTTTATGTAAGAAGAAATTTTAAAGTATAAAAATAAGCATTGTTTGCATGCTTAACAAGAGGCCTATGGGCAACATCACTCACCTTCGCAGTGTGGCTGGGAAAAAAAGCAAAAGTCAATTCACTATTGAAAAGCTTAAATGCATATC